GTAAAACGTTTAATTTAAAAAAAAGTAGAACAGCACTAAAACTTGTTTCGCAGACAGATCATTATGCCCAATTGGAAAAGATTCTGAACACAGCGACCTTCAATTTCCCGTGCCTTCGAACAAAGTGCACAAGTAGCGTGGTTCGAGCACTATTGCACCATTTCTGAAATAACAGTAGACAACGACAGAGCGCGCAAAAGCGATTCAACTTTCTCAAGCGTGTTGCTCGCTTGCATCACACGCATAAACGCGCCTACATCGAGTCAATTACAAGCCATTTGTTAAGGTTACCAACGCGATGTAATTGAGCCACGCATTGAGCGACGACCAGACGGAAAGAAAAGCAACAATCAAGGGGAGGACCGCGTGGGCTTATTGTACATTATTTTGCAAACAACCACATTGACGAAATTCGCGTTGGTCAATCGAGATTATTTGCATTTTAATAAACGAACGAAGACGAAGCAGAGAGGGGGCAGATACTGATAAACAATAAAATGCGCGCAGCTGCTTGGATGCATGATTACAAGGTTCCCGCCGAAAAGAAGATAAAGCTATTGCCATATACCGGCAGGCTGATATGTATCGAACGCCAATTTTTTAGTGGGCGTATCGCAACCCTACAACGCCTGTGTATTATTAGTCTGCAGTATTCGGTTTCCCGTGTGCTGGTTTGCTGCGATGGTTAACTACTTTTACTGTGCACCTTGCATACACAAAAAACAGAACTTCGCTATGTCTTTTTATTTAAAACTTATATGCTGTGGTAAAATTTAGTACTCCGTGAATTCGATTATGTCTATCGTATTGAATATAATTGAAGACATGCGAAAATTACTCAATCGAATCTATAGCGAAGAGTTTGCGCGATTGACAATGTGAATTCTTTGAGCACAAGATGAATGCCCAAACGAATGCAGTAGATCGCAAATCATTTTCAATGATCAGCGTCTCTGGAAAAAAGAAAGAAACAGAGACGAAGCGTGTGTGGCTGCGAGCGAGACATGACCAGCGCAACTCGTGTGTGAAACGCGTTTGCGGGGTCGATTCGTGATTCTTTAATGAGGCAAATTGAAAAGAGGAGTAACGAGGCCGTATTGATCGCGCGACCGAGCAGTCGCGAGTTGACTGACTCTTGGCTGCTACTGCTGCTGCGGGGCGATGACTGCGAACGCGCGGATTTCGCGCGGATCGCTCAACATGCCAATCGCGCTTCTTTCTTTTCGTACACGTCGATGCTTTTACGATGCTTTCTTCATTCAATTAGTTGCTGGCCTCTTTGTGTTTGGCTCATTCCACGTTGTTTAGGTTGGATCTCGCGCTCGCGATGTTTCTTCCTTATACAAAGTATGCGACTGTGACAATGCTTTTCAAAACTGCACAATGATTAAGAATTGGTAGAAGCGAACGTTCCTTTTAGCGAGACAAAATATCTCTACTCCGAGAAGAAAAAACAAACGCGTACGCAGCTATATTTATAGACATTGCGATTGACTTGCAACTATGAATTTCCAATTCAACGTTTAATTATTCCGAATGTAGTTTTGCGTTGCAACGCTTTGCGATGGGAAACTGCAATTAGAACGTGGAATTGAAAAGAAAGTGCGCGGTATGCGGAATAACCGAGTGTAATATCGATTATTATGGAACATGCGCAGCAGCCGACAATCTGTAAAACAATGGCATTGCAAATTTCTAAACGTCATCCTTCGATAAGTGAGTATAATGGGAGCTTGCGCACTGCCGCGGAATTGGGGCGTAGCGATCGATCGACCTCATTCCCCGGCTGCTACCCCCTGCAGTGCAAGCGCAACCACCAAGCGACTTCTACCCTTCCCCCATCGGCGAAACTATGATTTGCGAAATCATACTTCAATTTCATAATAAAAAGTCAATTATATTTCATAATAAGAACGGAATTGCATTTTTAACGTCGATAATCGGGAACTACCGATAATTATCTCTAATCAATTTTATTGCAAAAGTTATCTGCAAGATAAAATATACCTTTTGTCTCACATTATACATTAACCGTAAGCAGCGTGTCGGTAGCAATGATACAAACTCGTTTAACAAATGACAACTGAAAGCTACAAGTTGATCAATCAATTCATTATCGCGGGAAATATAAAATAACAATGGAGAAAGACCTATTTTATTATTGACAGTACATGCTCTGCTCAATTAAAATGCATACATCAATAGGAAATGCTGATATGTGCTTTATTAACTTTTGATTGTTTAATCTTAGCTTCAATCTTTTGATAATCAATTACTCACTGGCAACACGCGTTGCAACAAGTTTTCATGACGCTAGTTGGCAGCGTCGAATTCAGTTCTATAACTGCATTATGATTTCAAAGTGTTTCAGTTTTCAATTTTTCCGTGGGTAATGATTACATTATATAAAACTACTAGTATCTACCATCAACTCAAAGTATTTAGCAAACATATGGAATCGTCGATGGGTGCAGTCGGTGATTTATCTTTGATCAGCAAAAGACTGAACGCCATCGAAAAGTTGTTGATGTATGACTCCATTATAATATTTGTAATGATTGGGCACTCGCTAAAACAATTTGTATAAGATTTCTCATACAGTTTTTATTCAATCGATGGTTTGTCTTTACTTTAAAAATTCTAATCTTTATAGTTTATTTCGTATAATCAAATTAAACTTGTAAAATTATTAATAGTAAACACGCAAAGCAATATTTAGAAAATTGCTTAAATCGAATCAATATGTTAGATTTTGAATATAGGTGGCCATCATAAAAAAGTTCCAAAAACGTCATAAGTGAAATTTGAAAGCATTGAAAATTCAAAAATCTAATAATCCTGAAAGGAAGATTATGAATCTGATAGCGAAAAAAGATTAAAATGAAAATAAAAGTAATTTGGTGGATCCATATTTAAATTTGAATAGAAAATGATTGTGACGAAGTATTTTTTTGAGAATATATTTTGAGAGTTGTGTTGCAAATAGTTCGATAAAAGTTCGATCTCTAAAAACGTGCAATGTAAACGAACATTCAATCACAGTTTCAATCAGACGTCAAAGTACAACACTACTATGTACGATTGATAAAACATTTTTATCCAAATCATTCGATATATTCAATCAACAGAGTTCGATTTAATTTTGCGATTGGAATTTCAACACTAACAATCGACGTTTCTGTCAAACGATAAATGAACTCAAGATACAAGCTACTAGTCGGGATCACAATAGAATACCCACAGAGCCGATTAATATAATTTGAGAGCGCGCCAAAGCAAAAGTTTTCGCGAGTTTATGTAACAAATCGATCAATTCTGCACGGTAAATTGAGTTTATCGTAGCGACGGTGGCGGGCAGTTGGCATTGAGTCGACCACGTGTGCATTCGCGAGTAGGACAGTGAAAGGCGACCTAGACCAATAGCCATGTTGAACTCTGAGCCCGCATCTACACCGCCGCTGCCGTCTTTCTTTCTCTCTCGCTTCTTTCTCGCAGTCCATCGAAAGTGACAACAGGCATTATGCGAATTTTGATGCTTAGCAATCGAGGGGTTTTCTAATACGCTTCAAATTCATTCGACTCTACTGGTATCTTCACATGGTTTTCTGCTTATCGTTATAGTTGTGCAAACGTAGTTGGAAATATAACGTAAATCATTTGTAAATGGTTCTTCAATTATTGCCAATTTTTACGCAGATCTGCATGAAGTGAAATGTCCTTGTCGGCTTATTCAAAATTCTGTGCAATCGCGTAAAAACAAATTATTTCAACAATATCGCGAAAGCACGCATGGAAAAACTGCGAATAGATAGAAAATCTATAATTTATAACTCGTTAATTTATAACTCGTCGGTAAAAGCGAGGGGGGAGGGACGGGGAAATGGCGCTCGAAAGAGATATAAAGTTTTTGCGCGAGAGAGCTCAGGTTAAAATACAAGTCGCAACTAAACGGTGCAGCGATCGGCAATGAAAACCACATTCTCCGACGAGCGTTTGACTTAGAGCAAGATACATAACGGCTCGCGAGCGAGAAGGAAAGTCGAGCGCCACGCGCTCGCGATGAAAGTGAAAAGAGTCCGCGTCTGCTGGCCGCGCGACACGCGCTAGAGGATTCGCTTTCCTACCTACTTATATTCGCTTTCTTTTGTTTCTCTCTCTCTCTCTCTCTCTCTCTCTCTCTCTTTCTCTCCGTCTCTCTCTCTCTACCTCTCTCTCTCTTTCTCTGTTTGCAAAACACTCGTATCCTATTTTTTCTTTCAAGTCTGTTTGCTCTTTGCACGCGATTGATCAATTTAGCGAGATTGAATCCTGTAACTTTTATCAACGGTCCATGCCTTGTAACCGTTCGTTTCAATAGGTCTATAAATTAAATCACATTTATATTTTATTTTACCGTACGACGGAATGAAAACAGTTCTTATCTCGAGTCTGTTCTCTATTGATTTTGCAATAATCGATTTATAGGAAGACTATTAAAAGCTTCTGTATTCTTGTAGTGCGCTTGATTAATTTGCGAAGTAATAAACAAATCTTGACTTTTGATAGAAATGTTTATGGACGAAAAGCTTCACTTGTCATTCGCGCAACTAGAAATAAATGCAGCGATTTTTTGCCCTTAATAATTGAATGAATAATGCACAAGACCATGACTTCTTATATTCTGAGTGAAATCGTAAATAATTAAATGCCAACAGTATTTTTATAATACATAGTTAGTTTAGTTTTATTCTGGATGAAACGGAGAAATTCATAACATTAGTGTACCCACATGTCTAGCTAAAATAGACAGCGGCACAAACACTCGGATAGTTAGCTGGTGTACTGCATGTAAACGAGTTACTTTGGTCAAGCTAATTATTTTTGCCTTTATCATTGCAATCACGTTGATCGCACGAGACTGAAAATAAATCAAAATTGTCTGCATTCGAATCGTTACTACAATTATAAAACAAAGTGCATTTGCTTTTTACGTACTAATACAAATGCTATTTCTGTTGCAGACTGAATTAGCGTTGGAAGCCACAACGCAGTGAGAGAAAGAGAGAGAGAGATAGAGAGAGAGAGAGAGAGAGAGAGAGAGAGAGAGAGAGAGAGAGAGAGAGAGAGAGAAAGAGCGAAAGCGAAAACCCACATCGTGTGCTGAGCAAGAAAATGGCAGGCGAAAATCAGCTGAAGGTGTCGAATGGCACGGTAACGATAATCCCAGCGAATGGTAAATTGACGAACGGCAATGGAGTACACAAAGAGCCAGCAACAACGCAGCCGCGTAACAACAATGGTGTCTCGACAAACGGCAACGGCAAGGAACTTGACGTTGCCGAGAACGGCAAACTCGTCGTCGCTGGCGACGACAAATCCGATCTCGACGACGACGATGAGACTAGTTGCGGCTGGGGTCCCATCAGACCCAAATGGCTGCAGAAATTCGCTACCAAGCAAATGTTCCTCTTTACGTTTTGCCTCACTTGGGTAAGTATCGACTTTGTTCACAGCATATTCGCATTTTGAATTCGGATTTTCCATGATCTGCATATGATGAAATTCTATCGAAATATTATTAGAATAGAGCTTCCATGCAGTCAATTGAGTTTCGCTGCCACATTGGGGCATATCGAATTTCAATAATTACTCAAAATTTGATTAGATATATTTGAACGTTTACTTCCAAAAATTATCAATCCAATGAATTAGGAGCAAATGAGAATAGATGTCATAAATTATGCACCACAATAAACTGTACGTTGCATGTATGTTAAAACAGGTGCTTCAGGGCATGTACTTTACGTACTTCGTGTCGGTGATAACGACGATCGAGAAGCTCTTCCAGATCCAGTCGAAAACCACAGGCATGATAATGTCAGCGACGGAGATCGGCCAGATAAGCTCGTCCCTTCTACTGACTTACTTCGGAGGCCAAGGCCACAGGCCCAAGTGGATAGCCTGGGGCATGATATTATTCGCGGCGAGTGCCTTCACCTGCTCGTTGCCTCACTTTATCTACGGCGAACTGCTTATCAAGCAAAACGAGCTCCTCTTCAACGGTGGGACCACCAATTCCGTGCTCAATGGCACCAGCGTCAGCAGTCCCGTGCCCGCCAATCTTTGCACCTTCCTCGAAAAGCCTGATAATCTTTCACTCAGCGAGTTAGTTGCATTACTTTTACTAGCTTCTTTCCCACCTTCCACCTCACGCTAGCTCTAATGGTACATGACATTTGGCCTCGTGCAATGCGGATGAAGACTGCCTGTCATTGTGCCATGGACTGATCATAAAAGCAATTCTGAGAAATCAATTGAATTTGGATGCAGTTAGTAATCTTCGAATGTGACTCGATTTAATATTCATTAGGTTGGAAAGTTAGCAGTAAATAACAGTTACGACATTAGATTTGTAATTGACAAACGCAACTAATCTCGATGAAATCGATGATGCTATGCTTGCAAGCAAACCTTTCCGTTGCCCAACAAAATGTCAAAAAATCTGAGTGTCCGAAGTGCCACGACAAGCGCGCCGTGCGCGTACGAGCAAATTAGATTCACAAGTAGTCACGCGGTGAAATCGTTTTTGCGGCAAATCTAACGCCGATGTGAGTAGAGGTCAGGTGACCAGTGAAAAAACTCGAAGCTGAACGAAATCCACAAGCTTCATTGGGGCCAAGATCAAAGTGATTTCTGCGGAGTTCGATCGTTCCGCGGTAATTTCACGGTCGTTACGCTAGACGAAACAAGTGTTTTCACGCGCGCGCGCGCGGCAAGAACACAATGACAACAAGCGCGTGTTACGCCGTTAGCGATCTATCTATCTGTCTATCTAGCCGACGTCGTAACTGACGACTTTCTCATTGTTTTTGAAAGTGAAAATACGTGAAAGTCGCGCTCCGTACGTTTCGTTTCTAATTAACGAATTCTTCCGATATACATCGTAAAAATGTTTCTGTTTACAATGCATCACATGAGCTGTTCTTTTCTTTGCTGAGTATGTCGGTAATCTTTAAATTGAGGATTTGGTTTTGTCATGCAAACAGTGTTTTTTTTTTCAGAACATACTTCTAACAAACTGATTGAAATTTGTAGCTCGAGCTTGGCAACGCGAATCCATCGCACCGACACCGCAGAGTACTGCGAGGGTGAATTCATCACCGAGCAGCAGACTCAAAGTAAAATCGTAACGTACGTCCTGATCACGTTCTTTTTCTCTCTCCTCGGCGTCGGTATGGGTCAGACAGCCGTGTACACCCTCGGTATACCCTACATCGACGACAACGTGGCCAGTCGCGAGAGTCCCCTTTATTTTGGTAAGTCTTGGCGTGTCTAGCAACAACGTCAACGTGTACATCTAACGAACGATCAATATTTTCTCTAGCGATCACGATAGGTGTTCGGATTATTGGCCCAGCTATGGGTTTCATGCTTGGGTCTCTGTGTACCATGATTTACGCTGATTTGTCGCAAGACCCCCCGATTACTCCCTCGGATCCGAGGTGGGTTGGTGCTTGGTGGCTTGGTAAGTCATTATAACTTCATTGAGTTTTGTCGATTGCACGTACGAGCAACATCGCACACGCTGCTTAGAAAATGAAATTAAAGTTAAGTGATGTTTCTCAGAAATAACTTGCAATCTGAGTGGAATCTGAATGTTGATTCAAGTTTATTACCCCAGTAGTGGTGTATACTTGAACGCGAAAGGAAGAAAACGAAATTTCGCGTCTTTTTCTCTCGCATAATGACGGCGTTATGGCTGCGCAAGCTTCTCCTCGCTGTCTGTCTGCGCCGAGAACTAGACGATTTTATCTTTATTATGATAACGACTGCTCCTCGTAACGCTAATGATTTTAGTGAACCGAGGCCGCTCGAATATCGTCTTTCGCGTCTTCTTTCTTCCTCGTTACGAGAGATTTATTTAAAATAAGCTTCGGAACAGTTCTGCTTGGCTCATTTTTTGGAGCAGCAGTACAACTCGCGTTTGATCAAACGAAATTCTACGGCTTATTGTTTATTTTACCAATCGCGTGTTATTCGTTCGAAGCAGACATTACATTCGCTCAGAATCGCAGATCATTACGCGAACTGGTAGCATATAAGCAGTACGATATATCACGCGCGTGTGAGCTAGCCATAATAAAAGCGCATTGTTACCTCACATTAAGCGGAGATTATAAAATCGTAAAGTGCCGAATTTCACGAATAAAAAATCGGACGCATCCGCCGCGAACGCGAATTCTCAGAAGGCAGCGCTGCATCGCGGATCACAGCGGAACGGCTGGAATTCGGGCCAGTTATTTATACGAAAGCTGCAAGCTGACCTTAAAATTATAGCCGGGCGCTGGTTCGCAGACGGACGGCTACTTGCATGGCGTTATATTCATCCGCGCGCCGTTTAATCGCGACTCGAGGCTCGACGAGCGAGCGAAAATGAAAGTGCCAACCCGCGCGACCAAAGCGTCGGCGTTGTAATCGAATGACGATCGGCTGCGGACAATATCCACGTAACGATGTCGCTTTTCTCTCTTGTTCCCAGGTTTGGTACTGATATCGTCGATGCTCCTGTTAGTCAGCGTTGGCATGTTTGCCTTTCCCACGCGATTGCCCAAAAGTAAAATCCCGCCCAAGAAGGCCAACACGAAGAAACCAAAACTTAGAGGTGAGTCGAGCGTCGAGCGCTTTCCACGATATACCTGCGTGCCTGTCTCGTCGCCATCGATAATAATCCATCGTCGGCCAACGCCGCACGCCAATATCCATTAGAAAGGCAACTCTATTTATAAGCGATTGCCGTGATCGCCACATTGTGCGTTTATCGAACGCGCGGCGCATGCGGCCGCAACAACGGGGCAAGGAGAAGAAGCAACTTTCGACCAGATCTCTCTCTCTCTCTCTCTCTCTCTCTCTTGCACGCGATTCTTTTTTTACCAGAAGGACGAGAAGAGACGACGACGAGAGCGGCAGCATAATCTGCCAAGGCCGCCTGCCATTTTCGGCAATTCTCGGAATCGCCCCGCTGCGAGAGATTAGGATGCGATATACTGCTGCAGCGCAACCTACGCGAATTTCCAGGCTGCTTTGATGCGCTTTTTTGATGAATTCTTTAGCTTATTTTTTTCCTCTCTTTTCTCTTTATTTTTTTTTTTAATTTTTTCTTTGATATCGCGGGTAGAGATCGTTTGTGGCGTGTAGTTGGCTGTGAAGTTATTTTTTATTAAACAAATCTTAATTGTTTCAATCTGAATTGATACAACACTGGGTCGCAGAATTTATTATACCATCTATTTCAGAAGTATGATACACCTACACCGCGCGTGAAATATTGCAGAAATCTTTTCCGATACTTACCGAGTATCTTTTTTTTTTAACTCTGACATTCAAAGGTGAATATATTTTTCCGTCTAAAGTTGCATCATCATTCGTTTTTGTCGAAGAAATATATGCAACATGTCAAAGACATAAAATTATACCCATTCTATTCGACGGATTTGGGAATTTATCGCATTTTTCGATTTTACACAAGTATAAAAAAAGAAAAGACATGCATAGCTAAATAAAGTCGATGGTACATATATATCTAAATTTATCGTTAATTTATTCTAATAAATTTTGACGATTGTTCAAGCAGGTAAAGAATAGCTCGGTTAGTTTTTAGGACTCGGAAACAAAATCGAAATCCATTTGAAGGGTCGCGAGGTATTTCGATAGGACTGTTCCTTAATTCTTCACTAACCCAATGAAGACGTAATTAGATTGAAATACAGTCTGAAAACAGATCGACAATGAAGCTGCGCCGCGATCGATAAATGCGAAGCGAAGCACCGAAGGAGGCTCGGTCCAGAGAAACAATCAGCTGAGTGAAATCGGACGCTTGCGCCACCGCGTCGCTTGCGTTCAGCCTCCCAATCTTCGAGTGTCCTTGTGAAGGGCTTCGACGTGGACGCCGGCACGCGCTCGAAAAAAAGTCTCCGATATAATAGCCCCTCAACCGCCGGCGTCGCTGCGCCAAACGGAACGACTTGAAAGGAGGGGCAAGTTCACGGCCGTCGAAGAAGAAGCGAAGAGAGAGAAGATGATGACGCGCGATGCTCGACGGAAACCCCTGTCAACTCAGCCCGTCAAAGCCGTTTAAAGAGCCGCTTACGGCATATGCGCACACACAGCGCGATCTTTTCCTTGCGCTATTATTGATGCGCTTTATTCCGCATTTCCTCGTCTTTCGCTTTTCTTTTTCCAGTGGCTCCTCGGCAATATCATAGCTACGTGCAGTCAAGATGAAGCTACGAATAGTTAATTGTCAACAACTTACCTGTTGCGTAATAGAGACGAGACAGTTTGAAAGTTCGCGTACTTTGGAAGTACGCTCACGTGCCCCTACGCCGTACGGCCACGCGAACGCGAAAATGAATTAGAGCTTTTTTCTTTGATTTTCTCTCTTTCTTTCTTTCTTTTTTGGCAGAACGTCGTCGGCAATAATGGCCTCGAGCGCCTTCCAACTCGTCGTCAGTCGCTCCATTATTCTTTCAAACTGAGCGCGCGTAAACATGTTTTTCTCTCGTTTGACGTGCTTACATGTATACTTATAAAAGCGACGCTAAACGCGCACGCCGATACGAAAAAGAAAAATAAAAAAGAAAGAGAAGAGAAAGAGAGAAAGATACAGTGTCCCGATGATTCACGCGCGCCTCCGAAGAGCAATTATGTCGCTTTTTTACGAGATAAAAATGGGAGAAAGAGGAAAAGCAGATAGAGATATCTTTCGGGTGCCGCGCGACGTCGCATTTCCGATCCGATTTTCGAGCGATATTCCGAGAGCGCGCGGAGAGAACGACTCTGCGCGCTGCATCAATCAATTCGACTTTTCTCTGTTGCCGAGTGGTGTAGCATATCTCCGCTATACTCTGTTTGCTTATGCATATTCAATGAGTAGGTCTTTCGTTTGGACGTTTTGCGTGACTGCGTGCTTTTCGGTCATTTCACAACACCATGTCTGTAAGAGGCGAAATAAGTTGTTTATAAAAGTCTATAAATTGTTCTTGTTCGACCGATGTCGCTTTGCATAAGAGCCTTTTCTTTTTGCCTGAGATGAGAGTATGACAGTGTTGAGAGTAATTGTCAATTACGCGCACGAGGCGTAACGAGTTATTAAAAAAAATAAAAGAAAAAACACGAGTCGTTTACCTTTTCAGATTTCCCCAAGGCAATCAAAAGGTTATTGAAGAATGATATTTTGCTGTTCCGAACGGCCAGTAGTGTCCTACACATTTTGCCGATAGCGGGACTTTACACATTCTTACCAAAATACCTCGAAAGCCAATTCCGTTTAGCTGCGCACTCTGCAAATTTGATCTCAGGTAACGCGTTTTCCGACCTATTGCTTTGGATTGCTGAACCATCGGCGAACGCACTAATTGTTAATTTTCTGGTTGCAGGTGTTGGAGGAATACTGGTTATGGGCTTAGGAATAATAATAAGCGGAGTATTTATTTTGAAAGTGAAACCCAACGCAAGATTCGTCGCTGGATGGATCGCGTTTACCGCGATTGCCTATGCCATTGGTATGGGCATCCTAATGTTTGTCGGATGTCCGATGAACGACTTTACCGGCCTCGTTACGGACGAGCAGGGGTAAGATTTTTCTGAGATCCATTCAAGTTAAATATCACGCGATCGCTAATTTCGTTCCTTCTTACAGAGTATCCCGTTTCGAGCCCATCTGCGACGCGACCTGCGACTGCGACAAAAACAAGTTCAGCCCGATCTGCGGTGCGGACGGCCGAACATACTTTTCAGCCTGCCATGCGGGCTGTTCGAATTACACAGTTTTCGAAGGAAAAGTAGTTAATGTAAGCATTATTTATCGCCACTCAATATATGCGTGTGTGTGTATTCGTAATGAATGCACCGACAAATGCATGTCATTAACTCAATATTCACATTTTTATAAATTGCACAATTCTCGCTTCAACAAGAAAAAATTATAATGCGTATAAATGTGTGTGAAAGTGAACTTTGAAAGCATGTAAATGCGAGTTGACTAGATTTTTTAATCTTGTATTACGCCATATCGCAGCCTTTTTGCTCTTTTGAGCTGTTTACTTTAGATTATAAATTGCAAAAAAGTCAAATTTTCATTAAGATATCTTTATGTCACGATGCAAATTGAAAAAAATGTCAAAGGATGTTGTTGCAAAAATGAACAAAAGATAGATCTGCAACATTTGCTACCTCAGCTTTCGGTGTAAAAATATTTGAAATGTGTAAGGGCTGATTCATACAGACTGAGAGAAAGCAAAACTTTCCAAACTTTCGAAACTAAAAATGTTCCCCGAAGATATGACATTCGAAAATTGTTATCGCTCTCTAAGACGAACTATTGTCCTTCTTTCTTTGTAGTTCACCGATTGCCAATGTATCGCAAAGAATCACACGATGCCGGAAATGGGCGAGGCGAAGACCGGATATTGTCCCCTCGATTGCAATAACTTCTACGCGTATCTGATCCTATTCTCTGTCTTTGTTTTCATCCATTCGACGAGTGAGGTCGGCTCGATGCTACTCATACTTCGATGCGTCGATCCGACGCAGAAAGCCATGGCGCTCGGCCTTATACAATTTGCCATAGGTCTTTTCGGTGAGTAGACAAATAATTTACCAGTAAAACCGCTTCAAATATTATGACATGCTGCTTACTATTGTTATATTGCAAAATTTCGATAAGACTTATTGGTACTTAATAAGCTCTTGACAGTGTGAAATTTTGACAATAAACCAAGGACGACATTTCTTACATGCGAAATATTTCATATGACACCGTGGTACAGACGATTAACCGCTTATTGTCTGGATTTTCCAGGTAATGTTCCATGTCCCATAGTGTACGGCGCAGTGGTGGACTCGGCCTGTCTAGTTTGGGAGTATGCCTGCGGCGAGAAAGGGGCCTGTTGGCTCTATGACTCCAATGTCTTTAGGATGTTTTTCCATGGTACGTGACGCGATTGCTCAGTACTGTACTTCGTTATACTGGCACGGCCGACAACTTATAACCGCGTACTGCTTTACTTTTGATTTCTTCTTGGTTCGATGTGTATTTTAAATATCATGGCGGTCGTTTGAAAATGTATTCAGTGCAAATTGGTCAACGGTTAGCTTGAATATTTGTATTTTTAAATCATCGCTTACGTACACGTAGTTTAAGAGTTTAACGATCTTTTTTGTCAAGCTTCACAATCATGATAATCGTTGAATATTTCTTCCGTGTCCTGTAAATGTGTTGTACTAAAAAGCAGGACATAATCGGATCATTATACACAGTTGAGGAATTTGAAGTGAAATGAATAGTCATTACAAAAATAACGCTTGTTGCATGTCGCAGTTCGAATTACAATTGAAAATGGTTATACCCTTTAGGCGTAGAGCGAGTCGAATAAGATAATACGGCAATAACGTTTCATTATGTTTCTACAGGTACGACCGGTTCTATAATGGCGCTGGCGTTCATCTTCGACTTGATAGTTTGGTACAAAGCTGGTAGTATAAACTTCGTAGACGAGCAAGAACACGAGGGGGCCACCGCTGAGGAGATGGCCAATTTGAATATGCTGTCGGAGGATATTGAATACCCTCCGGCCAAACGAAATTCAATATAAACAAAAGCATAATTACGATGAAGAACTCTTCTTGTAATTTACTTATGTGATTGGAGCATCATCTTCTCTCATCCGGACAATTCTTTCAAATAGTTCAAGATGAAAATCCTTATCGGCATAGTGAGGATTTCTTTCGATGCGCAAGAAACGTTTTTATTTCTTTGCGAGTGTACCTGCACGAGCGCGTGACTGCGCGTGTCTCATCCTCGCGAACGAGTCCGTCGGATAGAAAGCTTGCGGACGCCAACTCGATATATAGTCTTCTTAGACAAGGGGAGGAAAGAAAGATTATTTTTTTGAACATGAGTGATCATTGTTTTGTTGACTGATGATTTATTGTTAGCTAGGGACTTCTCTGTTTCTTTTCCTTTCGTCTTTTTGCGTAGCAATTCTAGGTGACGATCGTTTTCTTTTCCTTACATCACACGAGCATTTTCACTTAATTGAAGTGCTGATTGTAGGTTTCATCGTTTAGTGTACGTGTTTAATGAATGAAATAACTTGTCAACGAATAAGTCGATCAGCAAGTTGCGTTTTCTAACGCTCACTCTAATTATAGAGTAGAAGGATTTTGGCGAATTATCGACAAAACAAAACAAAAAATGTACAACGGAGTATCGCGGAGTATACACCTTTATATTGTACGAAAGCGCAATGTAAAAGTGCTTTTGCTGAATTATTTTTTGAGGATAAAAGTAAAAGGAGAGATATTTGCATGTATCATATGTAAATAGCCGAAGAAGAGACAAGGAATAGTTTTACAGATTTTTCTTATTTGAGAATATCTTTGCCGAAAGAAAATCGAATATTTAATCTTTTAGATATAATGTAATCGATCAGTGTAATGTTTTTTAAATCGTTGATGTTCACGTGTAACGTTATTTTAAATATTGCCGCAAAGATGATTTTTACATATTTTTCATCGATATTTTTTTTAAAAGTAGAAAATTCATGTCATTTATATTTAATAAATTTATCGCAGAATTGAACATCAACGAAGTACGACTTTTTAATGAAAACGAAGGAGTAAACATTTAATAATAGTTTTTAGCGACGTAAAGATAAATCATTACGACGCTCTGTGTGATACCTCAGAAATAATTTTAGCCATGTAGTTTAAATACAGAAATATGAGATGAGAGCGAGAAAGAAAGTGTGAATGAAAAAAGTGTAAACGTTTGTATAAATCGACTGAGGATGTATTTTTATGGGATCGTCAGGTGTAAATGTAGTTCTAAGATTATACTTATGTGTATTGCGCATATAGAAGCATATATGTCCTGTTGTATATACGTAAGATTACGAAAATTTACAACTTATAGCTATTTGCTTTATACTTTCGAATCATTTGAATTGTCCATACATTTTTTTGTATGGAATTTTATGAAAATAGTTAAGCAACTGGTTTATGTTTACAAAGTAATATATTTTTAAAATATCATAAATTTTCGAGACTTTTTATTCATTACAAAGACTTAAGTCAGCATTTTATTAGATTTTCTTTGAAAGTTTTTTATTTAAATGAACTACAGTGAAGCCTAAATAAAACACGTTCCATAAACATACAAAATTTTCACGTTGAACAGTACATGTACCTTGTCTTATAATATATAATCTTGGCATATATTTGAAAACTTTGGAAGTGGATTTTATTTGGAAACTTGCATTCTATTTGCATTTTTAAAATACCATAAAATATAAAAAAATTAAAAAGTGTACGATACTACGATCTAAACGTACAAATTATTCCTAAAATGAGACAATTGATGTTTTCTAAACTTTGATATTAATTAGAACCAAATTCGATAAGAGAAAACAAGTTTCAAATACACGAATCTCTTAAATTGTTCATACAATGTTCTCATTTATTAACATTAAAATTATTTTATGTAATTAAAATTTTAAGAAAATAGTGAGTTCAGTTGACAATGTTAAAATATGATGAAAGTGTAATTCAGTTGAATTAATGTGAAGCAGTAGAAATATATTCAAAGACTTGTATTTTTATAATATCAGAATTAAAGATGACTACGTCTTCAATTTACAAATAGAAGTGTTGATAAAATACATATTCAAATGATACAATTTAAGAATCTTACAAGAAAAGTACCGGTATTTTTTTCCAACCGAGGATAAATACAAATGTTATCGTGATTTTCAGTAGCATATAGTCTCTAAAAGTAAATATTTTTCTCTGTGCTACATATGTTGACGATCCTTCATACATTTCAAAAGTGATGCAATTTCAAGTATACAGATTATACCACAATATATGAAACGAATTCCATAAATAGAATTGATCGTAGATAGAGAAATAATATAAATGTAACATAGTCTATTATTTTTAGTTATTGACAGTTTCCTATGAAACTCCAAATATGAAAAGTACTTTCCTAAGATATTTGAAATACCAATATGCAATTTATAAAGAAAAATATTCCGAAACATGTGATATACAATGTGAGAAAAAAAGTAAGAAATAAACGATTTTCATAAAGAATAATGGAAATAAATAAATTTAAAAAAGAAAAACTAACCATGCTACGCAAAAATAAGAATAAATCCTATTAATATAAATAAAATGGCATTGCGCCATTTTAGAAGAAAGTCAAATATCTTGGGAAACATTAATAATACAAATAATGAAAAATGTACACTCCAATAACAATTATAACATAACTTATAATGAAGTGCGGTTTATATTTTGAAAGAGCGCATCGCGAGAATGCCACTAAATCAATTCTACAAAAGAAATATAAAAAATTTACTGTACATGTAACAAAATGACTATATGCCAGATTATTTTTCAAATTATACGTATTCGAGGACTTTATTTTAATGGTCGGAATGATCGTTGAGCGTAACAATACTTGCTAGTCTATGAACGTAATCGCATAAATTTTGGAACAGATGGATAAAAAGTGATGATAGTGAGACATGAACGAAAAGCTAGAATATGTTTGCCATTTTTATAGAATAACTTTGTTTTATATTTAATTTATTATATTAACTTGCTCGTAAGGCTTATTGTTATCGCTGTAAAAATATAATTGTAATTATAATTATCACAAGTAATCTTGCTAAATATGTCCATGAATTGTGAGAAGTAGATTGTAGCTGATTGAATTAGATTGTTCAATGTCGGATAATTATCACCTTCAGTGACGTAAAATTAAGTTTAAGGACTTCGATAAAAGTTTTTTTGCTTGAATTAATATAATTAGTATGGATTAGAAACTGCTACTTCAATATCAATTTTCACGTAGCTGTAAGTTTTTACGTAACTTGTGGAAGTGTTATTATTATTATTGAAAAATGCCATCACACTTTCCTTGAGAGATTTAATTGTACATAAATGTATGATGAATTCTTCATTTTTTTTGTTATAAGTATAAGTAAATAATTTGTATAATACGTCAATTATCGTGCTTATATATACATCTTTTTGTGTGTAAATGTAGTATGGAATTTCCGACCTTATTATAATAAGATAAACATAATGAAGGACTAATGCGAAAACAATGTAGTAAATGTTTATTTAGAAAACAAAATGAATTTTTTTCTCAGCACCGTTTAGACTTATACACCATGTTACAAATACATGCGAATATTTAATACATTGCTAAACGTTAATTCTACAATTTTATTTTAAGAGACCTCTAAAAACTCAGTATAAAATTTTATATTCTAAAATTCAAAAATCCTGCAAAATATTCAAAATTAAATGCTAATTTGATTTATTGTTGTTTGTTATGACATACTTCAACGAGTATTCACTGTAACGTAATGTTATTAACCCTCAGATTATCGATTTTAGATTTTTATCAATCTTTCTATCAATGTTATAACTTTGTACTACTAAAATGGCCTAAAATATGTTTTGATTGACCTCTTCAGTATCTCCGAACGCTCAATACATTACTGAGAATACAACTTGAAAAACAAAAGTGCAGATTTAGCACAGAAACATACAGATATTATACGTGCAAATTAATACGAACATTTTTTAAAATAATAAAAACTGCCACTGTTATGCATAACTTGCAACAATTTAGACTGACATTTTTACTACAGTTTCTCAACGAACTTTGCAATGTACACACTGCCCTGACTAACCGATTTTTTTTGATAATCAGAGGGTTAAGACTGATTTATCTAATACGTATAAAGTTGACCAATGTATTTTGTAATTACTTCCGTTGTATTGTTTATAATTACAATTAACGAATGCAAATTTGTTTCTAATAAAAGGCAAGTGCCATAATTTTAAAACGACATTGTCAGTTTATTTACGTAGTACCGCCATGATTAGATTGTAGCATGATTTGAGATTTTTATTAATAGTATCTGAATGTATGTTTTGCATTATTTTTGTCATATTGAAGTAAATTCTTAAATTCAGACAAATTCATGCATTGCTTTTGCCATTACTGTGAACATGCAATATAACTTTAAGCACAGGGATTTTACTAGAATAATTATAGGTGTCTATTAAGTTAATTATATCGTACGCTAACCATCCTTCCGAGACTCCAAGTTTATTACGATGCCAAGTCAATTTTTGCATGAACAAATATAGCGATCGGGTGTTTTTAAAACCATATCTCAAAATTATTATGTTGCTGCCCAAAAGTCATTCTTCTTTGTATTTGAATATTTAAAATCAGATGATTTGTCTATTATCTGTTTAAAAAAGAAGCTTCGAGTTCGTGAAAAAAATAATTTACGTAAAATCATAAAAGATGATCGAAGGTTATTAGGTTATTGACTTATTTCAGGTACAAAGAATCATGATGCATCATTTTTGAAAAAATCCTGCATTTATTCGGAGATGTTTATGAAGGTCTAAGCGTCAATAAAAATGCAGACGCACTTTCTGACGACGGTAGTACTTGACCAAATGCTTCTAATAATAATGGTTCTTCTTGTATAGTTGCCTCGTAATCAGAAAACGATACCTTTCCATCGTGATCGACATCGAGCTTTTTTAAAGCCATTTCCGAAAGATCTCTCACGCCTTCTTCTGGGTCTTCTTCTCCAGATTGTTTCATCAAACAATTTCTAATGAAAATGCATTGAGTTTTTTCATTAATATACAACGTCATTATTATCTACACATAAATACGGAAATGTAACTCACTTAAATAATTGAAATATTTCGTCTTTGGAGATGAAACCATCGCCGTTCAGGTCATAAACTTTAAAGCAAAATTCCATTTTATCATGCAAGCTTCCTCGTAAAAAAACATCTAATCCTATGACCCAAGGTTCCAATCTTATTGCGCCCTCGCTGTCTTTATCCCAGCAAGAAAACATTCGCTCAATCAATGCATCTTCTGTCAATATGTTAAAAGTATTGTGAAGCAATTCTCTGAATATTGTCCTATCAATGCCCTAAAAAAAAATTTCTCTGATGCCATATTTGATTCTATGAATTGCATTTCAATCAATACCGTTCATGTTTCGCTTTTAAAGTCGGATAATACAACCTGCAGTTTGGATTGTTTCGATGTATGATATCAGATAGAATATGAAAGTTTTCGGTTGAACAATCATTGATTTGAAATTTTACCGTATTGCTTTTCATTCCATTAGGGTATAAAATGACACTGACGCAGTGAATATTAAAATTTAGCGCACGCATCCACGAACTACGGCGATTTTTGCACGAAAATATAATATAATATAATTACTTCTACTGTTTGCAGAGTTGAAGCCCCATTATTTATGCCGGAAGTGCCAGGTCGAGTTGATGGACTGCTGATTAGTTTGCTGTATATTTTACATAATGCCTCCAGTTCATGCCTAGTTAATGCGTTAATTGTATTCTTAATTTTTTAAATAAATGATGTGTGACAGTGATATCATTGCTGTACTACATTGATCTCTATTTCAACGGATGATAAGATATTAAATGAAAAAAATATAATTATACATAAATTGATAGAGAAACACGTCAGAAATTTTTAATCTTCTATAAAAAGTTTGACAAAATAAAACATTTGAATCGTTGAATGGACTTTCAATATATATTTTAATACTATATATATTATATGCTATGAGTGCCTATTAATCAAAATAATTATGTGAATATTATTATAATTTTTTATTGGTTTCGTCTTATTTATCAAAAAGTATGTATATGTTTTAATATGAAATTATTTAAATGTAAATGATCAAATTTATTCAAAGAATTTTCTTTGGAATATCAAATGCGTGACGTACTTGGAGAACCGGGTCTTCTTCCTGAGCGCTTCGATGAATTTGGCATGATGAGCCGAGCTTTTAAGGGAGAAATCTTCCGGCATTCTTCTTCGTCTTCTAGAGGATTTGGATTGACTGGTAGTATCGGCACCGACGCCGCCACTGCTGGAGCACGACTGCTGTCTACGCGAGGCGCTCGACACCTTGCGCCCCGTCGCCAGGAAGATCGAGACGCTTTTCATGACCATTGCGCCGGTGCGTCCGCTAAAGCAGATCCGCGTGCCTGATTGGTCCTCACCCATTTTTTATTTCCTTTGATATGCTCGATGTTACGTCGGACTGCTCGTCATTCAAATTGCTGTTGTTTCATCGATTACATATATTCATCAATTGTGTTGCAGTATAGGCTTTCAATGTATATGATTCTGACTGATATCTTATTCTGCTATTTGCATTGAAGAATAAATCACATTAATTGTTGCCCATGAAAGCAGCTGACGATATTCTATTTGAGATAAAACGAATATTTGAGAAGGAAGTCTGTAATGCATATGTTAAAAGCAGTCGATCGAAATCAAATTTGATAACATGATGTGACAATAAATATTTCTGAAAAATGGCTCGGCTCTTTAAGCATTGTAAAATGGACAAATTTCAGAATCATATAAAATCTATTGTCTTAAACAAGGTTTCCTCAGTTTCAAGATAAATATATGCTTGCAAACGTAGCAATTAGTTTTCCTTCAACTTTCTCGTGAAGAAAGATTATCCCTAGTTCTTTTATGATCGATAATGGTAATGCTCTTTTAAGATCCCTAGCCATCAACTCAAATAATTTATGACATTGTACGTAGTTTTCGCCTGTCATTTCTTGAAATGAAGTCAGCTTTCTCAACGATAAAACGGTGAAGTTTGTCACTGCCACCCATAACTTTGTTCTGAGAAACTTTTAAGCGAAATATTTGTAGTTCTTTTGTTGCTTAAAAATCGAACGTTGCATGGTGTATCAACAAAACATAGTGTAACAAGTATTACCGATGCAACACAAAGTTATGTGATTTTTTTGATATCTGTATTTTTAAGCAAACTTATTCAGCAAAACTACGAGCATTTCACAATTAATATTGGGCAGAAAACTTTCTAGTATAAAACAACAAAGTAGTATTAGCGCATGTTGGATACTCATAATTGAACAGGCATCTGCAGAAGTTTTGTTATCAGATACAAAGTTCCTAAGGAAAACTTTTAATGCTGGTATATTGATCTTCCTGCCACAAATGGCAGGCACAAGTAGTAATTCGCAAACAAATATTGAAACGTTGCCATAAAACCCTAAAACTACAGCGACCGGTTATACTTGGTGTACAAGTATAACCGGGTTGATTCAAATTTGGCCGTTTGAAATTTTACTGACCCACTTCGGGTGATTTCGTTGGCAAATAATTTGACGTGTTCTACATTGAAGTAACACTTGATTTTGACATGAAGGTTCATATGCAATTGTTTTCTCATCAATAGACAACAATTTTATCTTTGTCGTGCTGTCATGTAAAAGTTGCGAAAAACATTCATTAACCGAAAGTTTTTGAACCGCCTTGATTGAATATTTCACAGATTAAGTAAAGTTTGATACGATAGGTGCTTGCAAACTAGGAATCGATGGAAGATAATAATCGTCTGTTTCCGATCATCGCCCACTTTGTGCGCTGATTGGATGCAACCAATGTAACACGCGAGGTGAGTATTTCGTGTGAATTTAGGAGCTTACGAATAGCGTTTCTTTATTGGGGTAATAATTATACAGAATAGGCTAAACAATTCCAAGCAAATTGCACTTTCATTGTCAAAGTAACGAAAATAAAATTTTAATTTCCGGAAATGACAATGTGACCCGAGGTTATTGATATATATTTGTATCAAACTTGTGAGTTTGAAACTTACTTACTAAAAAATACACCTTTTCTAACAAAGTATTATCACGCCAAGCCAAACGCAAGCGAGCGCAATGTATAACTGGCAAGCCTAACTTTATCATAAAGGCGACGTAAATCTTTCTCTTTCATTCTGCTTACTTTGGCACGCGAGTGGCGATTAAATTAGTTTAAGACTCACCGATTGCCGATCTCGAAATGCCGTGTCTTTCGTCCTCGGCAACGCAGCTAAAAAAAGAGAGAGAGAGAGAGAGAGAGAGAGAGAGAAACACAGGTTCACCGCGGCTCTCGCGCACTACCTACTTATCGACCAAACTTCGCGACTAAGATACAAGTGTGCGCGGCGTTTTAGCTTCGTAGGCATATGATCACGAGACACTCGCCGTAGATGTTGTATCCAATTAGAGTTTGGGCGCGCGTAGCACAAGACTTGATCGGGGCTACCAGCCGCGTTCATGGTTTTCCCTTTTCAACAAATAATAAGGATATACATGCTACTGCCTCGTAAAACAATCATTACTAGAGCTGACTGGTACCAAAGTATTTGTTTTGGAGAGCGAAATTTTTCAATCTTCCATGATTTTTCACTTTCTTCGTCAATTTTTCGAAATTTCAAGATTTTTTACATTTTACATTAATTTGACGAAATTTCATGATTTCAAATATCTCGTAAAGTTTTGAAAATTTCAAGATTTTTCACTTACTTCAATTTCTCTATAACCCAATAACCCAATTTTTCAATCTTTCAGGATTTTTCACTTTCGTCGTCAATTTTTCGAAATTTCAAGATTTTTCACTTTCTTCGTCAATTTTTCGAAATTTCAAGATTTCATATATTTCAAATATTCATCAAAAAGTTATCAGCTTAGAACAAAAATAGAGTTTATCATATACTATATTGATTTTATATAGAAATATCTTTTTAATATCTTCATGGGATATTTTTAATAATACAATAATAATCCTGGAAATTAAGAGGAAATTTGGCCATATAATGATACATGAAACATACGAGGAATTGAGCAAGCAAGTATGATTCAATAAGTTTTGATGATTCAAATATTTAGAATTTCAAAAAATAGTGTGTAAACATTGAGAAAAACATCAAAACCGTATAGATGATAAACATATTTTTAAGAATTCAGTACATATGTCACAGTCAGCCTTACAGCATAATTAGGAAAAACCTAATACGTCAGAGGTTGATGCAATAATATATGATTTTTATGTCATAAATATTTCAACTATTGAAAATAAATAGATCCAACGTTTTTTTAAGAATTAAAACAATGTTAGTTTTTTCTAATTATACAAAAATATTTATATGATATTTCAAAACAGTATATATATGTAAAGAATGACTTCCCTTGCATCTTTGAACATGCGACAATTGCCGTTTTGCTTTCTTTTATAAACCAACTTTATCAAACGAGTCTTGTGTATTTTTCACTGGCGTCCGTTTTCCTAACCACACCCACCCATTTGCTAAGTACACTGTGTAGTATATTTGCATACTTTCTGACATCACTCGGCGTTACATGCTTACATTCTATGTATTATTTCTTAACAATGAACTCTTGAACAATACGATTATAATCGAAATAATAATCGAAATTTAATAATCATTATCGTGCGCTTAGCGCAGGAAAAGTTATATGGGTAGTGAGTTAAGACTATAAAAGTAATATGTTGCTACATATTTTTTTTATAGTATCATATTAAAGTGGACCTCGAAAAAATTATTAATAATACTTCTAAAAATAATTATTAATAACATTTTACTCAGATTTGGATTATTTGTAATGTAAACCGAAAAATCTTCAGATAATATTTATCACTACAATCGAGTATCGCAGAATCCAATGTAGATAAATTGTTAAATAATGCACGCTTGTTCTTTTCCCATAAATTCATCATTCAGAATTTAAAGACTAGCACAATAAAGATACTGTCTGGGTAAGATAAAGCACAACCAAAATTATTAAAACTCATAAAGTAGTAGAATATCAAAAGACATTTTTTCAGATTGAAACTAAAGTTATTAGGAGATAAGATAATGAATAATACTTTGTGATTATAACAGCATTTATATGTAAAATTAATTATTTTTACAAGAAAAATTTAGTAATGACCGACGTATATGGCCTTACTGAACAGTTGAGTACAGTATGTACGAGAGACTACAGCATTGCTATCGTGATTGATGTAGCACAATACATCCTTTGATTGTTATAGAAGAATTGAATCATTTTTATGTATATTTTTTTATCTGCATCACAATTTTATAGCAATCTATTTATTTTTAATAATAAATTAAACCAGTCGCGTGATTCTGACGACCAGTGTTATGGAATATATTAGTTTAATCCTCTCCGAACTTCAGTTATGACAACACCGACTAATGGTATCTATGTATTTTAGTCTAAATTTTATTTGAGACTGTTAAGAGAATTATCTAAGTAAATGCATCATCTAATCGTATTCTACTTCTAAAACATATAATTATGAATTTTATAATTTAGGCTGAAGCCTGTCGAGTGTTTGAGAAATCACTATTGTATCGAGTGAGAAATATTTTAGAGGCAATACCTATGCAGGGATTACAGGGAATCCAAACCTTTTATTACAATAAAAAATAGCACAATTGATCATATTCTATCTGACAACTGTAAATTAAATATGAATCGTTTATAATTCACGAAACATTACAAAGGCAGTATTCCGATGAACGCGATTAAAAAGATGTTTGAACTTAATGACTTTGGAAGCATGACCGTAATCTTCAGTGCAATAGTATATATCAATGAACAATTTGACGCTGAATCTATTTCCGGTTTCAAAAAATAAGTGGCACTAAAATCCAATGAGATATCACCGAATTTTAGAAATGTTTCAGGATCAGCTTATATTTGAACCGCCATCTTGAAGCCGCCATATTGAATTTTCAAAATGGCCACATTGCATGGTAAAATAGATATACAGAGGAAAAATATAAGCCGACTCGCATTTTTCTTTAATTTTTAATTTTAATTCAGCATGTGCTTCTAAGTCGATATTTTTTATAAATTAATATGGTATCTAAGATAATGAATATTTTTTAATTGTTGAGATTAATTTTACCGTGACCCATGATCTACTGCTTTAAATTATCGTCAAGACAAGATTCCATGGATACAGGGATGTTACTGCTATTTTCACAAGGGATTTGTAACAGAATAAGAAATAAAATTTTAGTCCAAGATGATCATAGATACTTATGAAATCAGTACAGGATAGGAAGAGTCATATCTGATCAGTCTCCCGGTTCTGATCAGATATATGGAAGCTATCAGCTATATGTTGATTAAATAGATGTCCATCGTCCATTGCCCTCGGGTGCGACTTGGCAAAAGAGTTGAAATTAGTGAGACCTTTCACCGTTCGCTCGCTCGCTCGTTTGATTAGTTGCTGAAAATAATACCAAACCTTGCAATTTTTGTTCGTAATCAAGTAAGGTATTATTCAATAAATGAAGTTATAAAGCAAGTTGTACGTTATTCTTCACCCATTTTTCTTAATTAGTATATTCAGTTTGAATATATAAATTGTTCATTTTGATATTTGTTCTCAGTTTACTATATCACTGACAAATATAATTCCCTATCTTCAAAATTTTTTTCCGTCGATATAGAACTTTACAACACTTTTTCAACGAAAAAAAGTCTGGAAAAATGCAGACGATCAAAATTTGGAGTAACCACTCAAGAACAATCAAAAAAATGTGTTACATTAAATTATACCGTATTTCTTTGCTTTATTAAATCCTCTTGAATTCAATTTAAGAGAGAAATTCAAAATGGCCACAAGCGCAAATAGTACATAACTTTTTTGCCAAGCGGTCCGAAAGTAGTATTTTTCCGGCAAGTCCATAGCACGTGTTTGATAATCTCGGCTTTGCTTTTGTTGTTAATTCTCACGTGCTATACGGATTTACCAATAATACTTTTCCACCCTAAGTGCGCAATGTACTATATGTGACATCATAAGCCAGTTACGAGCATCTAGCAGTTCGTAAATAGCGGCATCTTATTTTTGTCTGCAAAAAATAAAAAAAAAGGTTTATTTTTGATAACTTCACATTAATGTGTACTACTAAAGGCTCCTAACGTATGCATGGACTATTCCAACAACATTAAGTACAAATCAAAATTTATTCCAGTATTACGAAGTCATCTCGAAAATTTACATAAACAAAGAAATAAATTACTATCACTGATCTTGCATTAACGTTCGAATTTTTGAACATAGAATACATGTTGCTACCAACTTTTTTTTTATTGAATAATTTGGTATTAACTTTTTAGTATTTAAAATAGCTTTATGATATACTGAATTATATATATATATATATATATATATATATATATATATATATATATAAAATTGCGCGTGCCTGTGTCTCAGTTTTTATAATTTTGGTTTAACATAATTTTATGATCTGTTAATAAAATATAAAAAGTTATAATTAGTTCTGTGTATACATTCTGTCAATACACATATACATAATCTTTAACTAAAATTAATATAGAATTGTATTTTTATAAGAAATATGTACTATTCTAGTATTTTTAGGAATTTTACATAGTAAATAAAATAATCTTATTATTTTATATCAATTTGGGAATAATTTTTAGGTATCCGTGCTACTCCTACCTTTTTTAAAAGCGTGTTTTTTAATTTATTCGTAAAATAAAATTTTTCGGTAATTTAGACTGCTGTACAAAAAATGAATCATAATTGAGGACTAACAAATACGAAGGTCCATTTCAACATTTTTTAAAGTGTCTTATTTGTAGGCTTGTTAAAATTCTAAGTGATTTATATATTTCCATATTTATATATTCACTTAGCTATTTTTCAATTACTTTTAATATAAGTTAATATTGCAATCCTAACACACAATATCAGATCATACAAAGTTATCAATCAATAATTTGTCAATAAAAGTATTGGCAGATCAAATAAAATATTTCAAAAAAGAAAGGTAAGAAAAATTGTGAAATACATGTTCAAGTACGTCAGACCATCAATATAAGGAAGTACTGCAAGCGTTAACACGATAGGTTTGTCGCCGTCGCTGTTACGACTCTGGTTAGTGCACGTTGCTAGGTAGATCTTTCGATGTCCTCCAATATAAATAATTTCTCTAGTTCGTGAGAAAATTCATATCACTTTTAAAAAGAGATGTCAGAGTTTAAGAAGGCAGCCACGTGTACGTCAGAGAAACGAAGGTCGCGGGTGCGAATGTGGTCACCCAAACGTATAATTACCTGACGCTAAGAGGATAATCTATTTCAGCTCACTCAGTAACAGAAATTAAACTTGAACATTTTCTTAAGGTCGTGACATTAAATTATTCTGAAGTGTAATCTATTTTAATGTTATTTTGTACACAAGAGAAAAGAAATATTTTAGGAATCACTTTAACTATAAAGCATTCTAAATAACAAATATGCTTGAAAATTAATGTCAAAAGTTTAAATTACAAACATTGTGTTCTAAATTTTGGAAGGATTTAGTTTTAAAATTGGACAAGTTACCATCATCGTTATCGTGGCCAAGTGTTAGTGAGCAGATTGGAATTGATTTAATCGCGAGATTTTAAGTTTTTTTGTTACCTAACATCACACGTGTCAAGCACAGCAAGAGAAAATAACAAGAAATTTTCCCGTTAAGTTGAATGGCATATCTTTCGTGTTAAGAAAACGACTAAAAATATTTTTATTCTATTGACTTGTAGAGCTGATTCATTACATACATTTATTTTCTGCAGGTAAAATTAATGCAAATGATAGGCACCAATGTTATACAATGTTTTGAATATGTAAATGTTATAAAATAAATCTACGAAATTACTGATATACTATTTAAAATCCTCTTATCAGTTGTTAAATATTGAAAAGTTGTTGGTCCTCGTTCAAACAAAAGCGTATGAAAAATAATTTGAGCGCGAACATTGATGCGGGTCCGAGCGTATCCGGCAGATACAGTTCTTCGTTAAGCTCAAAATCCAGGGCCGATCTGGCGTCATGCGTGAACTACCATGAACCGCCCGCTAATGTGTTCTTCTTTTGTGACCCACTCTTTCTGTTTCCTATGATGAGTTTGCGCGTTGGGGGGATTCCCAAACCTGTCATTCGGTTTTTCTCGTGCGTGGATATATGTATATCGCATGCGTGTCTACCGTTTCGTACGCATCTTGACGTCTGTCGGAAGATCGTTTGGCGGTTGCCAAAAGAAGCGTGAGAAACAGAGAAAGAAGAGAGCGGCCCAAAGAGAATCGTGAATGACGTGAATATTTTACACGACAAACGAGGATGTGGTCAGCGTTTTGCACTATACCTCTATATTTATATTGTTATTAGCATGACAAACTCCACGCTGCTACGTGCACTAGCAAAACCCGATAATTAAGAATGTAAGAATTATTGCTTTTGGTGTTCTTTCAAATAGAACTTATAAGAAAGCATTTATTGTATGGAAGTTTTGAATAATTTCTGTTACGGAAACAATAACCAGGACTCAACAATTAAAAAGAACATATTCCATGATAGATGATTTTTATATTTTGACATTTTGAATGGCCCGAAACAAAAGTAACAAATGAGAAAATTAAATGAACTTGAAATACATGATTATTATATAAGCAATCTAAACACTAACAGCGAATTAAATTTACTAAAAAAATGTAGTTCCAAAAGTCACACTAAAAAATATAATCGTTAAGAAGAGATTTTTCAGATGATTTGCTTAGGTTTGACGCGCCAAGACGGATTCTGTTAATTTCCTTCCTTGATGAGAACACACGCGGTCATAAATTAGCATAAATGGCTTTCTAATGCTGAATTATTAAGGGAATTCCATGGTCAAGCTGCGGCCAAGGTTCACCAGGAAAGAGAGGGAGCTAAGTGAGATACGTTTCGACCAATAATATGACGATCTTTAGACGAAAAAGCCACCGAACCACCTGCGCAAAACTCACCTGGCCACCCAACTATATAAGACTAGCCCGTCACTCGTCTGACATCAGTTGTTTACTCGCGCAATCCTCAACAAGCACAAGATATTCTCTAGGTTCTCGTGTTCTGCCAATTACAACCTCGTGACAATGTTTAAGTACGCAGTGACTTTTCTCGCCCTTGTTACGATCTCCATGGCTTTCCCAGCTAACGATGAAGGTAAGACCATTTTTTATTTTTGACTCAGTTTTTGTCGACGAGATCATACTATCGGGCATTTAACCATCCCGGCTTCTTGGTACATATTAAAAATATATATTAATTGAGTTTTGTTACATTCCTGATGAAAAAATTTAAAATTTGTTAGATTATAGCCCACACTTCACTAAAGAAATATGTTATAGAATCTAATTTTCATTGCTTCAATAAGATTGTATATTGAGAGTTTCTTTGGATTTATTTCTGAATACTTACATTATTTTGTTTTATATTTTTTCTTAGTAGTTTTCTTATTATTAATATCAGTATTCAAATTTCGTGTTCAATAACTTACTATAAAATTTATCAGTGTATAATTTTTTAATTTTGTTTAATTTTTCTCTCTAAGGGGAGTTTAAAGAAATTATACCTGTCATTGAAATCGAATAAAAATTTGATCAGGTCATTTAATTACTAATGGAACTTGGAAAAACGGAGCTATAGAATATGAAATAAAATCCAATCTATTTACAGCATTCGTACGTGTAGCAAGATTTGCTTACCCCGAACCTCATCATCATCATCACGATCACGACCACTACCACGATCACGACCACGATCACGACCACGGCCACTTTCACGATCATGGTCATGATCACGATCACTATCACGATCACGATCACCACCACGATCACTACGGTGTCCATCCTTACGATGGATATGGAGGATATGGGCAGGGCGGCTTTGGTAATGGCGGATACCCTATCGGCGGATACCCTGTTGGCGGATTTGGTGGCGCTAACGCTAATGCTCAGGCTCAAGCTAGTTCCTTCGGTGTTGGCTTCAAAAGTCCCGGTCTAATCGGTAACGGTGGTTACCCTGGTGGATACGGTGTATATCCAAGTGGCTACGGAGTAAATGGAGGAAACAGTGGAGCGTACGCTACAGCTCAAGCCAGCGCTGGGTAAGTATCTCTTTTACTCGTGCTCACTTAAAGTATTGATTCTAACGACAATTAATCAAACAACTTTTGCGAGTTAGTTGTTGATCTCGTGGATTTTACCATTGTTGTTTATCGTTGCAGAACGTTCGGCAGAAAGTAAAGCAGAGCAACGATATAGACTGATTTACGGCAACTGACGTGGAGCAATTATTCGTACAGCTATGCCTGATTGTGGTTTACTCTTAGTAATTTATTACGCTTATACACATAGTTGAGTGATTATCTAATAAAATCAAGTTTCTTTTTATAAAATAATTGACTTGTCTTTTGTTATTGTTTGTTAAAACATTTCCGAATCCTTTTTAAGAATTGTTTTTTTTTTAATATTTCAATTTGTTTTCAACTAGCATTATACAAGTTTCATTCAGTATCAATATTTAATAAATGAACTATTTTATATAATCCAAATATTAAATAAATACATTTTTTTTATTGAAATGAACACTTCGAGCTTCTGAAAACATAATAGTTTTTCATAGCAAGTTCATGTGCAATGTAAATAATAAAATATTAAAAATATTTTATTGTGCACTAAAAAATACATTTATTGATATAATTTTATATAATTACGCCTCTATTTTATCATCTGTTAGGCATCTAATTATAATAAATTGAAGAATTCACATCGTTCCAGTCCTTCGAAATAAATAATTCATACACAGAATTAGGTTTTTGTATTAATTTATTTTCGAAGAGTAGCGGCCCCATGGCTTCTTCCTAAAATAAAAAATTTATAAGTAAATAAAGTAAAATAAAATTTGTCAATCGAATACAGCAACTCGTAAATAATAGGAATTATGTCCATTTATTTATTATTCCAGATTTTGCAATTTGAAGCAGAATTGTTGTGTTGTATTTATACTATGTAATAATACAACATACCTTTTTATGAAATTCAATATACTTTATCGTGCGTAGTGATTTTTCCTTAATGTACAAAAAGTCGTGATTCATTCAATAATTTTTGTTTTCGTCTCGAATATTTTCATAAAATCTAACCGGTAATCAATTAATGTGACCATTAAATATTCAAGTTGGCCGTAGTTTCCATATCATAAAATCTGATTCATTTAAATTAGCTTATTTTGAGAAGATCGATGTTTTTTCGTATTATGTTAACGTTCTAAAAGAAATTCGTTATCATAGTTCATCCATTAATTAAAATTTTTTAGTAAAAATTAGACGGAAGTTCAAGCAAAAAAATAATGTTTAATAAACGTATTGTCTAAAGTTTTATTATAATTGAGTGATTTAGACATACGTGGGTGAATCACCATAAGCAGTGGCAACAGAACTTGCAACGCCACCTTTTGAAGTTGAATAACTATTAGCTATGGCTGTGACTGGGCCACCCAAGCCCGATGTTGCAGAGGCACGTCTACCAGAAAATCCAGGAAAACTGAACACCATTGGAAAGTAATTGTTTGCTGGTTTGTACTCGCGGCCTCTGGGCTTGAATCTCTTATGGTACTCTTCATCTTCGTCGTCATACTCATCGTTGTATTCTTCATCAATTGGGACATTTTTATCCTTTTTCTGGCCTTTCGATGACTTTTGAGCTAATTGCTCCCGATTTACGCCTTTTTCATTATCCTTTAATTATACAATTTTAACATTTGTTACAAAGTCAGAGATGTATTAATACATATTTTTCACATAACTAATATATTTTGAAAACAAGCAATTGGATGACTTTTCATTTATCTTACTAAATGAGAACAATTTATATTGAAATATTTTACACATATATATCAAAGTAACTGTCTATTAAATCTTAAATAAATTAACTGTCTAATTAAATTTACTATTTTTCTTATTTGACTTTTTTCAGACATAAAGTTTAGAATAAGATTTTCTACATAGAATTTGAAAATTCTAAACGCTCACTACACTTTATGATAGGAAAATTGAAGTAAAATCACAAATAAATAGGAAAATCGTTTTACAGCGTTTCTGTCCTAGAAAAAATGAGCTTCGAAATAATTATTTTGACGAAAATAGACCATGCGTAGAATTTTTTTAAAACACGCTTTAAAGACATCTGCATACGCCTGAAAAATAAGTTACAAACATGGAAAAAATAAGCCTATGCTGAAAAAGACAATTATTACCCAATATATAGATGCAAAGTTTAAACAGTTTCTATTGTACGGAATGTTAACTGCTTAAAATGTTGAATGCTTAAAAAAATATATAATAGAAAAGTAACATCTTATTTTTAAACACTTAGTATTATTCACCATAATTCATAAACAAAAAATCACTTTCTACACAAAAAATAAACATGACGGCCATTACAGCGTTAAATTTCCATCTCATACCTGCGGCTGAGCAGCACTTTCGTCGGACTCATCATACTCGGTACCTGGATGAGCTTCAGCAACGGAGCTGGACATATCGACATCGTTAGCTGGATCGGGACCACCGCCCAGGTATACCGGCTGACTGAAGTAGGCACCTCCGCCAATGGCATTGCCCTCGGTGTAAATACTAGTGGCTTGACTATTGCTTCCCGAGCGTCGAGGAGGCCTGTAGAAGCCAGTGAACATCATCGTACGAGGAGGGTATCCCTGGTAGTATCCTCTTTTATCACGGACGATCATTAGCGGATTTCTCATAAAATATGGCATCAGTGGCGTTACTTTGGTGTTGAAAGAAAACAAGTTTTTTATTACAAATAAAAACACGTTGAGTATTCATGTGGATTTATGCTTGAGGAATTGACTTAGGAATTAGAATTGTTCAAAAACATCCTACGAAGTGAAAATATATGCAACTATCTATTTTATTATAAAATGTAAAAAGTGTAGCGGCCAATATTTGGAAATGCTCATAAATTTTAGATTTCTGATAAAAACATATCGTCAGAAGTATAGCATTTCTAGAGCTATGGTTTTAACGAGAAGTAATGGAATGAGATAATGTGTGAAAAAGAACTTTGTTATTACGTACAATACTTACATGCATTCGTATCTGGCACGGCGCGACATTCAACAGCTCCAACAGCAAAGACTAGGACGATTAAGCCCAATAATGCAAGCGGCGACGTCATTTCGGAGTACCTAAGCTTGTACTTTGCTAACTTATGAGCAGGAATGATGTCCAAAGGCGAGGCAAGTGGGAATATCCACGAGCTACGGTAGGTTACTCGCCAGTGCTTTCCTGGCTAAACCGCGCCAATCCTTTTATACTGCGCAGGACACGAGAGATCCCTTCTCTTGTGGCTTGTTCACTTGGTCAAAGGCAGACGCGGCACGCCGGCAGAGCGCATCGCTCGCGATGCCTGCGCGTGTGCCGAATCCTTGATTATCCGAAGAACTGATGCATTCGATGAAACTCATTGCCGTCGCGCGCTGCGTCGTCACCGACGCCGTCGCGCTTGCATTCGACTCCCAGGCTTGTCTGATCTGATAAGTGGCGCGACTACCGATCGCGGCTTCCACTTGTTACTGAGTAATGCTATTTTTCGCAGCTCGCTTCGTGTCGGCGGTCGTTCAACGAATAACTTTCGTGCCGCTTTGCACGCACTTTTCCCGATGCAATTGGCTTTTTTTTTCATGCACCGATGCGACAATTTTTATCCGCCAAATTATCAGCTACTCAAATGACGAGAATTTCTTCAAAACAGACAAGTTAATGCAGTTGGAATTAAATGTTCTAAGACATTTTCATGCAATACATTGCAATGAAAATATTTAAATACAGCAATCATTACCTTTATTAACCGAGCATCCTAAGAAGTAGTCCACTACCTGTGATTCGAGAAATAATTACATTGCGCATTGGTATTTTCGATACATAATCGACGTATTTCATTCGAGAAAAGCATTCATTGAGTTTCTGAAAAATTGATTTATTTAAATTAACATACGTTTCATATAAAACACTTTTTATGTATCTATAGCAGTGCATTATAATCAAACTTAATAACCTTTTAATTTTCATAATAGTTTGAAACAAATAACTAATTATGGATATTTATACCTGATAGTTTTTTGCATTTGCAATATATGATCACCAATATTCACGACCAAGGAGACACATTTATTACATGGCAGTCTATCTGCTGAATATCACAATCAAGTTGTACTTAATATTTCCAAAAAAAAAACTTAAAATAGAAAAATGCCGGTTCAAATAGACTTTATTACCTTAAAATACTAAAATGTAAATGCAGTCACACAGATAATTAATAAAGGAGCTTTTGTCTTAGATGTCTAATTGATTTTCATTGATTTTTCTAGCACCAATAGCAGCTACGTTCTGTTTGATAATACTCAATTTCTCAACTGAACTGATATACCATATAAACGTACTACCGAAACCCATTGCAAGAACTATAATGATTATCATTACGGTGCAGATGTATATCAACACATTTAAATCGACTGTACGATAGAAAGTTAAATGCAGTTTCTACTAAGTACTAAAGATTAATGTGTTACAATTTTAACATTTTTTATAATACCTTTCCACCGCCAATTTATCACATGACTACCAAATAAGAATAGGGAGCTGAGGTAAAAATTATAAACTGTTATTAAAAATGTTTATAAATGGATTTGTCTCCTAATAATTGATTTCTCAGAAATTGAAGAGTCGTCCAATATTCGACATACTTATTAAAAAAATGTAGAAACAGAGAAACAACCATTTTTTGCACCACAATGATAAGCATTGATTGCACTCTTCCTACTCTATAAATAAAGTAATATGACGTAAAAGATTCATTAGCAATTTATAATCATGCAAAGTTCAATAGCTTCTCCAACCAAGTTATTCTATGATTCATCGTAATTCCGCTCTTAGCATCGCTTTCTCACCCTTCGCTGATTACATTAGCATTGCTCAAGGTATCGGAATGCCCAGTGAATTCCCTAATCATTTACAAACACGATGATTCATCGAATGTGCAAATAAAGTTATATACATGGTTTAATTCCAAAACCACCAAGCCTCTTTGTTAACATTAAAAAACAACATAGAGCTAATATCGATTAAGTTACACCTTTAGAAAACTTGCTGAATACTAACTAATTTACGATATGCGCCTGTAAAGACTAGTAAGTCTTTCCATGATAATTAATTAGTATAGGTTTATCGAAATCAAGTGCCGATGCCGATCAGTTTATATCGAAAAAGCTCTCGCTCAAATTCGAAAGGCTATGGCTGGTGTACTTGATCTTGACGTTCACTTGTCATTGGACAATTTACAAGCTCTTCGAAATTTTTGTTAATTTATCTAATGGTGATTTACACACGTAGTGCTGTTGTTATAAATTTAAAATTCTGGAAGCGTTACAAAAATATTTGCTTGGAGTCAACTGATATATCTACCAATGTTATTATATATAATTTGAATTTTCCGTTAAAGTTCACGAACCAACGCGAAATACACTTAGTAGTCGACGACGCTAGATATTTAAATCAGCAAATTTAACGGCAAGTTGTATTCCTAGAAAATTCAAAGACGCGTGCTGTACATTTGCTTCGTACAAACTACGACGTATTATAAAACTTGTTCTGCACACGAGAAGTACGAATCTTGATTCAGCGAGAGCTTCTGATTTTTTAACGTCATTACATCGACACCTCGGTGTACACCGAGCGGAACGAATGACGCACGTACCATCGTAAATGGCTTACTCGAGCTACATAAAAATCATTGTCCCGCAATAACGAATGTTCTATGCAAACGTATCCGAGGTGATTGACGCCTTTAGATTATTTTTGGACGATGTCATTTCGAATCAAGAATCTTGATCACTTACATTTTTACAGAATATTAAATGATAAATATTTTGCTGTATATTATTACTTTTGTTTAATTTCTTTTACATATAAAATATATTCGAATATGAGATTCGCATATACTCTAATATTATATGAAATTTAAAAGGAATCAATCGGCTGTAAATAGTAACATATGACCTCCTTTAACAATTTCCAGAGTTGTTTGTTTTTGGCAGAGAAAATATTATTTAAATTATGTACATATTTTTAAAAACAGATTCAGATTTGTAAAACTATATATCAAGGTAGTCTACTATTTATTATAAAAATACCTGCAAGACGCTAAAAAAATTGCCTTTGTCACGACGAGCGGATACCAATCAGCACTTACTTTTGTAATGCAAGGCAATTTATACTTTTCTATGATAATTATTGAGCAGGTAAGAGCTATCGGCTCCTTCTTTTTATTTGCTGAGGTGATAGAGATGCGTCACGCAATATGTCGATAAATCGATATCCCATTCTCTTTGCTATTTCGTCAACCTCTTCGATTCGTTCCTCTTTACACCCTACGCGCGTCCAAAATGTATAACGGTTTATACATATCTGCCCGACATTTGTGGATTGAAATACGGCGTCAGATGAAATTCTTCTGCGACGCGTCGCATAATATAACGAGACTACACTCAGAAACCACTATAATAGTTATCTGATTACTTTTATTTTTTTGGTCATACTTTTTTTATTTTATTAAAAAAGTTTTTTGCATTATTAAAACATAAGAGGTTATTTTTTTAATTAATAACAATTATTTGTTAGTTTATAATTATTTATAATTACTAGAAACATATTATATTTGTACTTCCAAATTGAAAAATATTGAACTGTAATCCTTTCTGTTATGCAATTCAATCTTCATTTTGGATGTACAAATGTACGGTTCCCTTGTATTTTTCGATACGGAATCGGAATCTGAATCCGATATAAAAAATGAAATAAATCTAAAAACAACCCCTATAATAAAGTAAAAACTAAATCTTCTTTCATAAAATTAGTTTTCTTTATTTATTAATTTATAATTTTTTTTTAATTATTACATTTTTTATTTTTACCTTTAAAATTACTTGATTTTTATTTTTATAACAAAAAAATTTGAATTTTGTGACCGAATGGATAGTTTTCATCCCATTTTAGAAGTTGCTTTTATTTTTTTTCAAATTTAACGCCAGATTTAGATTCAGCATCGAAAAATATATCGGAAACGTATATCGGCACTGTCATAACAAAGCAAATTGAATTGCGTGACTAAAAGGGTTAAGTTAAAAATCGAAATTGATGATTCATCTAATATCAATCAATATGATTCTTCGATCTAACTTAGAAATGTGACCGAATTATAATTCGTAAAGAAAATTTATTATTACGATATGTAATGGTGGTACGTGCTCACCGTAATAAAATACCTTTAGATATTCATCAATGAATCCCTAGAAATTGAACGAATAAAATAAGAGTTAACAGATTAACCGAAACCTATAAAGTGGGAATAGTTCTACAAACAAATTACCCTATATGTGTAACATACCAGTAGATTTTGATCACGTTGAAAGAGTAGATGGATACGACAGCTTTATAAATGCAAACATTTCAGCATAAGATATAATTGGTACGTAACAGTACATCCTTAAATATGATGAAAGATAACACCACCGAAGTTTTTAATCTTTTGCACTGGTTGTATTTTATTGGCATACGGCTAGCTGCAACAAATGCTGCAATGAATTTACGATAATAATAGTCGCTTATATTTGTAAAAATGGATAAGATTTCAACTACTGCTATATTAAATGGAAACATATTAGAAAGCAATCAAATCCATCATTTTGAGTTTACATGTAATGTATTTACCTCGTTGCAAGGGTTGATACGGTATGTAGTTATTTGAATACTTGATAATGGGGTTGCGACTATCAGTTCGTCTCTTTGTTGTAAGATAATTGTCCGATGATTTTATAGTACGTATATGACAACTTCCGCCTCTAGATTTATAAGTAATCGAATTTGAAGTGACTTGTACGACCGTATAGCTAAAGTCTGCGACTGCATCAAAGCTATTTGCATATTTGATGTTGAAATTGCGTGTACTGCTTTAAGGCAGCCCTTTCTCCCCATGTAATCGCGTAATTATACGTCATAGCTTGGCGTAGCAATGACAATTTTTACGTTTAAACAAACCCAATATTCACGAACGTTATTGCTGTTATGAGAATGCTGTAGCTGTAATCTCGCAACGAGCATACCTGATATTAAAATTGCATTTAGAGCTTAAACGGATCCCTTTGTCATTGTAAAATTATGTAATTGCATAATCTAGTCTAGATGTAATGACTCATGGTTCGTTTTTCAAGAAAAATCAATTTTCAATGACGTTACTGCTATTAAAAACTTATATATATCAATCACTTCACAACTTACATATATCTGATATTAAATTTATGTACATTGTTTAAATACATACCACAGATTGTATCGATGACATTGGTTGCGCAGAATAAAGGAGTAACAAATATTACATGTTTATTTTTAAGTAAAACTTTTGTTAAGCTTTTATAAAAAAGCTATAACTAGAATACATTTTGTTTTTGCAATTTGGATGTTGAAATTGAGATAAGTGCTATTAGAATTGTACTAAAACTTTTTTATAATGTGGTACTGTAACTAATTTTCACTTAATGATAGATTTTCATTTTCCTCTTTTATATTCGATTATAAACGTTTTTATTATTTTTTGTATAATCATTTATGTTTCAAGCTTTTGCTTTTAAATAACTAATATGTATTAAATCTCTTATGATAATTTCGTATCAATAAAAAAAATTAATCGAGGAATAAGTGCACTTCTCTGGAAAATAAATACATTTAAAATATTACCTCGTGAAGTGGGTCATTCGTTTCAATTATTGTAGATTATTATCACTTTTATCATGTAAAATATTCATTCTATCATAAATACCTTACCGCACTTGTGAAAAACTACGGTATTATATCTTATTTCTCTTATATCGATTGGTATTCAGTTAGTTTCTGATCAAATTTAACGAACTTAAATAAGTGAAATTGGTATCTTGATTAATTCAAACTTTTACACGTTTCCATATGTTTTTTTCATGAGATTTCAGTTATTTAAATGAATCGTAATGACTATTGGCATATAAGATAAAGTCATCAGCTAAATTATGTAAAAAGTTTTATCTGTTGTTATTTCATATTTCCGAGAATATGCCTAAGCGAAAAATTATCTCTTTTGAAAAGTAAATGCTAAGGTGTTTTGCTTCAGTTAACGTTGATAAATAGTTTTTTCAATCTGGGTAATTATAAAATATTGCGGATAAATATTTCTTTAGAACACAATCCTGAAGTCTGAACGACTAAAATATCTCATGTTTTCTTTTATTTTTAAAGACTATTATTATTTAGTGCTCTTCGAACGCTTTTTCTTTCATGCTTTTCTATTATTTATTACATTATTTAAACCTTTTACATGCCAACTTGGAGATTCGAATGAGTACGAGTAAGTCATACTGTTTAATGGGGTGTTTTGATGTGGGGAAATAGGTTTAGTAGGTATCTACTCTGTGGCCTTGCCACCTACTCGCCGAAAGTGCTTCTGGTGTGAATTTTTCCAAACCTAGCGATTGGGCGTGAAGTAGCATGTCACGATCTGTTAGAGATTGGAGTGCAGACAATTGTGCACGGCTTTTGTTCTGAATGCTTTGGACCATAACATATTCGAAGGCCACAGATGATCAGCAGCTGTTAACCATACCTGCGATCTAATGCTCTCTTGACGCGCGGAGCAATGAAGAGAGAAGGACGAGACACGTAACCGAGACCGATAGCATTTTCCCGTTTTTCTAGCTCTTTTTTTTCGTTTTTGGGAATTCATTTTATTTCGCCACAACACTCGAGTTAAGCACACAGGTCTCGAGATAAAGCACATTGAATATTTCATTGTCTTGAACGAGTTTTCCCCAAACCTTTTCGAAAAATAAGATTTACGACTGGAAATGTTGAATGAGTGGGTGTGAACGTAATTTAAGCTTGAAAAAAAAGAGTTTGATATTGGTGGGCTTAAGGACTCATGTTGAACGTGTGCTTATTGTAAGATTTGAGCACAAACAGATGTGATGATTGACGAAAGTACGAGTAAAACTCTTTTGTCTTCCAAACGTAAGATATGTGAAAACAAAAGTGAAAAATGGAAGGACTACCAAGCGAAAAAATATAATTGCCTATCCGAAGCGAATCTCAAATTGTCACGTGAGAGTTTGAGCAATTTTCCACGTGTCAGATTATTAAATGCTCGATAGGTTACTGCTCTGAATAACAGTAGGCTAACGAAAATATATGGATCAAATGAACTTCTACATCGAAATTATCTCGATCATTTATGTACTCAACAGTGAAGAAATTTCTGTAGGACTCAATTGAACAAAAGTTGAATGAAATACTCCGATCTTCAAACACTCCAGATATGTAAATGCGTTATCGCAGACCCACTGCCATGACACCAATACCAGATTAGTAAAACCCAAGTTTTATAAAGCTGTTGATCCCAGTGATCGATTTGATGGAGCGAGGAGAGGAGAGGAAGGGGGAGGCCGCCACATGCTGCAGACATGCGCCCGAAGGCCCAACGGAAAACTCTTATGGAAATGGCAAAGATCGCTTAAGCGAAAAAGGAATACTGAAAAATGAAAGCCAGAAAAAAACGGAAAGAGGACATGTGATGGTCTTTTTCCTTCCGGCGACGTGTGGTACTATCATAGATTCGTCAGAACTCTCGGACAGGCAAGTCATCTTGTGGAAAATACATTTTTGAATTGATTCTCTGCGAGCGAGTTGTAATTGTAGAGTTTTCTTCGATCGCATCATCGCTTAATTTACGTTTAATTTTAGTGACTATTTATACTTTGTAATTGTTCAATTTACATTATTTACATTTATTTCACATTTATTCCGATAGCAAGATTTTTTAATTTATAATTAGGTTCTATATGTACGAATAATTAGCTTAAAAAATATTCCTCTTTTGTTTCTTATTGTAAAAAAAAATCACTTCATAAACATATTGATATAAATTAACTTAATAACATTATATTATCATTAATATTTAACAAAAAATTAATTTTTAGTAGATTTATAATAAAACTAGACTTTACTATAACATTAAGAGTTTATACTTCATTGGCTCCATAGCTCAGCTGGTTAGAGCGTCGTGCTAATAACGCGAAGGTCGTGGGTTCGATCCCCTCTGGAGCCATTTTTTTTTCTTATTATTATTTCTTAATTTTTATATATTCTTGAATTTTCAATATCCAAGTACTAACAAAGTGATATGTATAAATCGAAACATTTCTAAAAATAAATGACAGCTTCTGTCCAACCACTATACGAAATGAAAATGAGATAAAATATATTGAAATATTCATCGTATAAAGATCAGAAAATATATATAATATTTAGTCAATATTTACTAGATAATACGTTCTTAGATGACAAGAAATATGACGAGTGAAATACAAATTGAGTGATATATATTATTTTTATTGTTTAACCTTATTCATAGCGAAATTTACCATTCCTATGAACTGTAACTCCGTAAAAATTCGTATTTTAAGCTCGAAGATATGTTCTGCATCAATCCTAATGGTTTTCTTTAAGCTACCTAATTTATACATGATTCTGTGTTCTTGTATATTTTTTTATAACTTCTTTGTAGTTAAACTGGTATCAAATATGATTAGATTTGATCAATTCAAATAGAACGAAATATACATAAACAATGTCTGTATAACTGTTTGGGTAAAATAACGAATAGAGTAATGTGTACCAAAGTAGAACATAGAAACTGACACGCACACACACACACACACACATACATACATATATACCAATAGATGCTTTAAAACATATCCACTAATATTTATAAATCTTATTTTGAATACGTTTTATCATGTGACCTTTTTCAACATTAACGTTGAACTTGAAGATTTGAGTAACGGTTTTTAAATATGAGATTAATTTTAATACGTAAATGGTAGCTTAGATCTTATTATATGCGCCAATTTGAATGATAAATAATATGGAAATTATCATAGAAAAGATAGAAAGCAAAAATATGAATAAATGCATAAAAAATAACATAAAAATTAATTTCAATAATTTTACTATTTATTTATTCTCATCAGAAGCACTTTGCAATAAGCTAAATGCAGAATATGATGTTTTCATAATCTAAAAATGAGAATAATAAATTTTTATATATGAAAACTGTTTTCAAACCTTTCTAAAAGAATTGTCGTTGTTACCCAAACAAAAGTATCCAGGGCTAAAGAACATTGTCCTTTCCAAGAAAGATAGCAGTTTTTATTGGCAAACATCAAAATAAAGTACAAGACTTTTTTCTGTTTCTGATCCAAATCTATCCAATCTGACTGACTAATATTCTTTACAATAACTTCACTCTGTAAAGTAGAATGTTTTGAAAATATGTAAATCTACGTTTCCATTTTAATTATGTATTTTTAACCTTTAGTTTTAATTCGTTTCCATACCAACAGTATAAAAATACTTGAGCAAGCATACACAATAAGTACATAGCCAATCCTAAAAACTCAACGCCTGTAATATCGCTCTGAAAAAAATGTTGTTCATAATTTCGAGTTACAAGCAATGATCACTTCAGCAAATTTAACAGTTTAATTATTATATCTAATATATTAATCTATGGTTTGTGCCTTTTTAAGCTTATAAGAAGCGCATTCTGTTTCTAAAGACGATGTCAATGTTCTTTTGTTATGAATAAACTTCATTATATATTAGAAACATCAGTACAAAGATAATAAAAAATACACATAAAATCAGATCAATTTACCTGTACCATCTGGAAAATACTGGCACATAAAGTTAATAAACTCAAAATGAAAAGTGGTACGACAACACTGATAAAAACTTCCTTAACTTTATAAACTATTTTGTTAATGTGTATATGATGGATAATATTTTGTCTGAAAGTATCTTTATCTTTACTATTGATTGATTTAATTATTCTATAACTTACTAATTCAAACTGGAATGTGGCTAAAATAATAAAGCCGTATATCATAGTATCCATAGAAACGTTAATAAAAACCCCAAAAACTGCTGCCAAAAAATGTATAACACAAGTGACAGAAAATCCAATAGTTGTTGAGTCATCGTAAAACTGATAAGTTTTGAAAGGTGGAACGAAGTCTGTAGGTTTCAGAGTGATAAAAGGTATAAGACAAAAAATTACTCCAGTAGATTGTGATAATACTAAAATATTTTTGAAAATTTGTGTGTGTTGGATTACGTATTTCTGCATAAGGGTATTTTCTTCTGCACACGCAGTTTTGCAGAAATCTTCGCGAAAACATTGCAATAGTTTCTTTAATTTGGGTTTTTTGATACTAAAATTTAATATTTTTAAACATAAACAGATAAAGGTTACAGTTAAAAACATCACACCGATAACTTCTTCTAAAACATCCTTCAGCATATAAAGTTCTATAACTTCTGTTATAGTGAAATAAAAAATTATCGTTCTTACTATATACCCCCAATATTTTTTCAAAGTAGCAAATCTATTAGTATTTTCTAACCAGAGACCACAATAAGTAAGCGTTTGAAAATTTAATGGCAATAAATCCATATCTACTTTGAGTATTCTAACTTCTATGTAATCTCACAAGTGAAAGACGACAGACGGAACATAGATAGCGTCACTGTAAATGCTGCTGATGATAATTACATATAATGAAGGAAGTTAAGAGCCCTCTTACCGATTGTATATTAATCGCACAATTTCTGTTGAGAGACAAGCGAGGAAAACGAGAACAATAGTTCCACTCACTGATGTGTTAGTATGGCATTAACTTACATAAAGAATATTCAGTGTTTTCTGCAGGTCAAATAAACACAAAGAAAATGAAAATAACTTTGTTCATTTATAGTTTTTCTGTTTAATTTAATAATGGAACTAATAAAAATAAGATAATGTGAAAAACTATTGAAACCGCATCAGTTGCTGAAATTAATATAAATTTGAATATTGTGACTAAATGTAGAAATCATGCATACATAGGTGTTGTATTAAATGAGCGAGTAAATGTCAGAGAAAATTTTTTGTATGAAGGTGTAAAATAGGTTTTAAGAGTTTGCACGTGGAGATTCAATACGAGTCGATAACATACTCGTATTATTGTAGGTAGGTAATATTATACACACTTATGTAATATCAATCAAATATTTTGAAAAATTGCACCTACTAAAAACAACACTAATACAAATTCATGTTTTCTAAGCTGTATTATAGTTCAACAAATTAACTCATTATCCACAATAGTTTGGCTGTGCGACAATAATATAATGTATTTGAGTTTTTGTTGCCCTTAAAATAATAAATCAATCCTTTTCAATTGCTTTTACATGTAACGTAACAATCAATGAAAAATATATTTTTATAATACAATTTATGAACAAAGAATATTTTTTTAAGAAGCCTTTTATTGCAAATTAGAATTGTATTATAAATGTGTTAATTGAATTTATAAAAATGATAATAGATGCTGAGTTAAAAGAGAAGGCTCCGTAAGAAAAGTAGATTATTTCACTTTAGCTATTTTATCATTTGAATACTCGCATTAAATTAGTAACATTTTATTTTCCCATATTTCTAAATAAATTATATTCCTAAAAATTTAACTCCATTACAGAAAAACTTGTAAAAATTGATCTCGAGTAATAATAGAAAAATTGACAAATAATATAGTGATTCACTAACATTAAAATAATTTATAATTATATTAGTACTATTATTGCATATTCATCGATTGCCTTTTATAATCATATTATTATAAAAATGAATACTAAATAGATTTTTAATTCTGTAATTATTTAAGTTTTTTTTTAAATTTCAATAAAAATAAAATTTAAAATAAATTTTCGATTTGAATTTTAATTTAATTTAATTTTTAATTTTAATAAAATTTTTAATAATTTTAATTTAATTTTTGAATTGTTTTTTAATTATTTTTTTTCTCTGGTATCATTCTGTTGTGATATTTCATCACGATCGATTAAACCATTGATAAATTAAAATATATACCCATGTAAGTCATTGCTTCGGATAAAATTTCTACCATATTCGATCAAGATTTCCAAGAATCGCACGTTGTTACATTTAGACTTACTAAACTACTAATATACTAGTTAACATTCAAGTTTCGTAACTTCATTTTATGTTTTAAAAGTAGGCCACAATAACAGAGGATTGTGATAAATATTTGTCATTTATTGTTAGCACACAAATATCGAATATTTATGAACTTAAAAAAACTAACAAAAATATAACATATAGTTTGTTCTTTATTTTTCCGTAATTTAAATATTTTTAAAACTTATCCTACAATTTGTTTTTAATTACAGAGCACTAACTAATAAAAATGACGTTTTATTTATATGAACATGCACGAGACATATAAAAAAATAATTATAACAGTAAGTTTTCAAAATATTTATCTAAATAAATATAATTATAATTATATTTATGATATATAGCAGTGGTTTTTACACATGCAAAGTATTCATATAAAACATATTAGTATGATTATACATTCCCATACATGATTCCACAATGTATGGAAAATCAAACATATATGGACCTTGTTAACCAGGATAATTTATGCTTGCTTTAATAAATTAAAAGCTGCATACGATGTTTTTATAACCTGAAATGCAGTAATTATAAAATATTAAAAGAATTGAGTTGAATAAATAATAATAACAGAGAAAATATGTAGAAAATGAAAATTTATGAAAAATGTATTTCTTAATTATTATAACTTCAAAGAATTTCATCATAAACACTTACCCATATAAAGGTATTCAAAGATAATCGACATACACCATGATATGAAATATAAAATCCTTCTTGTCCCGAAAGCATAGCAAACCACAAATTCCTTCTTTCCTGACTATCATAATCATACCAATCACTTTCATAGATTTTATCCATAACATTTTGGCTCTGGAAAAATAATTGTATTATTCATTCTAACACTCATTAAATATAATATAATAAAAAGTAATATTCATACTTTTAGTAGAAGTTCATTTCCATACCAACAATAAAAAAATACTTGTGATAACATGCAACCAAGATATAGGAGTAATGATACAAATTGGAGATTAGCCACACTAATCTAAAATTAAATATCAGAAACTAGTAGTCTAATATAAGAAATGATGTGCATAATTAAACAATTTTATATATAACTATACATGCACTAGAAACATTATTGATTAAACTATGTCCTCAACATCACAACAATTTTCCTTTCATTATTGTGACGAATTGCAAAAATAATGATTTTATTTCTATTATTTTTACAGATACATATTTTGAAACGTCAAAACCAAAGTTTCTGATACATCGTGCCATAATTCTCGATTTACTGCATGTTCATGCGAAAATCTCAAAATGTTTAGTGAAATCTCACAGAATTCCAAACAATACCATAGGAAGAGAAAAGGTTCAATCTTAATGGGATTACCCTTATAGCAAAATTATAAACAAAAATATATATAGTACTTTACATTTCAGTATAAATTGTTACACAAAGACATTGGATCCAAAATTAAGTTCAACGTGCATGGTTAATGTTTCTATCCATGATTATGACTATGGATGGATCAGATTTTAAAAAAGATATAACAAAGTCAATTAGGTATTAAGCGTAAGATATATTTGTTTTGGTATTTATGTTTTTATATTATTTATTACATTAATTGAAACATATACGTGTCAAGTTTACACATTTCAAGATGTATCAGAAAAACCTACCATAAAATAATATGTAGCCTAACATACCGCACTGTGGTTGGTTGATAATAAAGAGCGCGAAATTTTGAATATTCGTATATTTTGAAATATTTTAATTATATATCTAGGAGTGTGAGATTTATATTTCAGCAGTAAATTTAATCTGTGAATAATTAAGGTGGATAATAATCTGCAAGAATGGAAATATATCGTTAATAAATCGTTTTGAGTACATTATGCTTTGAAATTATCATTACAAATCTTTAATTTTAAAACATGTGATACTCAAATGAATATTGTTTGAAAATTTGATTAAGAACGAGAAAGTGAATAAAATAAAAAGGGAAAATTCATTTTTATTGTATGTACATTATAAATTAATAAGTATGTGAGCAAGGGAAACTAATCATCAGAATATTAATCCCGTTAAATTTGAAGAATATTCATGGATGTTTTCATAGAGTTAACAAAAAGTACACGATGTTAAACGTGTTACTCAAACTAATATACAATTAGAGCTATAATGACTAATATCAAGTATGTAAAATGTAATGTTGTATAATAATATATAATGTCTTATCGATCGTAGATTCAATTAATCTTTTGGACAATTTATCTTAAAATGAGTAAAAGTTCTTTGGTTGTTGTAAAAAGATAGGTGAATGTTCTATTTTTGTTCTTTAATGAATATTAATGTACATATGTAATCTATTTTAAACAGCATGACTTATTCGTGCTCATTAGAAACTCCAAGTCGACGTATAGAAGGTTCAAATAATGTAATAAATAACAGAAAAACATAAATGAAAGTCCAGCGAAGCGCGCTAACTAAAACTGGTTATTCAAAAGATTCATTAAATCTATGACTGATAAAATTTACTAAACAATCACACTATTATGAAATACTATTGGTTGCTATATATTAGTAATAAATAATAATAATAATAAAGGCTATAAATCTTCTAACTTTTTGAATTTCGGTTCCGTGTAGGTTACTGTATCGTTATGAAAATCAGGTTTCGGGTTCTTCCCGAATGACAACAATTAACAGAATGAGCACTGATCGATTTTCATCGAAGTGATCGGTATTTATTATTTTCTTTTTTGCACGTTCTTGGAGAGGTCCAAAAAAATTCAAGCGGTGTACTTTTTCACAGCCACTTTCTGCAACAACTGCAGATGCCAAAAATATGTTTTACTCCCTGAGAGAACAATATTACTTTCTATATCACATACGGACACCAAATTATCAATTTGTATACTAATAACACAAATAAAATTTCAAAACAACCTTTTAGTATTTTACAACGAGTTATTACCATACGTATATTCCACTTCAATCAATCACAACTGTAAATATCGATGCCACGTAATTTTTTAAAGATAGTAGCGTTATTTAGCGCGTTTAGCGCGCTCCTTTGTTGTTTTTTTCGTTTTTATTACATTATTTTTATGATACATCATAAATTTACTTTACAGTAGCGGTTTTTTACGACCTCAATATTTTATTAGTATTAGTAATACATTTTCACATCGTATGTTCTTTTTTGCCTTGTTGAAAATATCCGTGAACATTTTTTATATTTAATATTCTCATAGGGAATTTTCGTTTCCCGCATATCTTTCCTTTTACAATGTAAAAAAATAAAAACGTAATTTCCTCTGTTGTATTCTATTCACTTTTTCCCTCTTCACATCACATTTCAAGACGACGCTGTTAATTTCACATACGTAATCAAATTATCGATTTGTACTGATTATTCCATCATAATTTGAAAAGATAACTTCGTATTTTCTTAAAACAATTTGTTAACGGCATATTTAAATTTTTGCAGATTATTGTCCACATTAATTATTTATAAATTAAATTTACTGCTGAAATATAAAACTTTCACTTCTACAGATATATAATACAGCTATTTCATAGTATAGGAAAATTAAAAATTTCGCATTCTATTTTCAGATCAACCAATATATCATAATGCTGGATGTCAGTGACTCATCATTTTTTTTAAATTACAAATGCCGAATTTAAATAAATGTATAAGAATGAAATATGAAAGTAGGTTCATTTACCTGGGACATTTGAAGAATACTAGCACCTAAGGTTATGAGACTAAAGAAGAAAAGTGGAGCCACAACTCTTATGAAAAAGTCTTGAATTTTTACATTGAGCTTTTTCAATAAAATCTGATGCTCAACACAGATCTTAATCGGTGTGGTGAAATTCAAGTATCGGCTACTATTTATTTCATGTTGACAAGTTACTAATATGATGAAGGCATAGGCCATAGTATCCATTGAGACGTTCAAAATTACTCCAACGATTGTTGCAAATATTTGTATACAGTAGGAAATCATATAATTTTTAGGATTTGTAATATCATAAGGATTATAAACTTTGAACGGTAAATTAAACTCATTACGAAAAAAACTTAGCATTGCTGAAATTAACATGGTAAAGCCACATGACAAAGACAAAATCATCACAAACAGGTATATATTCTTGATGTCGGTTGAACGCTTTTCAATTATTTTTATCTCCTCTTGTGTCATTGGTTGACAAGCCTTAGATCGAAAGTCTTCAAGAATATCCCACATTTCATCTTGACGTAATACGAAATTGAATAATTTTAAGAGTAAACCAATGTATGTTATTGCATGAAATAAAACTTCTATCATTTCGTTAATATTTCCACGATTCACAGCTAATTCTATAATTTGGCTCAAGTTAAATAACCCGAGGATGGAAAATACTATAAATCTCCAAGTCATTTTAGCAAAGAAATAATGATGATCAGTATACCACAAGCCGAATATATTGCAAACTCGAAAATGATTGGGTAAGATATCCATAATTGTTGATAATTGTAATTACACACTTTTATATGTTTAAAATTACGCTAAATAAAATATTTTAAACAACATGAATATTGATTCATTTACTGTTCAAGTATCAAATTGACAATTTGTCGTTTACACTCTCATTTATCAAAGTACTAATAGAATTCTGGGACACTGTACAAGAATATGAATGTGCAGAGTGGGCAACAATGTAGCCGTTGTGGATGTCATGGTAACAAACCTATAGCAAAGTGCACTATAATAGATTGTAAATCATACTTTGTAATCTCATTATTCTATTATACATAGGTTTCTTCGTGAAACCTACAATTTGAAACCATTCAAGCATAGCAAGTGCAAAACGGTGCAACTGAGGGTGTAGCTAAGAACATCACGACAAACAGTATTTTTCTGTCAATTCTTATCGGCAGGTTTTAAGAAAAATCTTTAGTGTTGTGGAAAATTTATTTTAATTCAGCTATCACTTAGGTTCTGTTGAAGCGATTGAAATTAATCATCGAGTCATTTTACTTTGCAAGATAATCGTCACAGACTTGTAGAGATCTTGTAAGAATATATATTTTATCCGTAAATGTGAACGGGTTTAATTTCATTTTTTAATCTTTTTATGATTTTACACAATATTAAAACTTTATTATGCTAATAATTTTATCAGTTGGCGTGGAAAAATCAACTTTACGTAAGTGATTTTCGCTATTATGTGAATAAAATACTTCATATACGTGTACAATATTCCAGCAAATAGAATTCTAAATAATCGACAAAAAAATAAAATACCTCTAGATGAAAATAAAGAAGAAAAATTTTAATGTTTAATATTACTATTACGTATACACGATCTTACAAGGTTCATCTCTCAATGTTATGCATACGTCAACTATCCGTGATGAGCCGATGTCCTCAATTAGCTTTCAGATCTTTAGGAACGTACTTTTTATCAAAATAATTAGTAATATTTTTGTTTCTGATTTTATTTATAATTTACATTTTTACATCTTAATTATCATAAAAATATTGTTTCGATATTGAATGTGATAAGTGCATGTAAAATAAAATTAATACAATAAAATAAACATTTAACAAGATAAAGGGAAATACAAGACGCGTGATTGAGTAAGGTTTTCGTATAGAATCAACTGTAAAGCACAGACCTGAGATGTAATCCACCTGAGCCGAGTTTAATAATAGTATATTACACACCTACCTGGTGTAGTAAAATAGATTCTTATCTCATGTGAGGTTTATGCTCGAGCGAAACGAACCTACGGAAAGGCACACGAGACGAGATGTTGAAAAATAATTAATCTCGTAGCCAAGCTAAAAATGGGCGTCAAAGATACATTTCAATGGTAAGAGTGAGACAATAAGCAGATTTTCAGCAATTTGATATCAAATATAAATACTATATATACAAATGTTCACTACATCAATCGTAGTTTTTTTTAATTCTCCGAAGTTTTATTCTAACACTGCGTAGGAAAAAAATATAAAAGCATGCTGCTTAAAATAAGAAATAATTTTGTAAATTTTTTCTGATAGTTCTGAATAATCATTTTTTCTTTCTCCGTTCTAGGCTGACAAAGTGGTGATCGGAAATCTTCCAGTAAATTACACATTTCATCGTATCTCAGTACAAAATTATAAGTTTTCAAGAGGTAAGATGTAAATGTTAAGGTTATAAATAGATTATCCGCCATTTCTTTAACGTCTCCAACTATAGTTATTAATTCTATAATTTGGACCAAATTGAATAAAGAGGTCACGAAAAGTATCAAATATCTGGCAAGCATTTTTATGTACCGAAAACTTCTGTTTTCATACCACATACCAAACCATTTGCAAACTTTAAAGTGATACGGTAAAATATCCATTATTATTAGTTTATTTATTAATAAAAGTTTCTTAGTTATCGTTTAGTCTTCAGAGAATAAAGATATGATTATTTACAAACAATAGAGCTGCACTACGCAAACGATTCGCGTTCACCTACTCCCTTACCACACTGATATATTCAAATTGCTATAAATTGCGTGCATATTTGCTAACGTTTGATTGACGTCTTTCGTGCTATCATTTCGTGAAATAATATCATCCCTTCTATAGAATACGTGTTCGTGTACCTCTGGCAACTTCTCAACTTAGCTGGTCTGTCAGTAATAGTCAGAATTTGAGTATGTGCATACATATACTCGTACATTCGAAGTTTGGAAAAAAACAATCTAATTTTGTGCAGTAAAATCTTTATTAGATTATGTAATAAAGTATCATATTTTCTTATTTCATTTTACGCTTGGTATAAAAGGAGTGTGTGAACTTACAAATAATACTCTACTATTTACTAAAAACGTAAAACTATTAGAGCATTTAACTATTTAGAGCACTACATTATTTCAGTTTTATAATAATAATAATAATAATAATTTATTCCAGAATAGTATACTTAGATGCTTACTTTACCACACATTATTTCAGTTTTATATAAATTGATCAAATATGTTATATTATGTTATTCATGCTTAAAGACTTCAGTAAACTGTTATGAGAAAGTTAATGAAGAATTGGTATACAGTAAAGTGCTTTCATAGCTAATATTTGATAAAAATTAACGTTCACAAAGGTACACTACAAATATTGTAAAAATAGCTCTTTGCAATTAACTTCCATTCATTTTAAATAAAATTTAAGCAATACAATATAGACGAATACCAAAATATGTAAAAAATATATTCACGACACACGATGATCATAAATCTACATACCAAGTCTTCATATTATCAATGTTTTAAGTTATTTCATGGGAGTTCTAAAACTTTGAAGCCTATCAGATTTTTATTTGTATTATTGTATGATTGAACTATCCGCTTCAATAATACGTTTAAGGGAATAACATTATTATTCTTAGAACCTACTACATTATTATCACTTAACGACAAGAGCTCTTGTTTCAAATTTTTATCGTGCATTCTAAGCTGAAAATCATTAACTATATCATTTATTTTTACACTTGTATTACTATTATTTTTCAATGACTGTATTTTTTTTTCAAATTCTATTGTAGAAGTGGCGCGCACAGTATTTATTTCATTCTTGTTTTTCAGATTGCTATAATACGGACTTTTCACTTTATACTTTTCCTCTGCATTCATACTTTCAGTGGATCCGTTCAGTGGATCGTTATTAAATGTACTTCTGATTGTGTTCGTTAAATTAAACGTAGCAGTTGAATCATAATTCTGAGAGGTAATGGACTTTACTAATTTCTCTTGATTTTTTTGAAATCGTCGATCGACTTGCGTTCTAAATAAACTTCTTGGCGTTGGTGAAGATGTAATTTCGATTTCACTTTCTGTGTACGAAGAAGAAATATAAGTCACTGGATTTTCCAAATTTGAAATGATCATAGAAGGTGTAGTAGAAGTAATATTCTGTAAATTTTTTTCTATGCTCGATTGAACTATTTTCGAAATATTTTCTTTGACTGATAATGCGTGTCCTGTTTTGCTGGGTCTTTTGTTTGTCAGATTTGAGTTTACACTTTTATCATAGAACTGTGATGTTGGTAGTTTAGATAACGAATTAATCGACGTATTATGTATTGTTTCTGATCTACCGTCGTTGACTTTTTTCATCATGTATTCTATTATTTCTTTAAAGTTCTTATTGTTCACTGTCAACGATGGTTCGGAATTGTTATGAAATTCTCTTACGTTACTTTTAATATTTTCATTATTCAGTATCGCGTTGTCTTTTAACGGTTTGTTAAATATCTCTCTCGGTTGGTTATTAACAATTAAAGAAATTTCTGAGGATTTCGATGCATTTTGAGAAACTTCGGTTGATTCGTTGTTATTATTGTGATATTCAGATATATATAATTTATCAGTTTCATTGAAACTTGATGATGTTGAATTCCTTCGTGAGGTTGCATCAAAATGATTGAAATCAGCAGTTGATTTGTTTTTCATTTGGGTACAAGTCACAGACTCTAAAAAAATATTTTAACAAATGAAAATTATATAAAGCAATGTCGCTTATAACAAACAACATTGCTTATACTTTTTAATGATAATACCATACTTACCTTCTTGACATAAATATCTTTGTTTATTGTTACAGTTTAAACCGTAGACTATCGGCTCATCGACGTCTTCAAGATCCATATTAAGACAATCACTATTTTGCTCAAAAAGTCGAGAATCTTTATACCAAGGAACAAAACCTTGTTCATGATCAGGTATGGTGCTTCCAGTATTATTCCACTTCCACACAGCTTCCACAGTCGAATTGTTCAGATCAGATGCCTTTTTCCCGCCGATCCAAATATGCCGCAACACTAAGATTAGAATCTACGATTATCCATTAAAATGGTCTTAAAATAATGCATGTGATTGAACAAAATAAAAGCTACGTACATTCTTTATTATGAAACATAATATTTACAACATGAGTGACTGTTGCAGGTGAATCTAAAGATACCAACGTAGAATTGAAATTTTTGCAGAGTTGATTTGCTTTATGCCAATTTAGTGGTATGACATTTATCCAATATTTACAATCATCAATAGTCACTTGTACTGGATCCCTGTTAAACTCTTCTTTTTGAACTGGAACGTAATAATAATTACGTTTCATACATACTAGAATAGTATATAACAAGATATCAATCCTTACGCGTTTGGCAAATGAAATTACGTCTTCGATCGCATCTTAAACTCAAGTACCTTGGCCGTTCACATATGTGTCTCTCTAAGAGAAGACAATTACCAGAATGAACATGACTGTCCTGCCAAAGCTCATTCTGAGGTATCTTAGCTCCTGACGGAAGCCACTTCCAAACTCGCTCATTTATGTACCCAGCAATCCAAGCACTTTCAATAGACCCTTTCGAACGAAATATTATTATTATTATATTGATATTGATAAATAAACAAATTTATAAAGAAAGTTAATAGTCTTTATGAAATTGGCGTGTAGTTACTTGGCCGAACTTTAAGCATTCCTACAGCCATACTTCGTGCCTCGGTTAAAGTTAAAATTTCAGCTATTTGGAGTCCTTGTTGTCGACAATAGAAAACCGCTTCCGACCATGTCACATTTGCGGAATAAAGGACTAGACCTTTTTCTTCAGCATTTATAGTCAATACCTTGATAAAATTAGACGTTGAAAATGGATCTACAAAAGGACGTTTCTCTAAAATAAGTACTTGCATCTACCCCGAATGACATTATTTTGTTAAAAAAATTCTCATCTGTCATTTATTTTAATGAGCCTACCTCTTTCGCATATAAAAGGTTTTTGCTCGAAACAACATCTCGGAATCAATAATGGAAGATGATAATGTCGGCGGATTACTGTGAGACATTGCGAATCATTTTCAGCCAAACTATTTTGATATTTAACTGTTGTAATAGATTCGCGAACAAATGTATTCAGTAGTAGCTTTTTGTCATTTGTATCCCAAATCCAATCACCTCGTAAATTTTTTTTAGATCCAATCCAAAATTCTTCAAAATCTGAAATATGCATTGATTTCCATTATATTGCACACAAATTTACAATTTTTATGTAACTGAAGTTAAAATACACCTAAATTACTATTTTCCAATTGTTTTGTTACGTAAAATACTTTCTTTTCCGTATCTAAAGTCACTAGTTGAGATTTGTATCCTAAACAAATAATTTTCGCTTCTTCCCAGGTAACACGATAATTGTAAAATGAGTACTCAATATCATCCAACATTACGTTTTCGGTAGGCTCTGATCTGAAAATTGAATCTAATTTTGTGCATGCAAACTTGAATAAAAAGGTGCGATAACGATAACGATAACTTTGAAATACAGCGATAATGATAATAGTAGAATATATTGAAAAAATGTTACTACTCATCGGCTGTTTATTTCCTGATGTGATGCTGATAACCGTTAGCAATATAATAAAAAACATATCGATCGAAGAAAATCTCTCATAATTTCGTGTTACAGCTAATAAGTCGAGCCACATGGGTACTGATTCCGATTAGAACTATGACTCACTGTACGCGCCAATCAGTTTATAATTTTGCAATCAAGGAATTTCTAGGAGACCTATTCAGAAACCGCTATTTGACGTTGATAAACTCCGAACTCTACAGCATTACATCGATTTTATATTTTGTTTATACGAAAAGTTATATTACTTTTTAATTTTCATTGTACTTAAAATTTCGAATCTGTCATTGATTTAAGTAAAAGGTAAATTTTATTATTTTTTTACTAACCTTTTCTTTCATGAAAGATTTTTCATTTCTTAAATTACACTTTCGATCATATAAATAATATTGAAGCAATTTTTAAGTAAAATATTTATTTATTAGAATAATCGAAACCGCTTTATAAAATCAATATCAAATATTTGTCAAAACAAGACATTTGACATGAGAATTCTCTCGCAATGCGCAATTCTTAACTCTAATTTTTGTTGTACATATCGCGATAAAATTACCTATACTATGAACTATGTGATTGATGCACAAAAAAAATCAGTAGATCCTTATCGATCTTTAATATTTACACAATAATTTTCATGTTAAAAAATGCGTTCAACAATTTCATCAAGGTAAGGTCTCTGAAATACAGATCACTAAAATCGAGGTTCATAAATAAAAATGTACTTTGGTTCTATTTTGCTTAAACTTAAAACATTTGCCATCATTTAAGATATTCGTTTCAAAATGAAACTACGAAATAGTTTCTTATTACTATAACAATAAGCCACTCAAGTAATTAAAACTGCACCAAATGCAGTCACAATGATATTTATAAATCTTAGATGATAAAATTGTGTTGTCGTGACGTTTAACAAAATGAGTATGCGAATTTGAAGTCGTCACATAAAAAAACGGAGATTCATCAGACTCGGAGAATACAACTAATCTCAGACTCGATGTTAGCTTGCAACTTAACGTTTGTTGGGCCGGCGGAAAACGCCGGCAAAGAGAACAGTGCGCGAGGGTCTTTCGTAGATGAAGTAAGCGAACGGATGATTAGCGGTGAAGACAGCAGGTTCGGTCGGTCGACTCGACCTAAAGCTAAACAAGGCGGTAGCTGCGGCAGCAGTGGTACCTTCCTCGGTGACTTCGATCTTAGCTCGGTGGAGAGCGTCACCGAGGTGAACGGTCGATTCGCCGTCGGCAACGAAGCCACTGAAGTCAGCGTTGGTGTCGAACACTACTTCGGCACCCATTTCTCTCAGCAGATCTTTCACGGGAAGTTCGCGCTCAAGGCTAAATTTGGGAATGGACAACTCGACGTCGCGCGCCGGTAGGCCAGTGTCGAGGAAATCGCGGAACTCCTTCGCACTGTCGGTATTGTCGGACAAACGGTGGAGCAGCTGGCGGACCCCGTCGTTCTTGGGTTGGCCAGCAGCACGAGCAGCGCTGAGGGTGGACACGAACGGTGGCAGCAGAATGTACATCGAGACGTCGTCGCCTTTGTAAGGTAGCTGAAGAATGTGCACGCCAAGCTCCTCGGACACCACTGTGAGACAAATATCGTTCACGTTAGTCCGAAGCCCATCGCCGCAAAGTTACGTTTTTGAGAAGTGAGTAAGCACTTACTGTGATTGAAAGATCCCTTCTGTCTCATGAATTGAGCGATGGTCATGTTATCAGGTCCCAAGTAGAACACGTCTCTTTTGGTATTCTCGGGCAAGAATTTACTTTGCCAGAGCCCCTTGAAGTAGACGGCATTGGCGAGGAGGGCGTCGGTGCTGGCATCGATGGCACCCTCTGGCAGAAGATCGTTGATGTTGTTGCGAGTGACGTTGCTCACCCAGTTGTTGATTTGACGACGAGCCGCGTCTGGATCGGCGCTGAAGTTCACGCGCTCCAGCTCGTTGCCGAACAAGTCGAGCATGCACTCGCGTAGTTTCTTCGAGCTACTCAGCCACAGACGGTTGGCCACTTGGAAGTCGTAGTTGCTCGACGAGTTCATCTGCACGTATTTATATATCAAGACTTCATATATTTATACATCAACTCGAGTGAATGCTTGCTAAATGATTTTATTGGTAATAGCTAACTTTGCTCGACAATTTCTCCAAGCGTGGAAAAATAATACGTAAGTTTTTCAAGCACAATAACGTGTCCAATCGACGCATATGCAAGCAGAATCGAAAATTCATTTCAATTCAACTTATTCAACTGAAATTCCAACGTTATTTTAAATCATTCTTTGCAAAAAAATGTATTTTCCCTGCTACATTATTTAAAGGCACGCGCGTTCTTTGAGCAAAGTTAACTTTCGAGACGAGGCCCGAGATAATGGAGGCAAATGGTTGAATTGCAAGCGAGGAACAAAGAGCTGGAGAGCAGGCTCGCGCTTGTACATATAGTACGCGCGGAGAGCGAGAGACGGCAGACCTGATCATAAATATTCAAGAGCCATGCAAATCTCTCACCTTCCTCTCGGCCTCGACGGACTTCTCGAAAGCGTAGAACCTTTGCACATCGATTTTGGAGAAATCAGCGGGCACGTGTAGAGCTTTCTTGAGTGCCGCCTCGGTGCTACCGGCAGCGCCAAAGTAAGCCAGAGCCAAGGCCTCGTGGAGACTGTGAGGACTGAAGAAAATGTTGTCTTGGGTCTCGATTTCGGCGATCTTCTTTAACGCTTGCAGAGCAAAGTCAAAGCGTGCGTCGCTCAATTTTTGAGCGGCATCCTGGCGCATGGTCGTTGGATTGTCGTTGGCTGTTAAACATTGGCCTTGGATGCCGGCTACAAGGCCAACCAGGACTAACAGTGCAAGCATCGGTATCTGCAAAAAATTACGGACAGCTCTTATTTGAAGCTCTAACATCGGTATTGTCCTCTTATGCTGATATTACTTTGTGTTTTTTTTAATTTCAGGGTAAGCTAGCGATGAAACTTGGCAGCCGAATTGATACGAATTTCAAAATACCAAGAATGAGTTTCCGTATATAAAAGCTGCTTGACCTAAGGACCGAGCGAATGTAATATTCCACTGATACAGCGATATCTTAAAAAGTGATAATTCTATAGAAAGACTAAAAAGACATTTTGTCATCTCGAACAAACTTGCTCTCAGCGTTGAATAATTATCAAAATACACCCGCAAAACATCTATGTATTAAAAGCAATCTCGTCTAGAGATAACAGAACTTTTTGCTACGTGAGCCAATATCATAATAAATTTCCCTTAAATAAATCAATACTGTGATGCGGTATAATCAAGTTTGTGTTAATTCGTAATGAAAAATGTCTTTGTATAATGTAATAACTTTTCTTTAATGTCTTCGTATGTTTCTATTGGTTAATGTCACGCTCATCGGTATTACGCATTGCACTCGTATCCCCGAAAGAACGATACGCATCGATTGGTGGATCCCTGACTACGCAACCCGCGAGTATAGCAATTGTAATAACGTGATGTAGACACACGAAAGTCTGTGTGCTTTCCCTCAACGCACAACTACCCATGTTACGACAGAGCATCGTCACCGTAATCGCGTTTATAATGTGAATGGCATTCGCGATATTTCGAATTATCTCAATATTACAAAATATACCATGAAACTTCCGAGAGTTAAGCTTTTAGTTCGACGACTGATTATTTCGACTATATTTACAGCATAAATCGTTTTTTTTTTCCAAAGTACATAACTATTTTACCTTTGAAACGTACATTGCCGAGAGAATATAACAATAGTTATATTTCACTTTTTTTATGCCACATATGAAAACCAAATATATGGAAATATAAGGCTTAATAATGTATTGCATTAGTCACAGAACTAATAATGACAGTCAATATTTCATTTTACCGTTTCTTTTTTAACAAATATGACGTGATGTAATTATCTTTTCACGCGGAATATCAATAAAAGCAATGGTTCACTGAATGATATTAATAAGTTATTCCGTAAGTTATTCGTTTATTTAAATAACTTATTTCAGTTTCAGCGTTGCTATTGGGAAATTGTGCGAAACTTCATTTTTAATTTTCGTTAACTAGCTTATTACCTTTTCATCGATAATTGAACGTAATCGCAAATGCTAAATTATAATTGTCCATTTCAGAAAATAATATTTTTCTTCTTTTCAAAGTAAAATAATGAATCGAACATTTGAATAACTGCAAGCTTGCAATGTGCCTGAAGAGAACATCTTAAGATCTCTTCGAAAAGTATATCCGAACAGATGAGTTTGAAAAACTGCTTAATTCGACTGAGCATTTGTTTTCCACAGAGCGCAGAGAATCATGTGAGCTACTCCCGATGAGACAGTTATGGGCTTCAAAAGCACTTTCTAGAGAGAAAGCGACAGAGAGGCGTTTTGGCCGTTCGCTACCGTTCGTACAGCTACGCGACTAAGTAAACGTTTATTGAAAATCACGAGGATTATTTTTATACTTTCTTGGCTGTGCGTGAATTCCTCGCGTGGCTCCGTTTTTTAAGAGGCCGATAAGCAGAATGAGTTGACGATAATAATCTTCGAGAAAAGATCTGCAGAGCCGTTCGGTTTTTAGGTCGCTTCTTTTGTGCAAGGACGCATACGCAAGCGATATAGCTTGTAAACGTCGGTTATTGTATTTTGCACGCGATGGTCATACGGGTCGCACCCTTGGCGAGACTTTATTGAAAATATTTTTCAATTTTAATAATCGTAATAGTTTCGCTATAAATTATGTCACAATAAATTTCATATAATAGAACGTTTTCAATATATTTCTTCACTTTGACGGATGGCTATTGGAGAGAATGCTCAAAAAGTGATTATTCTCATTATCGAGCATTTTACGATCAAATATTTCATACAATAATCATTGAACTTTTCATTCTTGCGATAACACTTGATGGTTTTAACCACACCAAATGGAATTGCAAATTAATTATTAGATGATTTATATTACATTGCAGGATTTCCGCAAAACGGCCAGTCTATGTAGATCTTTTTCGTTTTTCTCCCGAATGTTGCTTCACCTATATTAATAAACATTTTTTCAAATGAATGTGACTCGCACCAGTGAATCGCGGCATTTCATCTACGTGAACGGATTTAAGAGAAATTCTTCATTATTTTCGAATCTTTACGATAGATTTGACGTAGCGCACAAAGTTCCGTACAAAAATGTTGAAAATCATAAAAGAATTGTAAAAAATACGGATAATTTTAATTTAATATTGCCACGCTATCAACGAACAGTGAATTAAAGAAAATAATCTTTCTTTACATCACTCTTCGAGTTCTCTTCACGTTCCTTGCACTATTACCAATTCGTGCGAACGATTTCTCGCCACACGCGACCAAAGAATTCGTATATGTTTTATTTTTCGTTGCCAGAACACTGTTCGACGGACGAGCTGTCGCACTTTCGTCGAAGACCAGTGAAAGCTGGTGTGCTCGTGGGCTCGATGACGTCAGGTTTCGGGTCCGGCTTTCCTGCGCTACGAAACGACACAGTTCGAAAAAATCAAGATAGCCGATGCGTCCGCTCGTACACTCTGCCCTTGCCGTCGGATGTGGATGAATGCCGTAATTTGGTTTGGTAAGTTACCCACAGACAATTATCGCTTTGTTGACTAAAAACTTTTGAAAACAAAAAAAAAAAGGAGAAGCGCGGTCTAGTTCTCGTTCCATCATAGTCTTTCGCCAACGGTGGTGACTAAAACGCATCCGTGTGATTTTCAGCGCAGCACGTTGAATGCCGTAGGAAGCGCCCGCCGGACAGAGCGTAATCCTGAGCGTAATCCTGTTTACTAGCGCGAGTTTGTCGCGCACAAGGAGCCTTGAAATGAGCCGAGGTGCGAGCGAGAGGGAAAGATGTTCCCCGGGTGACGCAAGTGATCGCGGGATTCCGGAAACACGCCCGGCCGGTTATGTGCGACCGCGCAAGCCCCCCCCCCCAGGTGTAGCGCACACATGAAAGTGATAAAAAGCACGAGGGACGTCGTTGGTACGAGAGAACAATAAGACCGAAATAGCTCTCCTCGATCGAAGCTTATCTGTTGGCGCTGCACTGCAGGCTGAGAGAAAGGTCGTAACGTCGCCGTTCGCATTATTGTCGGCTTTGACGGTCGTGTGGGTCCGGTTACTTTGCCTTAGTCCCTTTTATATTCTACTTTACAAAAGCAGTCGTAAGGTCGATTCAAGTGTTTTACGACTTCTGGGTACTTAACAGAAAAAAGTTGACACTTCGCTTCGTCTTTTTTACCGGCGAAGCACGCGGCGCATTTAAAAGGAAAACGGCTACCGTTTGAGGCGATATTGTTCACGGGAGTAGCTGTTTCTTCATTCATGATAAAATAAAATCTCGGCACGACAATGTTATTGACAAGCACAGGAAATAGTGTTTCGTGCGCATTTCCCGCTAATGATCGTCAATTATTTTATTGGATCTATTACGTTTGCACGAATTTTGTTTTAGAGAGCATAACACAATTTCGTCATCCACAACAATAAATAATTTCTTTTTTTAGATTGACGTTAATTAAACACGCGATTTTGGTTGGAAAAAAGTTGCTTTAGATTGCCCATTCGAATATTCGTATATTTTACCGAAATTTTTTTCAAATTGAATAATACTCGCGCATTTAATTCGATTCACTATACGAGTATTGTTTAATTTTGCGCTTTAAATGATAGAAATCGTTTGTAGAAAATGATCAATTATATTTTCTTCTGAAAAATATTTTAATTATCATAAATTACTTCTCTTCGCCACAGTAGCAAAGCTTACCACAGCTGTAACTTCCAAGATTATTAACTCTTAAAGAAACAAGCAGAACAGCCTTTTGTGTGATTTTTCAAGTTAAATATCTCAAGCGAAAAGGGGGGGGCGCACCGAAGTCAAACGCTCGGGCGTCATCGTTGTGAACTTTCACCGCAGATCGACTAGCACACCCATACATGCATACAAGTACACTCACCGAACTGGTCATCTTGGCAGTTTCGCTTAGAGAACTCTGGTTGGACTGGAAAGTGTTTGGCTAGCGATAGAACAAAAAATTATCGAGAAAGCTACTGGATAATTGTGCGTATTGAGACGCGCGTCCTTTTGCTACGCGTCTTCGACGAAAACTGATTCGAGATAGAAACCGACGCTTCCTTTTATGTCTCCCCACTCGGATCTTTTCCGGAGAGAGAGAGAGAGAGAGAGAGAGGAGTAGGAGAAAAGACCGGTACCAAGTAGTATACGTATTCGTATAGCTCGTCGCTCACGATCCGATGTACCGTTTTCATTTGCTGAGCGTACGTCTATACGTATGTACTCGTTGATTCTCGACACTCTACACACGCGTCGACAGTTGTCAATGAATACTTCAGATTTGATTCGTGCTTTCGCTCTCTTCCATCCTAGTTTTTCCTTCTCTCTCACCTTGTTATTTTTATATATGTTCGCCAACTGGTTGGTGCTGTGCGTTCACGTCGATGACGTCTATGCAGCAATGACATTTTTCTTGTATACAGCGCACTAAATAGCAACGGGTGTGCTATTGTGCAATTATTATTTCACTGCAGGCTGAATGTCATAAGTTAAACTTGCAAAAACTAGCAGATGTCGTTCAACGACCATTGCTATTGGCGATTCGTTCAATCGGTTATATTGCACGAGCGTTTTATTCTCGTTATTGTTCTTAAAACGGAAAAAAAAATGCAAAACACGCCACAAATATGACGAAATGAATTGTTTCGAGGCAGCAAATCGCGCTCGTACGTGATGTATCAACATTATGTAACGATGAGCTTTTGTTGTATGCCTTCGGGATTGAACGGTATATGTACATTCGATCAATAACGTACGCGCACAATGTAAAAAAACAAAAGCCATTAATAGGAAATTATGTGTGCGCATTCAACAATAATGCTCACATGAGTTCCACCTTGTCGGCCGGGTTTCTTCGGTAGCTTGCACGCACATTCTTTTCTGTTGTATTTGATCGTCGCTCAAAAATGTCAATAAGCGCATGTCAATTTTTCCCAACGAAATCTTGTTCGATGTACTTCAAGTGATCAACGTCACTACATCTTTTCCTCCTCGAAATATCGCCACGGGAATTCCATGTACTCAAAATCATGCAGATCGCGAATGCAGCCTTGTAAAATATTTCTCGCATAGTCTCGATTCTTTTGCCGTGCCAGTGTAAGAACAAATCAATGATTCTAATTCTTTTTTTTCGATAAAATTATAATATTCGTATTTAATTTGACTTATTGGTTCTATGCATTTTTTATTTTAAAGAGCATCTAAAGCATGCTAATACATGAAAGCTATTTTTTCGTATCAATCGAAATAAAATTATTATTTAGAAACATGACCAATTTAGACTCGTAAGAATGCTCAAGTGGGCATATGATTCTCTCCAAAAAATATGATGACACGATAATTATATGTGCTTATAGAAATTCATCTCTAAGAAATTCTTCAGATGCATGCCAGGCTATCCGTTGGATGAAATTCATATTGTAAGCTCGTGTATTTTATTCAAATTCCATAACTATAATAACATTCTTATAATTTTGTCATGATTGGAGTACGTGACATTTTTAAAATACAAACTTTACCTTTAAAATTTCTAAAAATTATATTTGAAGCTTTCATTATAATTCAAATATTTACACTAGTATTAAAATCACTTTCATGATCTACGACATACGATGATTTGTATAACATTTGAAAGCGATAAGATTTTATGTAATATAGTCAGCCTTTTTCATTTATTTTAAACTTACAGTTTTGAAAGTAAATGAAAACCATTTAGTTTAAAAAATATACTCTAAAATATTTTTATAATAAGTATAAAATTTAATTTTCCCCGACTATGATTTGATATTCATGCTGCCGTGTATTTTAAATAATCTATATATTAATTTTACGCGATTTTTGCATAGTTTATCCTTTGTAGAACGTCAAATTATAACATTTTATGAGCATCCCAGTTATTTCATCATAATTGAAGGATTTCCCCGGAGGTTATATAAAAAGCTGACAATTATAGCAAAATAATAGACAGGATTTCATCGCGTTATATTTCCAATTATACGCAAAGAAAATTGTCTTTCTAAAAATCCTTATTGTTGTACATTTTTCAATCATCAAAGTAAAATAAGTAAATATGATATTGCGGATGCAGCAGGGTAGACTTTCATGAAAAGTAATTAGTCGTCTGAATCTGTAGGGCCTGAATTGTACATATTATACATAAGAAATGAATGATAATTACAATTCTCAATTACAATGAGCACTACGCTGATCCATATTGTATGCGAAAAACCCAAGTATCGAGAGCGAGAGCGACGCTCTCCAGTGAGCACTCGCTCACGTATCTTCGGGATTTCCCCAAGTAGTTCTATAATATATTGTACACTACGGGCGTAGATATTGGCACGTATGCATGCCACGCGTAAGAGGTTTTGTATAAGGTCAAATTTGAGCCAATGACCTTCGACCAGTTCGCGATCCATTCCAGATTCTCTCATCCTGTTTTTTCGCCATTTCGTTTTTCAACTTGCGTAGAAATTATGTATAGCCCAATCGAATTTCAAATCGTCCATGTCAATATTGAACCGATAAATCGTGCGGCTGAGAGATTACGTACTTTATTTATGGATTAAAATAGATTAACTAAAGACGTTCAGTTTTATAAAACATCATTTTTTTCCAGAAGACAAAATTGTGATCCACAATATAAGCGCCTAATCAGACTTGTTTTTTTATTGTACTTTTATTTGTTTAAAAACTAACGTGAGTGAAAAAATGTTTTCCTACACATTATTTTCAAAAAGAGATATTTTAATTAACATTAAACATTATTCGTCCGAAAAAAGATAATAATTTTGAACAATTGCTGTGTTCAATTTTTTTATAACTTTTTCTTTCTATTAAGATCAAATTTATTTCTAACTGCTTATATCGATTAAATTTTTATTTATTTTATTAATTACTTGAATATTTTCATTGAAGATTAAATAAACAGTGCTTGTCGTAAAAAGGAAAAAACGGTAAACTCAGCAATATGATACACGCTTACCCAAACTCCAAGTACGAAAACTATGTATCGAAAAGTCTATTCCTAAGAAGCTCATTTCTATTTTTTATGCTGCAAAAAAACCTGCAGAATAGCAAGGACTATGTGAAATCAGATTACAAACAAAATATACGTAAATTGAATTACGCTAAGTAAAGTTGAATGCAAATTAAAAATATTGACGCTTGAACGAAACAACCAAGCTCATTATTTATACTTATATTTTATTCAACAAATGTATATATTTTCCACAAAATATTCATTACTGACACAGTACAACAGTGTATATATATATATATTCTCTGTTTAAAAATAATTATTTTTTCGACTGTTATCGTTTGAGCACGTATATCAGTTCTATAAAATAAGTAACAAATATATTCTATGTTGTCAACATTAATGTAGGAACAAACAACAGTTTCTATACTATATATCACATTTAAAAAGAACGTGTTTCGTTTTAAGTCACACGAACAGCCATATATTAACTATGACGTACTGTTACGTCTTTGTTTGGGTAATGTACTAGTTTAATTCATGAATGCCATCCCGTGATTCAGCAACAGAATCCATACTTTTCACCCATATTTTTAGTGGTTTTTGATTCCTTAAATAATGCACAACGGTAAAGATATTCATGATCAAAAAAATAACACCTAGAACGAGATAATAGCCTCCATATGCCATATACTGAAATCAAAATGAAGAAAAGTCAATTGCACGGTACTTATAATTAATAAACATTTAAACAAAAACATCAAATAGTAACTAATAAACATTTAAATAATACATGTCATACCTGCAATCTTATATTCAATCCTAAAACATCTTTACTTATTACAATATACGTTAGCAATGACTGTAGCAGTAGAGCAAAAAATGTATTCAATCCAAAAATTAGGCCGTAACTATCTTCCGATAAATTTTTAGCAACTTCAAAACTGAAACAAAAAATTAGATCAAGTGCCAATTGATTACGGAGTACTTTTCACAAAACGTTATTACCTTGCGATAGTAATTATCGAATGGTAAATCACCCCAAAGGCAATATATGCGGTATATAAAACCCATATGTTTGAACTAGCGTAAGTAATTAACATTAAAACTCCTTCAAACATTGAAAAAATTGATAATATTGCTTCACCAATCAATGGCCAATTGAAATGTAAATTACCGACGCCCAACACAACTACTGCACCTAAAAGAACAAGTTATTTATCAAACTTATAATTTAATTTTAAATATATAAATTTAATTACAAAAATAAAAATAATAGTAATTTCACTGCACACATATATGGGAATTGTGCCATACTTACTTATTATTGTATATACTGCCTCTATAGCACCATTGTAGATTATTTTAATATCTGGAGAGTTTAATACAGCATCTTCCCAAAGTAATTGTATATAACTTATCACTTGTAAATAGCCACAAGTAGCAAAAGCCCACCACAGTGACCACTTGACTACATGTTTATTGCTGTAAGCTTTGATAAAATCTTCCCAAAGTAAAAAGTATGCATGTCTAACTTTAGCATAAAATGGTAATGTTACGTTTGATGCTCTGTGCGATGAAATAGATAATGTCTTATTACTCCCTTGACTCTCTAATGAGGTTGATATATCACTAGTAATGATATCTATTCGATGAAAATATATGGATTGCTTTACTGGTGGTAAGAAAATTGCCCAAATTGTTGCTAAACTAAGAGCTGAAAAAATGTCAATATAATCAACAAATTTAATTCAAATGATCTACAAAATAATCATCTATCAGTCATTGAAATATTATACAGATAAAAATAAACTCTTATAAAGTTAGTGGGAATGTTGAAAACTATATAATTTTAAAGCATATAAAACACTTAATAAAATTAATCATTTTAGAACTGTTACGAAATCTTATCTATGTGATCAAGCAATATCAGTTGTCAGAAAGTCAATGGATTCTAAAAATTATTATATCAGTTGCAACTTTCAAATCATTAAACATAATCCTACAACTTAGATAAAAAATTATTGCATAACTAAATTTTCAATATTAAACTAATATTAGAAATTTAAAAAATAAGTGAGAAGTTTGAAATAAAATGTCTACAACAAGAAGCAATAATGATATGAATAAATAAAAGAAGCTTACATCCAATTGTTAAATAGTTTAGTTGCTCATAATCCAGAACGCTAAAAGATGTTGTTAATTGAGCAACTAGACTCGATGCAAAGCGACCACAAAGAAATGCACCTCTTGTATAACTTGTAACTTGTTGATAATGTTCTTTACTGACTTTAGCATATATGTATGTATAATAAGCTACTTCAGTTGAAAAAAATAATCCATAAAGAAATTCTACTACTTGCATATGAGGTATTGTCGTTCCAAATCTTATTATTGCAAATGTGGCTGCTCCGGAGAGACCACATAATATAATAGCTGGTTTGTATCTTATTAAATCAGTCAATAAAAATACTAAAATTAGAGTAAAAAAATAACAGTATGTACCAACTGGATAAATTTCTTGGTTTACCTGCAAATAATTACTTTAAATCAATATTGTATTCAAAGCAATAATCTGCTTATTCAAAATAATAGTTTGAATGCTTTTTAGGCTGGGAATGGTAAAAAATTATGTAAATAAATTATTTAAGTTATGTAAGAAAAAGTAGATATAATAATATAAATAAATCTTTTATGTTAATTAACAATTAACATAGTAAATCTATTTCAAAATAAATAAAATTTTTAAGTTATCAACTAGTAAAAATCTGGAGTTTTCAAATGATTTAATCCATAGATATGGAATGAAAAACTTACTTGTGGTTGTGTGAAATTTTTCCATGGACCAGTCAGATAATTTGTGACAAAGGGTTCATTAGGCCGAAACTCTTTTAAAAAACCAAAAATACAAAGAATGCAACAAATTATTTGCCACTTCATGATGAACTATTTTGTCAGGGCCAATTTTTGAAATTCTTTCAAACGTAATAACAAATTATTTTAATTATTATCATGCACACCATTTATTATCACTTCACTCGTTTTGATAATATAGTGATAATAACAAACAATTTTGATTACGTTTGTGAATCTTGTTACATAGTCATGAGTGAAGAAAATGTAACATTCGTGGTTGTACTCATTGTTGATGTTAATCCCTAACTGCTGGTAATTGTCAAATAATTAAATGATAAATTCAATCTTGATTGTGTAGAGACGCAAGATCAAAATATATGGAGACTTAACGCCAATATTGCAGACCGACAGCATGGCCGCAACTGAAACTGACTTGAACTCGGCGACTGATAGATATAGTTCTCATATTCTTATTTGTCGCCGGCTGCGTCGATTTGAGGATTATTACGTAATTATTGTATATATATATGTATGCATATCGTGTACATGCGCATTTATCATGTAAAAAGTGCAAGGATTTTCGAACTCTTTACTGCAAGTCAATGTAAAAGAAATTGTGTTATAATTTTTTTTATACATATTATATAGGTTATTTAGTTAAATTATACTCCTTATTGCATCAACAACCTCAAGAATTGAAAACAGCTTTTTACATCGAACAGTGCACTATTAATGATACTTTTACTAGTACTTATCACATACGTCAATGCAATTTTAAGCATACTTTTTAGATTTTAGTCACATGTAACACTATATGATACATTTTGTTTCACTGAAGCTTGAACCAACAAATATAGACGGTTTAGAAGCCAGTTCTTATGGGACATTTTTTAAGTTGCTGTCCTACGGAAAACATTGGGGCAAGTTCTCAAGCAAAAATGGCCATAAAAACTTGAATAAGAAATGGTGTAAAAAATGCCGCAAGTTCTTACATAAGTTCTTGCGAAAGAACTTATTGTAAATAGTAAATACAAGAAATAATTAGAAACATAAATGCAATATTTAGAAGCTTTCTTGGTGTAAAAATAAAGTCATATTAGGTTGCAAACGTAACTATTTGGTCGAATTTTAATAAATACGGAAATCGTTTTCTTTGCGTCAGTTAGGACCAAGTCAATAATTTTTGTTATATTTTTTACTTTACGATGATATAGTATAATAATTTGTACTAAGATAATTGTCTGCTGTAGCCACTATTCGACACGTTGTATATTTCTTTTTACTACGTGTATCCACAATAAATTTCTTTATTTCAATAAACCTTCATCATTCAGCTGGGTAAACGAGTTGTTAGAGCGTTTATTAACATTGATGCAGGACGCATATAAACAACCATCTTTAACCATTCGTTTAAAATACTAGCGACGTCAAACGCGCTTCGCACGCTCTTATCTTCTTTTTCATTTCTTGTCATATTGATAAACGTCTTTAACATAAAGTACTTTTTTCAACGTGGATTTTTCAATTTTCCCACAAAACAAATATCACAGTGGATAAATGTGTATTACAGAAACAGTTCCGCGTATTCCAAATTTATGATTTAATCATATCAAAAACTACTATAAATAATCCTTTATTTCTTTCCAACTATACAGGTCAAATTACTATTGAACGTTTATACTGAATTTTAATTTTACATATTCACACATTAAAATATTTATTATAGTAATAGAAAATAATCACAATAATTTCAAAGCATCTAATCTCAAATTTACCCGCTATTAGTTTAATAAAATGTTTTAATTAAAATAATTACATTACAACCTATTTTTTAAATATAAGTCTCGTTACCTTCAAAATGACCTGTATCAATTATGATAAATTGAATTTTTACTACTAAATTCTCAATTCGAAATTATTTGTAGACGCTTATTTGCTGCCACATTATAGTATATCACGTCGCCATATCTCAATCAATCAAATCACAAATAAAATACTTCAACACGGCATCCATCACTTTTTATAAGAGGATGTGCTGGAGCCAGGCAAATGAAAAAATCAATCTTTTTTCAAAAAAGAACCTTTGCCAAAATATGTGACTTAATTTAAAACTTTTTTTTGTACAGGCTTTCAAAGTATTGCTTAAGTATACTTTTACAGCTTCTGAAGCATCGGGTAGAAGTGCCTTTTTCAAAATTAAAGTGTCGTGGTTGATGTTAATGTATCCGAGAATTTGCGAATTTACTCCTCGTGCACAATGAATAGCTTGTTATAATTAATGAATTCCTGTTTCATAAGCAAAAGTTGAATGACACCAAAGTAGTCAATTCAAAACGCTTTCAGCAAGATGCAATAACTGATAAATATTATTACGTCATTGCAGTTATTCTAAAATATTCATATGTTAAATTAACAAATTTGTGTAAATTTTCATCAGCTTTATCTATGTCTAAAACACTGATCTTGGTTTGTAATATCATATGTAAACGTTCAACAAAAAGAGTCTAATAGTCTACGCATCTTTTAGTAAAAATGGATACAAAAATAGGTGTACTCCAATATAAAATCCAGTTCTTCCATTCTCGGCACTTCCAACATTTATTGTCGTTCAAAGATCTCGAATCGTTAGATGTGATATTTGTAATAGGTTTTTCATGTATTTTAATGCATCGATGTAATCGACAAACGTCTTATCTAGTAGACGATTAATTATCTGTTGACTCGCGTCCACCAAATAAAGATGCATGTTAGTCCAGTAGACTTAGTTCAAAAAAGGTCGATTTCATGCTGTAAAACCAGGGAGCTATTTTACTTTTTAAATCGGTTCTGCAAAATAAATGTTTTAAGTAAAAAAATGCGAAAAACGGCTTTTTTCCCTTGCGCTCGATTTACTCGAAAACTATTTCATCAGATACGAAAAAATGCAAAGGAATAAAGTTCTAGAACGAAAAATTTGCAACAAAGTCATACAGGTTAAAATTGTTAAATTCAATTTCGCTTGATCATAGTGGCAATACAAAACAAATATTTTTTTTTTAAATGCTTTTTAGGGACTAAAAGTTGGAATTGATAATGTCTTAGAACATTCTGGATTTATTCTATGAAAAATTTAATCTTTTAACAACGCAAATAAAAAAATCATCCTGATATCCTTTTTAGTTATACTGAACTATTGTATTTGTTTATTAAAGTGATTCGATATTTTGGAACAACCTGTAGATCAAGTTTCGTCCCTAAGATTGTGCGTGATTTTTTTACATATACTGCAAGGCTTCGGCTACCATATATACCGTAATTTAATTTACAATTTTTTTTATATTAACAAGCCTAAATGATTATTTTTTTAATTTCTTATTTTGGCTTACATAACAAATGTAATATTTCAGTGAGTTTTCATTATAATCATAACTTGCAAAATGTCACGGTAAGTTCTGAAAATAGAGAATGTTTTGACGTATCGAACATTTCATTTTAATAATTTTATTAAAAAGTATTAAATTATAAAATCGACAAACTGTACAAAGCAATAGAGTAAATATTTAGTGAAAATAAAAGTACGATTGTTATCCATTATCCAAATAATCTCTATAAACTTTAAAGACAAATGCGTACACTTATAATAATTGCACAACGTGATGTACGAAAAGAGCTATCGCACGCAAAATTCGTATACGTGGACATTTTTTTATTATTGATATGAAAGTTATTTTTGATTGATGTATCGCAAGTGCAAAGTAATTATAGATATAATTAATGTTAAAATTTAAGTATTGAGTAGCAATCAAAATATAATTTCACGCTTACTAGCGTTTTAATGACGATTGTTTCTTTTATTATATAGTTATAATGGTTAATATTATTTGTGTGTTAATAAATAAATAACATTTATCTGTTTTTTTATATTATAAATGTGTTGGTAGAATTTATATAAAAAAAGCTTATATGCACAACAAAATCAAGTATATAACGTTTACAATCTCAATTTTATATTTGTGAAACAGATACAAGAAATATTCAATTTTCCATTAAACTGTTTAATGCTCTGAAAGCCCTTACAACAGCATCTACGGAACTTATTACATTATATAGCCTTTGAATTTAACGCACTTTTCCTTTTATTGTATATTGTATACCTTCACTAACTTCATTCATTATACGTACAAATGGCTCGAGGAATACCATCATATATGGTTTTTTTTTTACCGAACCATAAACCACATGGGATGAGATTATTCATTCGATCTTGAGGTGGAATTTAACTTATAACGTAGATTGGCCACAAAGTTGCTGGGAAAGAATCGAATGGATTTGTTCTGTCTGTGTTGAACATTAAAGTGACATAATTGCTTTTGTCTTCTTTAGATAAATCACCGACTTCTTCACAATATATTTAACGTTCAAAGAGATCATTGATAAAATTTTTATCTTTCTTTCTTTTAGACATGATGTAATCGTAATACCCATCGTGACATTGTAATAATTCTGCTTATGGAATACTTTGATCAGTTATTGCAAACAAATTTTTGTAAAAAGGCTTAAATAAATCTACAGTAGTACTGCATATCTTACATTTCGCTGTGCAACCCAGGTCTTCTGCAGTCTCTAAATATCCTGAATATTTTAGACAAGTAGCGTGGAATGTTACATTATTCTTATTATTATCGTAAAATATTTAATCAAGTTTAGTGTAGTACAGATTTTTCGAAAATTGAGTAAATTAGCGTTATTAAATTTGACATTCCTACGCTAGATATATAATTAGTTTGGCAAAAACGTAAAATCATTAAATAGCAGCTCACCCGTTGAGATAACTGCTGATGGTGATTGCCTATTAAAAAAATGTATTGATTTCATTAATTCACTGAATGATTTTACTTTTCTCAATTAAGGACTTTATTATCTTTTATTTTTACGAATTTTATTTTATTATTACGAATCAAAATATTCATAGGGAAAAGCATCTCTCTCAGTTGTGAACTCCAACAAATTTTTTCAACTCAATGAAATATTTCATTATGTGTGTCAAGTGTGAGCTTACAATTTATTACATAAATTGTAATTATTTTGAGGGCTACTTCAAATGAATTATTATTTCATTGAATAACAAAATGTTACCTCATTTAACTTAAAAAGTATTCATTAATTTACACAAATATTTCATTGTTCTTTACGTCAGATTTTATCAATGCAATATTTTATTGATTTTATAATTGGAAAAAAATTGGACTTCTGAATTTTATTATGATCGAATGTAATTAAACACCTTCATTGAATTGCAGAAATATATCACTGAAATAATTATTTATCTAATCAATTTTAAAAAATCCTCTGCAATAGGTTTCATGCTTTCGACAACATTGCGTATTTATTCTCTGTCAAAAATTGTATGAACTAAGTATCATCAACATGCATTAGATCAATTTAAATAATGCTTAACTTGTTTTGCATAATAACAGAAGCTATCTCATTAATTTTACATATAAAAATTTATTTTATATAGATAAAATAAATGGAAATATATATACATAAATTAATCATAAGAATGACTATTTTTATATTTTATTGATTTGGAGAAATTTTGATATTTTTTTTCAAATGAATACATTCAATACTTCATTGAATAATGATGAAAGCACTACGTTCATGCAATAAAATTACTTTTAATAAATGTAATATTTATTGTACTCCATGTAATATTTGATTCAATTGATCATTTAAATCAGTCAAACTTGTTTCAAAATTATGTAAATGATTAAATAATTGTAATAGTCAATAACAGAATTTGTTGATTTGATGAGACAATGTAATAATAAATATTTCATTGTCTCAATGAAAGTCAAATTGCGTCATACCGGCTTACACCACTACAATAGCATATTATGTCATTGATTTAAAAAAATCGCTGTTATTAAATCATTAAAAAAGTATTGATTCGATAGTACACAATAGCTTTAATAGAATGTATTTTATATTACCAACGTGTTTTATGAAAAAAAAAAATATATTATCGTAGTGATATGATACATAAGTAGCGTTTTATTCAATTCACCAGAACATTCATTCAATTCAATGAAATACTTTATTGATTCTATTAATAAATTCGTATAGTGTGCAATAGTTTACACAATGATATGAAAATTTTTTGAATTAGTAAAATATTGCATTCATGAAACTCAATGAATATTTATTTATTTACTAAATAAATGCTTTCTAAATTTGATTAAGCAAAGATTGACGTGTTTTTTTTGATTAATTTCATTTAGTTGATTTAGTAATTTCTATCTTTCAATTATATATTCCATTGAATTATAAGACTGTACAACGATAATTATTTAGCATGCATTGGTTCAGTTGTTAATATAGTTTGCTTTTGCAAGTTAATTAAATTTACCAAAAGAATAATGCATTTATTTTTGTAAATTGAAGTGTTCTACATACCTAATTTAATTAAATATCTTGTTAAGTCCAATGAAAGATTTAATAAATTAGCATAAATTCCAATTGTTCTATACATAGAACTCATCATTTCAACTAAAGATTTCATCATTTGATCACATAAGTACGATCAAAATAAATATAGCTAGATCCTTTTGTAATTCTTTCCTTTCCTTTTATAAAAAAAGAGTAAAAAAGAGATGGGTGTGAAAGTAAAGTTAGTTTATTCTTGATCTGATTAGCTGAACTTTGCTCCCGTGGGTTACTATCTGTAACGGCATGTATGGGTATGTACAAGCGAATTGGTAGCAAAAGTATCAAATTGATGCTAACGTATAGCGTACAAAAATTCTTGAAGCGTAAACAAATATGTTAAGAAATAAAGAGAATTTTGCCAAGCGTAGCGGCGATGGTTCGATTTATTTACAAAACGAAAAAGAAGAAACAAACGTAGTGCACTTCCCATTAACTATAGCTAAACACTTTATTAGACTTGAAATTTAACACGCTATTAGATTTGAAATTACAATTAAATTCACAACTAAAATTTAAATTTTTTCTTCACCAATTATAAAACTAAACGTTAGGACAAATGAAAGATGAACACGAGAAGCACGCTTGACGACACTAGTTTCAATGAAGCAACAATCTAGTTCAATTAAATAACTAAGATATTTAATTATACATTTAGTCTATTTGATAAGAGAGTAATTGTTCGATGCATACTTGAATTTGTTTTAAGTTAATACTTTTGTCTTCATACATATCAGTGTTGATAGTAAAACAATGATGCATGTCTTATCCAATAAGTTGTTCACAATTGTCAATCAATGTACCGATCAAGATACGTGGAATATTGTAGCAGTACCTGATACAATCATTATTTATTAGGCCACTAGAGTTTTCAATATAAACTTATTCATTGAAGATTTTGAACTTATATATTGCAAATAAAACCTGGAATTTTTCTCTCGAATGGAAGTCCATTCGAGGTTCAAAAGGAAGTTTTTATCTAAAATTAAAACTGTTTGATAATTATTTGGAATGCTTTTGAACAGTGATTTATTTTCTTATCTTATAAATTGTAATCTGCTTTGTTCAAGCTAAAACAGAATTCTACAACCACGTAAATTTAACAAAACTCAAAACATTATAATGTAAAAAACTACATTTGTGAAAATGTATTACATTATGAGCATTAAATATAATGTTAAGCAGAGAATGTTAAGAATATTATTCTCCTATACTATATTAGTCTTGTTTCAATACACAACTTGATAAGACAATGCAAATAAATTAAAGTACTTAGTTTATCTATCTTATTTGGATTTTATGAAATTGATTTTGATGATTTTATTTTATTGCGCTAAAATCACACATGAATATTTAACTTAAACAATTTTAGATGATGGTAATACATTCTATAGTTATATTTGTGATTTACATGCACATAATTATCAAATGATTACTTTTTTTGCTACCTAACTTCAGTGGAATCTGATTAACAAACTCAGTGATATTCAAATGATTTCCAATTGTTCGGTCATTGTCCAAATTTTTTATCATCTAAGTCTTCAAACGATTGCTTTATTTATTTATATATTTTTTAAGCAGCTTTATTCATGATAATTTTTCTGTCAATAGATATATTTATAATTGGATATTCTGGTGGACGCCGATGTTTGAGAACAATTGAAAAGACGAAAAAGACCGACTATTTTTTTTGCGCGAACTAGCAAAAATCATCTAGAAGGATGAATTTGCACCATTGGTACTTTTTATAATTAAAATTGAGATTCTTTGAATTTTTTGGACATTTTTTAAAAATATACACGTACAAAAAAAGTCATAACTCGACATAAACTTTAAAAAATTCTATTCATCGTGTTTCTTTAAATATTTTTTTTAACATGATTTATACCGTAAAGCCACATGTTAAACGAACTCAATATTTTATTAAGTTAAAAAAACTATTAAACAATTAGTAGATTTGCAAATAAGATTAAAATAAAAACATTCAGTATGTAGATATAAGGTTTTGGAGACAAATATCTAATTTTTCTATTGTTTGATTATTTCCACTGATTCAATATGCAACAAATGTTATTTTAATCATAGGACTATAGTTTAATAAGTCATTCGAAGTAGGATTTGAGGGAAATTTTCTAGGTGGCAATTATTTTCTGATATTGACAAGCTCAATGTATTAATTTTTTGTTTAGGAATATATTAATTTATAGAATACATTTTTTTTAGTTAATCATTTATACAAGTCAAGGTAAAAATATAAAAAACTGAAATGAAAATACTATGTTCACTTTTTTTGATATCTTTTTCTTAAAGTAATATTAACCTGTTAACCGGGGAAATCCTTTTCTAATTACGCAACATATAACGGGCGCGTCCTTTTCCACTAAGACGTGTATGAATGACATATTGCCATAGTAGTAGTAAAATATACGTCCCGCCTGTTCTAGGGCGCAATATAAATATCGAGGACGTATTCATATGTCCTACCCGTACCCGATATTGTTTACTTTGGCCGTATTTATACGTCCCGCTCGGTTAACAGGTTAAATAATTTTTCTGTGCACAAAAGAAAATTAATCTGTTCAGTTAATGATCATTTTTTATTTACTAATTACAATAAGTTCTTTCGTAAGAACTTGCGGCATTTTTTGTATTATTTCTTATTCAAGTTTTTAGCGAGTGTCCGCACGGGATCCCTCTTCCTTCCCGACCCCGTCCGAGTTTTTGTATACGCATGCCATCTCTATAATTTCGAGTTCATAGATTAAGATAGTATCTCGTATTCATTATGAAACTTACCACTGAGTTGGAAGTTATAAAGATGGCATGTGTATATAAAATCTGAGACCCGGAGTCAGAAGGAAGAGGGATCCCGTGTGGACACTCCCTTATGATAGCTGATGTTCTTGGTTGAGAACTTGACCCAATGTTTTCAGGAGAGATGAACTAAACAAGATGTCAATTGTCGTCTGCTAGATATTAATTCGACTTCATGCTAACAGTGCACTTCCAATCAGCGAAACAATTACGATAATAATATTCTTGTTGACAGAAAGTTATTTGAAAGTGAGTTTAGTTACGTTAAAATATTTTTTAAACCACAGGTTAGTAAATTATTAAATAACGCTTTTGAATAAAGAAACATAAAAATTAAGTGAGAATTCAAAAAGGACAGGCAAAATTATGCGCATGCGTTTAAAAATTGCGCGTAAAATTCGCATTGTTAACCTACCAATGTTTTGTCATCCAAGCATTTTGAGATGATCTTAAATGAAAAGTTAATTATTACTCAAGTAAGACATTTATCAATTGCAATATAATGATTTTTTCATCTTTACAATATATGTATATAATGTTCTAGAATAATAAATGAACGCAGTAATAACAAAGGTGTAATTAACAAAAACTAACCTGTAAAAAGTAACAAAGATTATTTTGTAGTTTTTCAAAAACAAACAAGATGTCTAAAGATATAAGATCATTTCTGATAACAAAGGGAAATACTCAAAATCTCAATGACGTAAAAGTTAAGAAAACACGTCCAATCACTTTTTCAGATGAGGAAGATGAAAGTCCTTGCAAGGGAACAAATGCAAAAGTTATTGATGTTACGAAAGCAAAGGATAATTATAGCAAATCTCGTTTAAAAAAACGTACCATTTCGTCTGATGAAGAAGAGGAAGTCCCGAACAATCTAAAAAATAAAAAAGCAAAATTATCAGATAAACATAAGATCAATTATGAGGAAATACTTGAAGAGATATATGACTCTCCTGCAGAGTTATTAAGAAACAAACCGATAAATAGAGCTAAAGCTCAAAAATTTACAAGTAAAAAAGCCCGAGAGTCCAAGAAAAATTCCAAAGATTCCTATCTCGAAAAATTCATTGGTGAAGATGATGATTTTGATGCTACCTTGAATCAACTTGATACATCACAGGTTGAGGAGGAATATTTGTCAAGTATCAAATCTGAAACATCATCATTTTTTAAAAGTAATGATAAAGATGCTCAGAAAAAAGAAAAAGAACATTCCAGCACTGAGGTTAAAACCAAAATAGATAAGATCAATGTTTTTGATACTAAAGAAGAAGAAAAACAAGAAAATTTTGTAGAGTCAAAAGATAAAGTATCTCCAACTAAAAACAAAAAAGAGGATAGAAATCATCATGAAAAACATAATTATGAAAAAGAAAAAGATTTTCATCTTAAAAAATCAAAGAAAGGAAAAGAAAGCAAAGTCAATACAAGCAGTACTGAAAATAATGATACAAACTTTAATGAAATAATTGAAGAAAAAATAGAGAAAAAGAAAATTGCTGCAATTATGTATCAAAAGTATTTGCACAGAGGAGGTGCTAGAAATCCAGGTTCTAAAGAAATTCCACAAGCAGCTGAAAATTGCCTTGCCAATTTAAGTTTCCTCATAACTGGGGTTCTCGAATCATTAGAACGTGAACAGGCAGAAGGAATCATTAAGCAGTATGGTGGAAAAGTAGTCCATTCAGTTTCAAGAAAATTGAGTTATATTATTATTGGAGATGAACCTGGACCTTCAAAGTTAACTAAGGCTGAAAGTCTTGGTATCAAAAAGTTAAGTGAGAATGACTTTTTGGATTTATTACGTTTAAGTCCAGCTGTAGATAGTAATGCAAAATCATCAATTACATCTGATAGTAATATTAAACGCAAAAGAGAAGAGTCCAGTTTTAATAAACTTCCTAGTCTTGAGAAATCCAAGAAGAGTAAGGAAGAACTACTTTCAACAGATAAACAGGAAAATCCTGAAAATATCAAAATAAATAATAAAGAAGATTTATCTTCAAAAGAAAAATATCACAGTTCTGAAAAAACAAAAGCAACAGAAGATTTAGCTTTTAAAGTAGATAAAGAAAAAATTAATGCATGTTCTCAAAAGAACTTGAAACATATAAAATCAACAGTCAATGAAGAGCAATCTTCAAATGTGAAAAATGAAATACAACCTAGTACTTCATCTATTTTTAATGATATAACAAATAATTTACAAGATGGTGTTGACCAACTCACAGCGTTAGTTGAAAAATACAGACCTACAGAAATGAAACAGATCATAGGTCAAACTGGAGATAAGAGCAATGCCAATAAACTATATGCATGGTTGAAAAATTGGCATAATATTCATGGTAAAAATTCAAAAGTTTCAAAACCAAAAACATCATATCGAGATGACTCTGGTACTATATATAAAGCAGCTTTATTATCTGGACCACCTGGCATTGGTAAAACTACAACAGCATATGTAGTTTGTGCTAAACTAGGATATGAAGTCTTGGAGTTTAATGCTTCTGATACAAGAAGCAAGAAACTTTTGCAGGAAGAAATTTCAGGTATCATATCTAATAAGACAGTGAAATCATTTATAGATAAAAGGCCAACCAAGCAGAAAGATCCACCAAAACATGTACTACTTATGGATGAAGTAGATGGTATGGCTGGAAATGAAGACAGGGGTGGAATGCAAGAATTAATTGCTTTTATAAAATCTACTGAAATTCCAATAATTTGTATTTGTAACGATAGACAAAGTCCTAAAATAAGAACATTGGCAAATTACACTTTTGATCTACGATTCCAAAAGCCAAGATTGGAACAGATTAGAGCTGCAATGATGTCACTTTGCTATAAAGAAGGCATCAAAGTAGATTCAAATGAATTAACTATGATCATTCAATCAACAAATCAAGATATTCGTCAAGTTATTAATCACATAGTAGTATTATCAGCTAACTCTAAATCAGTAAGTAATAATAGAATAGGTATTAAAGATAAAATGAATTACAAGAATTTGAGATTAGGACCTTGGGATGTTGTACGCAAAGTATTTAGCGCAGAAGAACATAAGACTATGAGTATTCATGATAAAAGTGATCTCTTCTTCCATGACTACAATATTGCACCATTATTTGTTGAAGAAAATTATCTTATTGTTACACCAAATGGTCCCAAGAATCAGGTGTATGATAAAATAGCTAGATGCAGTGAGAGCTTGGCTTTTGGAGATACAATAGAGAAGAATATTAGAAGTAATCAGGCATGGAGTCTTTTGCCAGTACAGGCATGCTTTTCATCAGTAATTCCTGGATCAATAATGTCAGGATTTATTAATTCTCAAATAAATTTTCCAAGCTGGCTTGGAAGAAATTCAAAGACAAATAAATTTGACAGACTCTTACAAGATATTACTGTTCATGCTCGTATAACTACTGGAGCAAGTAAAGAAGCTATAAACTTAGACTATATCAAATTGCTTGTAGATTCTATTGTTAGGCCTTTAGCTTTAGAAGGTACTGAAGGTGTTGAAAAAGCTATTAGTGTAATGAATCAATATCACCTTACAAGAGAAGACTTGGACTCGCTAGTAGAGATTACAAAATGGCCACATACTCGAGATCCCATGCAATCTGTTGACAGTAAAACAAAAGCTGCATTTACCAAAGCTTACAACAAGACCGCAATGTTTGCTGGTGTTAGTACTATGAAAAAGAAATCTTCTGATAATACTCCAGAAGATGAATATGATGAAATTGATAAAGAATTATCAGATAATGATGTTGAAGATGAGAAAATTGAAAATGATAAACTTATAAAAGCTAAAGCTTCAAAAGCAAAGGCTAAAGCAACATCTGAAAATAAACCTAAAGAAACTAAAGTTAAAACTAAGAAACCTGCTAAACCTGCATCTCGATCCAAAAAATAGTAATTAAAATTGTACTGTAGTGTCTAGTAATGTAAATGTTACAAGATTTTTTCTGTATGTGAACGTTTACTGAACATATTGTATTTTTGTATTTAAATTATCAAGTGGTAATAAAACTTATTATTTACGAAATTGACAATAATTGGCATTTGGGACATTTATTATTCTCATATTTAAAAAATTTTTTTATTTATTTAACTTTGTAATAACAGTTTGAAAATCATTAGAATAAAACTCGATTTAAAATAAGAGCAAAACTTAAGCATTAAAAATTATATTAACTTGTTTAACTAGTTTGTATAAGTTATCGATCGTAAGATATGTCAATTTTTAAATTAATGAATGCATTCGCTAGCGCATATAAGCTCGGTACACGTCAGTTGGACTGGCAAAACTGATACCCGTCGACCCGCGCCATCATCTGGCGACTCCGGCTTTTTAGTATCGCCTGTGTTGGCAAGCGGTATTTGTACGCATGTTCGTTTTAGTAGTATAGTTAACAGGAATAGCTTGGAATTTTTTTAATTATTGGGAATTCATAAAACAAAAATTACAAAATGATCTGGAACGTTATCCACAAACTACATTTAAGCTGTTACTTGTTATTAATAATCGAGTTGTTCATCGTCGTGGGTGCTGAATGGAATACGAATGACTACATGAAACGAGAACATTCGCTAATTCGACCTTATCAAGGTGCGTTGATAATCATATTCATTAATTAAGATATTTTTATAGCAATGTATGATAATTTGCTTGAAATAATATCTTCCGATAAATGATTGGTATACGCAAATTAATAACTGCAATTGATAGATTAATAACATTTTAGGTTATGACAACTATGATAACTATTTTGACGCGTCACCATTTTCAAATAAATCTTGAATCAAAGTATGATTTTGAATAAGTTAGCACTATTTATTCTGTCCATATAATTCTTTGTAAATGTAATATATTGAATGTACATTTTCTGCAAGTCATTTTTTTTTCTTTGGGTTTAGGTATAATGTTGAAAATTTTAGTTGAAAATTATTACAGGTTCAGGAATGACTATACCATATTGGGATTTTATGGGGAGCACATTAGTTACCAATAATTACATAAGATTAACACCAGATCTTCAAAGTCAACAAGGTGCAATTTGGAATACAGTGGTACGTGTTATTCAAATATGTTATAATCTTTATAATGATATTGCCATATTCTTATTTCGTTCATTGCAAGTAAGTATCGAAGAACTTGTAGTTACTTTTACTTTTGAGTGTTTTCTTATAAAAATCATTTTTACTTCAGCTTCTAACTTAAAATTATCAATACAATAGACCAGTTTTTCTAATAGATAAGAATTCTTATACTTTGATTACCTGATATTTTAATCCATAAAAAGTGATACCTTTGTCAATTTAAGTCTAAATACATTTTTATTACAGATAGAATTGTAAAGTGAAATAACTCATGTAATTCATTAAATAACTTCTTTCAAATAATGCTATTATATTGAATTTTTATTACAAAAAAATTTGAATTAGTTATAAATAAGCTATATTTTTATAAGCTTTATTAATTTATTTTTAGCCATGTAATGCCAGAAATTGGGAATTGCAAGTTCACTTCAAAGTTTATGGTAGAGGCAGGGATTTATTTGGAGATGGGCTTGCAATTTGGTATGCTAAGGATAGAATGCTACCAGGTCCAGTCTTTGGAAGTAAAGATTTATTCAACGGTTTAGCAGTTATACTGGATACATACAGTAATCATAATGGGCCACATAATGTGAGTAATTTTCAAAAATGGAAAATGAAGTATTTATGAAGTATTCTTGTGCAACAGCATCAACACCCATACATCTCTGCAATGGTGAATAATGGTTCTCTTCACTATGACCATGATCGAGATGGTACTCATACTCAACTTGCTGGCTGTGAAGCAAAATTTAGAAATTTAGAACATGACACACACATTGCAATACGCTATGAAAGAGACACATTGACAGGTACATAAATCTGTTCATATTTTCAATGCATTGAATAATTAATCATTATAATGGTACACTAATATTAGCATGTTGAAATCAAGAATAAAGATAATTGAGTTTAGTGATAGTTGATTATAAAATATTTTATATTCTGTACAAGTTCCTTCCAACAATTGAATACATTATACTATTATAGATAGAGGTAGAAAGTCATGAAAATTTAATCAATACTTAAATTGTTTTAGTTTCAACTGATATTGCAAACAAGGGAGCCTGGAAAGAATGTTTCTCAGTAAAAGAAATAAAACTGCCTACTGGATATTTTTTTGGTATCACAGCCACCACTGGAGACTTGTCAGATAATCATGAAATCCTATCTGTTCGTCTATTTGAATTGGATTTGCCTAATGATGTACGTAAAAAAATTTGTATGAAACAATTGTAGTATAATGTCGATATAATATGCTATTTATAATATTCTTGTCATTTAGCCAAAAGACCAAGAAGACAGATCAAAAATAATACCATCTGCAACTTATTTCGAGTCTCCAAGAGGTATGTACACAAACTATCATGTTATTAAATAATAGTTGATATAACCTTTCTACTGTTTTACTATCAACATTTATTTAAAAATCAATTTTTATTCCAGATCATGTTGAGGATCCAAAACCATCCTCATTAAGTGGAGTAAAAATTTTCTTCTTAATGCTTCTTGGCGCTTTAGCACTCATTGCTTGTGTAGTTATTGGAATCATGTTTTATCAAAAACACCAAGAAAATAGTAGAAAACGATTTTACTAAAATTAATGCCTCATTAACATTTGACTTGTTAAGAAATACTAGGTCTGTATAAAAGTCAATGAATAGTTATATTATACATTGGTTTGAGTAATGTGACTAATTTAATTGTGAACAGTTTAAAATGCAGGAATGTGTGTACCAGTGTATGTAAAAAAAAATTCGTAGGTAGTGTTACAAACTTTATTTATAAGTATACTATCCAATCACTTTTTAATTTATATCAAATACACACCATATGTCTTTATTATTGATAACGTAATATTTACGTTTTTGATAATATTTTTATTTGAGTATTCGATTTAATCAAAAGTCTTTTATAAGTTTGGTTTTATAATCAATTTCATTGTTAAACGTAAATCAGTTTTAAATAAACAATACTCAAATGAAAATGTCTAGCAGAAGAAAATTTAATTAATGATTTTTTTAATGTGACATCTGAATAAATAATTTCTTAAATATACACTAGCACTTACAATACAATAGCATATTTGTATATATAAATGAACAGAAAACATTGTCTGTATTATATAATTTTAAGATTTCTTCCTAGTGTGAAATTGCTGTTTTTATACAGAGAGCCTGAAACATTTATGAAAATTGTGCATGTAACAAATTAGCAATGTTTTTAAATAAGAATGTAAACCTGGTTGTCGTTTTTCAGACTGTTGCCAAATATATTACATATAAACAAATTAACCATATTTTCATGTTATCTTTATTCATTGTTCATGAGGATTGAATACAGATTGTATAATAACTTAAGAAATATCGAAATGAATTAAAATTGCATGCTTTTACCCAAAAAGATTACAATAAAAATAGCAAACAAAGTTGACTACTTATGATATATTTTGATTCACTGTCGGAGTACTTTTTTATTTTAATATAATGCAAGGCACCTTTTATTGTTATAAGTGAATAAAATTACAACAAAATATAACTTTCTCTAAGCTTACACAATTTCAAAGATACTTTTTTTATTTACGTCAAGAAAGACGCATGTTCTGTTGGAGAATGTTTATACAATAAACGATCAAATTTCGTGCAATGCATTTTATAGATCAACTGCAGTTCTTACAAATTGAAAGTTTAAATGAACAGTTTTTTGAACTATTACCTTAGCACTGTATGAATAATTTTAAATGCAATCAAGTATTAAAATTTGACACATGTAATCACTGCCTAGATATCTATACGTCTAATATATGTACGTCAATTTTCATACTACTTATACAGAAAATTTCATAATTATAACATTCTACATCTCAACAATAAATTAACAAAGTCTTTTCAGTAGAGAAGTTATCGTAAATTACGCATATTAATTATTTAACATAATAAAAAAATAGTTCTTAATTCGTCGTATTTTCGTGGCATTGAAACTAATCTTAGTTTACATGCAATGTGATCATGACAAATATATGAGAATATAATGATATTCTACTTATGCAAATACCTGATTGAACGGTAACATAAAATAGGTAAACATTTCTATTCGTTAATTCTAGTTAATTACTTATAAACTATTTGGCTCACAAAGTTAAGGAATCTACAACAAACTCCATATATCTAATATAAACTATGTTATTTTAAAACTATTTGCCACCATATAAAAATTCATATACTATGATAAAGTGAAGGTAATTTTTTTAAGATTTCGATCATACGGTATACCAAACTCAATGAAAGTACAATTCGTTTGAATATTTCCGTTGCTTTGCGATAAATATGGTAACATTTCAATACTGAGTTAGCTTTATTGTTGAAGAGAAGAACTAAAATTGTTATTTTCGTACTTACATTTTGTACGCAGTAAAAAATGCATCTTAAAAAATGCTTCATATCATAAAAATATGAACTCTAGATAAAAAAAAAAATTTTAATAATTTGAACGAATATTCAAAAACGTAATTAAAAGTACGATTCTAAAACGTATCAACTTGAGTTATTAAAGGCTTTAAAAAGCATGAAAAAAATCTTATTTAAATATCACAATAGGATTAAGAAGAAAATTTAAAACGGTCTTAGTCCCCATATAGACACCTCTTGCAACATCCATCAAAGTAATCCAGTATTCATCTCTCTTATACGATTTTAAATCTATGGCGGAGCAAACATGACAGCCAACTTCATCTAAAATAACATGAGGGGCCGAACCTCCAAGAAGAGATTCACCGTTTACCCCGTGATTAGATAAGATACCAGTGAACCATATTTTATCACCAGGATAAACATTAAGACTGAAATTGGAGAAAGATCGATCACCTACAAGGACAACTTGAGCACTACTACCCCATATACCATTCTTCATCTTTATAAAAATTTCGAATTGGTACCAGTTCCAAGCAGCTAAATGACATTTGCTTTTTTTCTTACGAGCATTCAAATATGCTTTACAGTTCATTTTGCGAATTTCATTTGTATACCTGTAAAATTAAAAATAAACATTGATCATTATCTTATACAAGTAAAAATTTCTACCGTACAATTTATTTACTAATACTCACTTGTCGCAATCATCTTTGTGCGGTTCGCCAAAAGCACAGCGCAATGGATTGGCTATGAAATCAGGAAATTGATCGACGAGAAGAGCCAAATTATTGCTAATGGACTTGATACGAGTGCTAGTGACGTAGCCCTCCCAAGAGACAGATATCCCCTCGAGTTGCGCACATTTAACTTGAATTTGAGCTTTGGACGATGACTCTTCCCACGCAGGTTGGTGGCAATAATTTTGATATTGCTCCCATGTAAGCTCGGACGGCATCTCAAATGGACTGGATTCCACGCTGGACGTACTTTTGTAACCCGTGATCAGTGGCCACATGAGGAATGCACCGGCAATAATTCCAAGAATCAACTAGAAGTAAGACATTTTCAATGTCTCATTTAACAATACATCAATATCAAACAAAATTAACCCTCAAATAAGATGACAAATATTATTAGCTCATAGATGATAAATGACACTTTAATAAAAGAAAAGCTGCATTTTTATTTGTATAAATCATGCAGAGACTGATGATGCAAGGTCATACCTGAGCTGAAGTGATAACCCAGTTGAACCTTCTTGGCGTTCTAGTTTTCCTCAGATACCAAGAGGCAGCGAACGGCAATCCTCCAAGTACAGCCGTAACACCAACCCTCATTATGAGATCGCTCTCGGACATGTATTTGGCAGTAGCAATAATAGGTAAAATGATTGAAGCCAAACCAACAATCGGTAGAAACAGCACCATCCCAACTAAAGCCAAGGCACCTCTGATCAAGCCATACCAAGTAGCACTTTGCGAGCTGAGTACAGACATTTGCCACCAGCTAAGCGTCACACAGTGCGGAATCAGGGTTTTGTAAGTGCCTCTCCAATTCTCTTTTGCAGCCATCTTCAAGCACACTGCAGGTATCAACAGGTAGAACACGACGCGAAAGTTGAGACAAAACTCAATGCCATTACCGATGACATACGAGGCAAAAGTTGGTACTTTGATGTCAAGAAATCGCCAGGTTTGCGCTACTACCGCGTCCATTTCGTACGGATACTTTGCCAATACGTTTATACTGAAACTAAAAAGTGCCAGGAAGTCCAAACCTCGAGAAATCCGTACAAAGTTGAACAAAGTGACTAATGTCAACGTGAAAGCTATCACTGTGAATTCGGATTGTGGAGTCCATTGATGAGCTACTATAGGATATAGCATTAAATTCATCAACAAAGCCAAAAAAAAGTGACCATACGGCTTGAGATTGTTCCTGCAGAACTGATACTCGGCTTCTTCGGGATTTAAACTACCACCGGAATAGCTGAGAAACAATTGTGACCAAACTCGTAATTCAGACAATTCTCTTTTACTCTGTAGAATCTGGAACGTAGCCAGAATCATTACTATAAAGGATAGATAATAGAAGGCTAATGGAATAAAAAGTTTAATGCTCTCGGCACCGAGTAGCGCGTGAAGCAGAATAAGCACGAGCGTGTGCACGTGACTTGTGAAAAATAATTTCCGAAGCGACACAGTCCGGCGACCAAGTGTTTCGATTAGCCAAACGTATAGTCGTTTGAAGGAGGCGAGTGGGTGAACGAAAGGTCGTTGTAGTAATGGTATTGCATCCAACTCCATTTGAGCTGGATCTATGAAACACAGTGCTCGTGAGACTACAGGTATGGTGCCGCGTGCATACGATGTTGCGGCTGATACAAGCGCTGCTTCGGTTATTTTTTCGCCTTGATGTGCCGACCAATCTGTTAAATTAATATTAAATTTATTACACAAAATCACTTTTTATCAATTTTAGGGGTTGTCATTAAAAGGAACATTACCTGGAGGGAGTTCTTGAACTTTGTCTTCAATTTGTTCGTGAGTAGAATCATCATCTGAATGTGAGTCTTGACTACAAGTATCTTCACTCAACTTTTGAAAATGAGTTTTACCATTAACATATCTTGTGGTAGTGGATGATTTAGTTATGGAAGGAAACACCAAATCTCTCATACACCTTTGTAGCTGCTCAGTGGTGATAAATTCTTCACCATTGGACAAACTGTTTAACAATGGCAAAAAATATATTATTAATTATTATTGAAGAAAATCAGATTTTTATTATAGTAATTATAGCTTACCTTATAAACATTTCTCTAGCAGCTCGCCTAGCAAGTTTTTCATCTTGTGTCATGTCTAGGCAACCTTTTACGTCATAATAATTGTGTTCAGTAATACCTCGTCCTGTAGCTAAGCATTTACGTAAAATGTCTGTAGCTTCCAAATTACCCTGTTCAGATGCTTTAGTTAACCAGTAAACACCTAACTTGGCATTTTCTTCCTTGTCAACTTCCAATTCTGAAACAAAAATATTTCATTAAATGAAGGTTCATTTTTTGACAACTAAACCTTTTTATTAGTTCAATAAATCTTAGATTTATTACACTTTACATTATACTCAATTTCTATTCCTATAAACCTTCAATTGGATACAAACTACATTTCATCAATTGTTTATATTTGAATAATTGAGTAATAAAACTTACCACAAGACTCTTCCAATAGCTGTTTAGCCAACACCACTTGTGATTCTGGACAACCATCCTCTGCTAATTGATTTCGCAATCTTCTTAAAGAGCCTTTTGGTCCATCTGAGCAATTACACTTATTATTATAATTGCATTCAAACATAAATCTATTTGTAAAAACTTTTGAATAATTTGGATATTCAAACTATATAAGTATGATTGATTGACAACTTATAAAAAAAATTTATTATGTCAATATAAATAATTTATTTAATAAATTTGTACAAATTAAGTGTGTAGTATAGTAGAAATAGTATGTAAGTTTATTGCAATAAATATCAAAAATTCTCATCTAATTTTCCCACAAAATCTAAATACATGTTTTCAAATAAAATAAATTAGTATAATAAATTAAAATTGTAGAGAAAAAAATTTAATCAAGTTTCATACTACACAAAATGACTATGAGTACTAAATTAGGTTTAGGAGAAAAAATTTTCTAAAAATATGTGTTCTATTTTTAGAATTACTTTTTTTTACAATAGTATTATTTTTATCATTTGCTCACATACACATATACATACACTATAAATACTTCATTGAACACTTTTAATCCAAGTAATTGGAGACTCAAATCTTACTAAAAGTATCTACATAACTTATACATTCTTTATCACACATGCAACATTTATTTTTGAATAAAACAATGGATTTATTTTATTTTTAAATACAAATTGTACTTAATGTTTATATGACAAAACTTAAAAGAAAGTCGTTACATAAGTTTATTCAAGGTAAAAAACAATGGATTTAAAAACTTTAAATAAGTGTTTATACTCTCTAACAATGTACACGGGTGTCTATTGCAGCTTTAATTTTCCACTCTAAACAAAAAAATTGCAAAAAAATAAAAACTGATCATAAAACAGTTGAAGTACCAAATAAATACGACTGAATTCGTCTGCAAAATCAATTCCATTCGCGTCCATCGCATATAAGTTTATCGGTATCGGGCAAAGAAGCTGTGTGCGTGATAGCACTCACCATGCAGAGTCCACTGTTTCCGGCCAGACTTGCTGGACAACGGTACCACACCGGCCATGTCCTAGACGACCGGTGTTTATCCTGGCGAACTTGCACAGCTGATGGATCAGTCTAGCGCGACGAGGAAACCGTTTCACGTCAACGCGTGTGTGTGGGATAATATGCGACTCGACTCCTTTCGCTTTCGCGCTTCTCCCTCTCAGCGTCACTTTGGGTTTGTAGGTTACCGAGATATCTACGTACGTATAGTACATATATATTGTTGCGCGAGCGCGTGGGTACGCGAGGTGGGCACGCATGCGCGTGGAAAACGCGCGCGAAGGACTGTGTGAAAGTTGTTTTCTTTTTAGAGTCTGTAGTTCTTTTTTTTTTTTCTTTGCCGAAGACAGACGGCTGATCACTCGTAGGCGGCAGCAGAGTAACTGAAACGGCTCGACCCGAACGAGTGTTTTGTAACGATGCTGCTCCTTGCATCTTTGATTGCTGCGTGTTGCGTGGGTCGATGAGAAAGTTGATTCTTTGTAAAACTAAATTAAGCTTATTTGTTACGTCAATTTGCTTTTCGGAAATTATTAAAAATGACTATTTTTGCAGATGACTAAGAGTAGTTTTTGTATTGTCTTTTACCTTTTGTTATTTACACGCAACTTTCAAAGAAATGCTCTGACATTTGAAATTAGCTGTTTTGTATGTTACGATTTTAGTAAATTTTTTAACTTTACGTTTTAACGTTACAACAATCATAAAATTGTTCTTGCATTTGAAGTTTTAGAGTATTTGTTTGTTGTTATACGTCGAAAATCTAAATCAAGTTTATTATTTTGGACTTTTAGACACACTTCTTCAAAATATTTGATCTTTAAATGCAATCATTTCAGTTGATAAAAGTAAAAGTCGAATATTTGATGGAAAAATTGAGGAAAAGGGAGTTTTTGCATTGGAGCTTCATGCAGTAAGCTTTTCTCATACAGGGAGATGCGAGTGCATGTGAGTTGGGATTGGTAAAGTTAGCAATCTCATCTCGTTTGTTCTCGCCTGTTCTCGTGTGAGAGCTTACTCAATGTAGCCCCTTTGTCATCTCATTGCATTATCTTCGTTGCATTGGAATGTTGATAGAGAAGAGCATATAGAAATATTTTTCAAAATTCGCGACTAGCATCTTCACTGCCAAGTATTATCTTGGATTCAACAATTTTGTATATTTTCAACTAACCATCTCTTAATTCTCATCATATTTAGCAGATATTTTCTTCAAACTGACGCGTTGCATAAAATATTAACTTCAAGTTAAAAATAAATACGACATAGATTAAAAAAGATTCATACTGGGTCATGTAGCAGTGAGATTCATTTTTAGATCCGATTTGTTTTATGTGAAATTAAATAACCCCTACGAATCCTGCTTCGAAAGTACACGATACTTTATGCACTGTCTTTTATTTTACAGTAGAAATGCAACAAGCGATAGTTACAGACATTATTTCCCAACTGAAACTATTAAAATATCTCTTTGGTCCAGAGCTTTGATTCGACTAACTCAGTTAAAAATCAACAATCATAGATATAAGTAATTGCATAGAACCTTAAGCTTTCTACAAAACTGCAACGACAACAGACCAAAACTCTGTATTTCAAGTTCCAGAGATACCAAAAAATTTTAACAAAATGTAATTACTTAACTGTATAAATAACTTAGAGATGAAAAGGTAAAAAACTATGGATAGTAAAATACATATCCTCACTATACAATTTTATAGATCAAATTTAATATCATTTTTTATAGTTTTTTACGCTTGTTTCGCAGAATTTTGAAAAATAAATTTCTTTCTATTAGTTCGAAACTTTATTATACTTGTAAAAATAACATTATTTCGAGCTCTGGTTAATTAATATGCTATCTTTCATTCAACAGTTTTCTCACCTTAAAAATTGATGAAAGTATTACACCTTACCTCCACCTATCTTAAAATTGAAATAGCTCCTCAATCAAATATGGTACATCTACTGAATGGAGCTCAGAACGTTATTTTTACAAGATAGAATGTTTCAGACTGATAGAAAGAAACTTAGTTTTTTAATACCTTATGAAACATGCATAAAAAAGGCACTAATTTCGACATAAAAATTGTATATTGAAAATAAGTATTTTTTACTCATATAACTTAGTGGATTAAATTTGTGAGGAATGTGTGTCACTCCAGGATTTTTAACATAGATTTTTTAACTTTTGTAACTGGAGCTTCCAAAAAGTTAGATGTTTTGTGGAATGGCATACATTGTTAGTATAAAAAATTAGTAAAGATTTATACAAATCTTTTTTGTAATAAGAGTATGAAAGGGAGAGCGAATCGATGTAGCAGCGCAACTGCGTTGAGATTTTATGGAGTCTAATATACTCTTCACGAAAAAGTTAATTTACATTATCTAGAAATTCAATCGCTTTTTTCTCGTTCAAGAATGAAAGCACATTCAACACGGTGTAACAATTGAGTTCACTGAAGGTTATCACAATGAAATTGATTCAGTTGAGCTCGATGTAGTATTTATGTTTATGTCCGCTGTCACCATTCGACATTATGCGAAAATTTCATGAAGATTTTAGGCTATGAGCAAGCAACTGAGTTTTATGGTGAATCTAATTATGATTTGATTCTTATGGATATCGTGGAAAAGCTTACTGATGTTATTAAGATATTATGCGAAACCAAGGATTAACTAACGAAAAACGCTAGTACTTACTGAGACAATGCCGGAGGGTAATAAGTCCCCATTTAAGTCATGAATACCACGTCGACCTATGGCTATATAGACTAAATAGCGGAATCATGCAATAATATTAGATAAATTTTACTTTATTATTTGAACATTATTTTAAATATTCATTTGTATTCACTAAATAAATAATCAGAATACCTGAATTTTGTTATTAAACTTTTATCGAACAAAGAAAAATATATAAATAATTATTGCATTACTAGATTACAAATAGCTTGGAATGTTATTGTTACCACTATCTTATATTTGTTATAGAATGGTTTCAGTACTATAAAAACTGATGTTGCAATGATGTACTACTTATCTTAGAAATAAATACACGTATTCTATACAAAAAGATAATTCAACACTTGCTCCTATACTTTTTTTTAAATAAAGTATTCTAAAACATGTACGAGTTGACATTAGTCACGAAGGCTTATCTAAATATATTTTCATTTTTTAGTACCGAGTGTTTTTGTGCTAGTTGTATTTAAACACAATAATAAAAGTAAAACGTCCACAAGCACATTTAATTACACAAAGAGCGAAAAAGATATTGAACGGAACGTTATGTGGACTCCTATGAATACTTTCTACGTACTATGAATTAATAACTCGATTATATCTTACTAATTGTTTTGCTGATGTAGTATTTAACCATTATATCAATAGTAATATTGTCACACGGATATTCATAATGCACAGCATGCATTATTCAACTATATGAATTCAACTATAATTTCACAGCACACGATCGATAACAAATATGATGCTTTCTCAGTATCTCTATGATAGCGCGTGCGTGCAACAAATTCACAATCGCAAAGTACATATACTCGCGTTTAATATTACTAACTAAACGCTTGCGAACAATATAAATGTAGAAGTAACCGATATATAATTGATTATTGCTTCGGTAAAAAGCGGTTGTTTATTCAGCTGGTATGTCAAGTTTCGGAGCCAGTCACAGAAACCTTGGTTTTGCAAGTCCAGCACAAGCGACAGCACGCAAAAATTGGCGAATTGGCGAACCCAAAAAATACTCTTCAGTATCAATAATGGCGATTATGGCGTTTATCCCATGCATGCATGCGCAAATATAGATGCGAGTGTTCTTCAGCAAAACCACGTTCGAGCCGGCTCCTCGTTTAGTCAAAAGTCGACTCTATCGCTGCCACTGTAATACAAGAAACGTTCATTTGAGCGATCTACTCGTTGCTTTGACTATCCTTTCAAAACAATACTATTGCAAAATTAATACAAAACTTGTTAAAAAAGACACAATAAAATATGACATCATGATTAGGAAGATAATGCTGTAAATTATTACACATTTTGTACATTCCTCGTATCCTTTATGCAAATTACTTACAAGTTGTTAGGGGTGATGTATGGCGGTGGATTTGGGCGCAGGTAAGAGCTGCTGTAATCTTTAGCGTTTCTGAAATAAAATAAAATATTTATTAAAGTAAACACTGCAGCTCGTAAAAACTAAAATTGCCCTAATTATTGCATGAAATTATCAATCTCAATGCGTGTAAAATATATACCTTGGGCTACGATTGATCAATTGAGAATCACTTAGTGTTGGACTGCAGGAGGATTGAGCAGCTGATAGTGAACGGAGTGTTCCTCTACTACTTGATGTAGTTGCATATTGAATCATTTGGACACCATTGGTCCCGCCGTTGTCCATTAATAATGGAGATCCTCTCTTTCCACTCGATGCAATTCTGAAAATTTTTATCATTTCTCAACTACATTTATAATAGTTTGTATCCGAACGAATATCATAATTTATAGTAAATCTCACACTGAATCTCACAAGTAAGTTATAAAATTGAAAATCACCTCGAAAAGTTTGAACTACGGTATTTACTTTTTCATCAGACTCTATCGGATAAATAACAAAATAGAGAGAGACAGAGAGACAGAGAGAGAGAGAGAGAGAGAGAGAGAGAGACGCAATGCACCGGACGAATGGTATTTCAAAAATTGCTTGCTTGCGCATGTATATACGTATAACGATAGCTCTTATCGTTCACGATAATCGCACGATAATCCTAGTGCTACGCGACGCGCATAAATATTAGAAGACATGACGCTGTCACATGTGACAGTCAAGCTTTTCGTTTTTCTTTTTCGCTTTATCGGTTTTACATTATCTATGACTCCCATTTGTGGTTCTTATGCAACGGTGTCGTTTTGAAGTGACAAGCGCATTGCACAAATTTCTGTATAATTTTTGCATTTACGTAAAGGTGGCATTAATTTTTAGGATTTTTGTTAATCTGATGAAGAGCTTCCATAGTCAAATTCTCTTGGGGTTTTGTATGCATGAATAATATGATTTATTGATGTGTCCGAAATGATTTATTACAAACAAAAAATAAATAAATAAATAAAACGTAATCTAGAATTTTTTAATTATGTAAAAGTGTGTTATTAAATTTTTCTACAATATATTGTGAGTAGGTATTCCATATCTTTCAAAACAAATGAATGAATTCATGAATAAATCAGTGCAATGATTACTAGATCGCTTTTTGCTGATTTTTTAATGTAAAAAATGATGGTATAAAAAATGAAAAAAAAATCGATGAGTTTACTGCCGTTTATATTTTATAATCGAACGTGTGCAATGCACGGCTTATGCATGTGAATATACGTTTTTTTTGTTCCGTTCATCCACCGACAGCAAATAAACGACAAGCAGTCGGAATCCAAAGAAGTTTGTGATAATTTAATTTCACGTTATAACACCATGACGTCATTGTCGTGCGTCATGAAGTTGCGGTTCGCTGCGGCAAGTAGAAGACATAAAAGGCTGATTTAACTACGTTTGACAAAAATTAGAGCAAAAGTTCTGGAAGAGTTATGCTGTTATTAAGACTATATTTATTATTTGCTTTTTCATTTTATTAACTGTAATGAATTATAAGAATATTATCTATTCATTGGACAGATGTACATACATTAATTATTGTTCATGGTTCGTATATTTTGAAATATAACGAAAAAATGTGTACGGATATAATAGATTTGTTTATTAATAAATAATTGTTTTACATTATCAAAAAAAGTATAAAAAATGTTTATAAAAATTGAATCAGCCCATGAAACTCTTGGCATATTAATGTATCGTACATTTACAACTCGTAAACATAGACTTGCATCTTGATTAATTTGAATCGTAATACCTTTTCCAGCTTAAGATGAACAGCGCTAAGATTACTGAAGTTGAGAACAGTTTGAAAGGAAACTCAATAAATGTATGTATATTCAATTCGATGTGTGGTAAAGCAAAATTTCAGGTCTATATAAACAACTATTGAAAATTTTCAAACATACTTGCAATAATGTTTGTTCAAAAAACTAGCGCACGGTTGTGTAATAAAAATAATTTATTTATAAATCAACAAAATTTTTGAAACGAAATAACTTGAAATATGTGCGCAAGATACCTCCGGCTCTTCGGAGCATTTGATCAATTTATGTCTTGTTATCAACGTACAATGAAACCCGTCGATACGATTGAATAAGTTTTTCTGCCAATAAGTGAACTAATAGTAATTCAATCGGATCAATAATAACATAAGTACATCGTCTTCGGGTCAACGTGATCGTTAATGCGATTATTTGAGCAAAATAATAAATAAAGCGTTTCCCTACCAGTATTACGTACACATATCCTCCGCGAGTGTGGGCGTTACTATATAGACAAACGTAATTGCGTCATCGCAAATATGCGAGTGCCGCGAGCGCGCGGTTGCTTTATGTCACGTGGCCGGCATTGAACCGTTGCTCGCGATCTTAATTACAAACACGATGCGTTACCGGTCACTTACCCGCCTTCGCTAATGTATTTATTTACTCCTTCGCGCACTTCGCTTTCTTCCCCCATTCGTAATACTCTTCTTTACTGCGTGTAATTTCGTCGCACGACCTCACTGGCGCCAATTCACTGTGACCGTCGTTAATGCGCTTCAAGCTTAACGATGACTGGCCATCTCTTACGAATCCGTTTTAGCAATGAATGTTCGCTTCTGCCTCTCGAAAAATCTGCAGGTACCGTCGATATTAATACACTGCGATACAAGTGGTACAGCATTTTCGCGCGTCACGTGCGAGCTCACGTCAAATATGTGGTTTTCAGCGCAGAATATTACTGCGCTCGAGACACGTCGTTGCATTTTGTAAAAATTCAATTGGTTTTTCGACTTCGCATGTTTTATTGACGAAGATCGATGACTCGACAGTTCAATGATCGAAAACTCTATACGACTTTCGTGGAGGCACTTGAGATATGTAATACTCTCAGCGAATATGCGCCAGTTTTTGAAGCTTTCAATGTGTGCCGCACATTATTGATCTTAGCGAGGAATTTCTAAACTTCGCCAACAATTCTACAGGCTTTAGCTCTTAGATTTCTGAGAACACTTCGAGGAAGTAACTTCTTGAGAGTAACCTCTGCATGAATCAGAGGTGAGTGTGACAGATATAGGCAGTAGCAAATAAAAAAGTTTAGCCACAATCGTAAAAAGAACAGCAATTTAAATTGCCAGTCGCACAATTGCTAAAGCTCATGTGAAATCGAGGCAGCCGTTGTACGTCACGTTTTATCGGCCGAGCAAAACAAAACAATGAAAGGAACCGTCGTATTTCGGCCGCAAAGAGCCGGAAGCACAGTTATCGAAAATGCAGTGGCATCGTCGCATACAAAAGAAAAGAAAAGAAAAAGGAGAGAATTGTCACACAACTGCGGCTGGTGGCTCTCTATTTATACAGCGTGAATGCAACTGTGCTCCGACGGTGGCGTTTGTGCACGTGTTGCGTAACAGACCGACTCTTGCGTGCATATAGGTCACAGGTCTGCGACTGCGAGCAGCAGCACTCTTATCGTTTATTATTATTCCATCAGTGCGTGTGTCTGTTTTTTTCTTTTCTTTTTTTTTTCTTTTTTTTTCTTTTTTTCTCTTTTTTTTTTTTTTTAATAGCGTCTCGCCCGCGCCTGCGCTTAAGTCTCGCCGAGGTATATAGCGGCGCGAAGAGTAACGTCGTATTTTTAGATGCCACAAGAAGAGCCTAGAATCAGGCTGATGAGATAACCTGGTCGATTTGTTCTTGATTATTATGTATCCGAAGGTTGGTGTTTGCGCGTTGCGCCGAGCCCTTGCGTCTAAAATTGCTCGCTTTTATTTTTACCACGTGCGATTGCCTTTAAGCAAACGCGTCCTCATTGCTAAGGACGCGCAGCTTGCTGTATCAACGCTGCATGTGCCCGCTCACTTGACTAATTGGAACCCGTCGATAATTGATCGGTATTAAAAATCGGCTGCACAGCATTCACGAGTCAGGCATCCATTTCTAATTACCATAATTTTTCATCTGCATGCGCACGAAAAAAATGGACTGATTTTAATAGGGGATGATGATATACTCACAGCTGGTCGTGATTGAGGCAGAGAGCTGCACTTAAAAAACCAAGGAGAAGCAACAGAAGGATAGCCGGCACAAGAAGACTGGTGAACAATTCCCTATGGTAGGCACGTTTGGGCAGTGCGGACTTGATCGGCTGAGCCCAACGCCACTCCGCTGATGGACCGATGATGTTGCTTGCACTCATGTCACGTCTCGCGCTCTCTTGCTGCAGACCACTGTTATCTTCAATCTGTCGAATGCTCAGCAACATATATTTAAAGAGTAATCAGGATGGACATTATTTTCTTTATCGGATATTCGATTTCCAACTGGCATGCAGTGTTCAAATAATCAAATCAGGCTCTCGCATTTATAACGTATTTATGATTTATAACCATTCACCTACCAGTCTAAAGTAGCACCAGTCGAACTCGAGATTTCGGAAAAAGCGATCAAACGATACCTTCTTGAAGTCGCAAGAGCTGAATTTTTTCATCGTCGGTTCCAATTCCTTCTCGAGAATCTGTAAGTCGTTCGAGAAGGGCATTGAACTGCCCAATCGTAATACCGTCCTGCAACATTATGCACAATTTTATTGTCAAATCCATTGGAATTATTTGACGGGCACCAGCTTCGGATTACTAATCAGATAAATAAATTTGTAAAAGTTTCCGTTCGTGCAAGTATCCGGCGGTGATGAGCACAAAGCAATTTGTTTTTTCAGAAGGCTTTCTTCGGATAAATCGGCACATTCCACTTTTCAAGATTAAATTGAAATGCATATCCAAATCCATATAATCAAGAAGCTTTCCTTTTTCAACATTGCAGCGACGATAAAATGAAGATCGTCAAGTTTCAAATTCCTGAAACGAGTCTCCAAAGCGCATTAAGAGTTGCCGTCTCGACGTTTCAATCGTCCTTGAGCAATCGTGTAAATAGAAACCTATCCTTTAAATTACGGTTTCGCTTTAATCAGCTCGCAAACGCAATGCATCGATGATTACGTATGTGCACACCGCATCGGAAATGAAAGTTTTACGTGAATTTGATAATCCCGCAACGGGAAAAAAATAAAGATGAGTTACGCACGCTTGAAAATGTAAATCGGCGCATTAATAACACCGAGGCAACAGATAAAAAGACCGCGAGCGCATCTTGCGTCGTTTGTCTCCGGGGATAAGAGTCCCAGATTGTCGTTTAATCGATTCCCCAAGCGCCCGAAGAAGAGCAAAAAAAATACAAGTCTACAAAGTGATTTAAAATGACGTCGCGAGAATCCGATGCCTGACGGTCGGCTTTTCTCTCTGTCTGTCTCTCTCTCTCTCTCGGTGGCTTCATTCCGCCTGTTTGGCGGCCGTATCGCCGTCGCGCCGTGTGTATCTCTCGTGCGTCATAGGCTCTGCGCTGCTGGCAAGCCCAAGGATGAAGAAACAAGAGCGCGTGTCCGTGTGTTTGGCGGTGCATCGCACTCTTTTTCTTTTTTGTTTCTGTCCACCTACGCGCGGTCCACGTTATTTCCCACGACTCGCCGCGACCTCATCTGTTATGTGCCAACGCGTTCCCTTTCAGCGCGGCGATTATTGCACGCGATCGCCGCGGCGAGCGGTCGCGCGCGCGTCATCGCCGGCGGCGCTTCGTGAATGAACTTTTAGTCCGAACCCGCTAATGAGCCTCGCTTAATGCGTGGTCGTTACGAACGAGCCGAACAAGAGGCCGATAACGTCCGACGAACGAGCGACGGGTGACACCAAGCTCGCGTGTCGTCCCGACGGTAGCCCGCAGCAATTGGGAGGCCGAAAGGAACGTTGGATTTTGAAAAAGCTGCGCCGATGGCCCGGTACGCCGTTGCCGCCGGAGCCAGGCGCGTCAAGCATAAATTAAGCTGTATTTACATTTAGCCGTGGCAGCTGCGAAGAAAAAATCAGAGAAGAAATAAAAGAAGAAACGACGCCTCCGGGGGGCCGCGAGCGTTTCGTATCTGCTCTATCGCTTTCGTCGTAACTCGCGCGCGACGTACGACGCACTGCTACGTGCGCCGCTCATACGCACACGCGGAAGTCCCGAGCGCCGAGGTGGAGAGATTTACAGACGAGACGCCGTACAACGGCCGCCCGCATCTCAGATGCTTTCCGCTCGGCTTCACTCCGATCTCGAGCGCGCTCAGTGCCGACGTTCGGTGCCCTGCGTACCGCTAACGTTAATTTACTATTCTCGTCGATTGTCATAAGCTGCAGACAGATTATGTCAGCGATGAAATGTTGTTCGTTTAAGCAGCCGAAATCTCAATGGGCATTCTCGCAACAAAATCGCAAAGCAAATGCACAGGCTATTAAAGACGTCAGATGTTGCGGTAGTTAAAAAAACAGCTTCTAAAAATAGCGGCAGTCACTCTGAGATTTGTGAATGTATTATTGACAAAGACGAACGAGCGATTTTCGAGCGAAGAAACGGTATGGCTGACGTACTCGATCGAGTCCGCCCTACACGCAGGTGAGAAAGATCGAGTCTAAAAGGCTCGCGAAGTGCAGTTGCGAATGGATCGATCAAGCTCCCTGGACGTCGTTTTCAGCAAGAGCGAAAGAAATTGCCGGGAAGGCAGCGACAAGCATCTCGGAAAAAGGCGAGAGTGGCGGAAAGAAGATAAAAGAAGAGCTCGGACGGTAGATAAAAGAAACCGGAGAAATCAAGAAGCCTCCTCGCGCGCGCAACGTCCAAAAGCGACGCGTGACGAGTTACAAGCGAGCGAGCGAGAGAGAGAGAGAGAGAGAGAGCGAAGTTAGCGTACGAGGTTTGTAGGTGCGAGTGGGGCTTAGACGGCGTGCGGCGTGCGCGCGCGTACGAGTTATTCAGTTGGCAGTTGGCCGCGCTCTCGCGATGGTGTACGCGTCGAACGCGCCTCGTCGTTCAAGCCCCAACTGTACGCAGCGAGCCACTTGTTGCGCCACCACCGCCGCCGTCGTCGTCGTTGCCACCAGTGCGTGAGAAAAGAGCAGCCGAGCGATGCGGACGCGACTTGGCTCGCGCGAGGCAGCCTCCGAAAAGTGATCCCCAAATAACTCGCTCTGCCCGTGGTCGCACGCCCCGAACGAAGGAGACGCTTGGCTGGACGCACGCGAGATGAGTTTTCGCGCGGCGCTGCTTGTGGACGAGGACTGTTCAGTGGCGGCCAGCGTGCGCGTGTGGCGACGAGCGCACGCACTCGTTCCTCCCTTTCAATGAAGGTTTGTTCCTGCCGGTCTTGCCGCTGCGCAGCTCGCGCAGCCGTCGCACACCGACTGAAGCGCCGATCGGGTCGAGCTTGCGCGCAACGCTATCGGCGCGGCCGAAAATAACGATTGCCGAAAGCCCACGGGGGAAGAGGGAGTGCCGCGTGCACGCGGCTCGCGAGAGGCGCGTCAACGAGTTCTTTTCCGCTAGATCGGCCGGACGATTTAGCCAACGTCAGCGGCCGAGCTCCCGCTCGCCTTATCGATCGGTCGCGTCCGCGCAACGGACCGAGCGGACAGAGGCGGCTGATTCAGCGGAGAGCGAGCCTTTCATCCCTGACGGCGAGCGAGCGAAAGAAAAGGGAAATAGGAGCACGGAGAGTGCGTCACCGCGAGTGTCGGTGGAATTAGTCAACTGGCGACGAGGCAAAAAATGCAAGCGGTGCCTTATCGCCGGCCCATATAGACTTTCTGCCGATCTTGAACTTTCGCGCGTGTCTCGTGCGCGCGCGTGTCCTTCCCGCTTCTATTTTGGAATCTAGACGCGCGAGCTTTACTTTCAAAAATCAATCCACTTACCCGACTTTTTCGCCGGGCTTCAACGGGTAACGCGCGCCCAACTCTACCGCCGGAGCCAGAAACGTCAACTGCAGGTCCGTCGCGTTTTTCCAGATGTTTTTTCTGAAATCAAAGATGCACTTTATCCGTTCGACTCGCACTCATTGCCACAGTGCAATTGCAATTTTATTACGTAGCTTATGGCTTATCGTAGTCCCTGATGCGTTGTGCCCTGATGAAATTACGAATGTGATATGCGCAATCGCGTTCGAGAAATATTTATCTATGAATATGATTTTAGCAATAAAGCATTTACGTTAGTCGCGAGAAATTACAATTTAAAAAACTTGGCAATCCAACTGATTTATTGTTCTCATTGAATTTTCCAGTTGTCAACTGCTTGTTCATTCCTCTGTTCCTCTGTTTTTCATCTGTTCAAAAATATGCGTACTTTTTCCTGAACGTTCGTATAACTGGTATTTCATTTTAGACCGTTGGGCGGTGCATTCAAATTGCGGAAATCAGACTGTATGAATATTCTTGCAAACTTATTTTTAACGAAACCCGTCAAGTGCATTCACGTCTGTTTTTCATAACAGCGAACCTTTCCAACTTGGTCAGTTCTTTCCAAAATCCATTATTCAAATTATGATTTCAAAACAAACTTTTTTAATAATGGCCGTGTACAGATTGAGGATGTGATCAAAGCATAGATAACTACGAACCTGAAAACATCAAAAAGCATTTCCGTGCCATTGTCAAACATGTCCTCGACATCCCAATTATTGACTTTTAATTGAATCTGGTATTTCGAGACATTTTCGTTCTCGGATACGACAACTTCAAGGACCGTGTCTCTTGTTTCGTAGGTCTTTTTGTTGAAAGCAATTATCTCAACCTAAAACAGTCAGCAAACAAACACAGAGAGTTCGTAGTTGGATTAGAGAATGAACGAGGTAACAGCATACCTTGAAAGTTTTCTGATCTCTGGGCGCAACTCCGTAAAGGTAGCCTCGATGAGTTCTTTTGCTGTAAGTGTAATGAATCCAAGATGGCAAATCCGGCGAGTCCAGCAGAGACGACTCGTATATGTACTCGTCTCGTCCATCTGCAAAGCAATTTATCGACGTGAAGAAACGCTGCGAGCAAGACGAAAGCACAGCAGTTTTACCGTTAAAAGTCCAATTGAAATAACGGGGTACGACTGGTATAGCGTTCACTTGCAAAGAGTAAATGTACACTGTATCAGTGGCGCTGGTTACGGCCACGAAGCTCAGTAGTAAGCCTAACGCTGCGCTCGCATACATGTTGTCGTGCGTTATCTTTGCGTTCGAAGCCTTTTTTCCTGCAAATCGCACGTTTGTTTCAATCGGCACGTCTTTCATTTCCATAAATCAAGTTGTGATTTTGTTGATTAACGTTGAATTACAAGGGCGTTGACAGTTCGCAATCAGAGCTGCGTAGCGATGTCGTCGGATCGGCAAACAAACGCTCGTAATCGTCGGCTGCGCGCGCGCGCCAGATAAAGATGTTAACGAGCATGATTTACCAATCAACAACAACATTAATTTACAATCCAAATTCGGATCTCAAGATGCGCTCGTCGCCTCGTTTTTCCTGCCCTCGCGCGGCCACGTACAAAAGCCAGCCAGCGGAAAAGTCTCCGCTCGGCGTCTCGCAGTCGAGTAAACAAAGCTCCGAAAGCGAGATAACAACTCGCGCGTCTCCCGTAAATTTGTGCAAGCGCCGCGTGAAGAGAAACAAAAAGCGAAGCAAAGAATAACCAGACAAGTATACGCGCGCGGCAACGAGGCCAAAGCTTTTTACCCGGTTCCTATACAAAAGCGTCGCTTTATCTGGCGCGCACAATTGAGCCGAGCGAGGCGCGCGCGCGCGCGCGAACGACGCGTCTTTGTCGAGCGCGAACGAGGGCATGAATTTTCGCGGTGTAAACCGACAGACGAGACGCGATTGACGCAATTCGCTACGCTCCCGCGGAAACGATACGCTCTGCTCGTCATATCTAACGTCGCGCCAGAGAGCAGACCTCGTGTCTGTCCGCGATATACATCGCACTTCTTCCATGCAACGAGCGCGCTCGCGTGCACCTTGGCATCGCCAATCCGACAGCGGCGCTCGCTTCGTCCGCGAGTTTAACGAGCGTGCATGCCAGTTGTCGTGATTGCGAGATCTTTTAAGGAAATCAAAAGCCGATCGAGCCATTCCACGTGATTTATTTCAGATCGAGAAGAATCTGCCGTTAAGTGACTTTTTTTTTAATACACTTATGCTGCGCGCGTAATGTTGCAGAATCAATTATTGAAATCGCACTGAACGTACGGAGAATGACTCGTGAAAACATTTAATTGCTTGGTGAAGAAAAAAAAAAGTGCAGTAACTTTGTGTTCCGTCATATTTTTTCTCGATGTAATTCACTTGATTACTTGGAGCTTTTCATCCTGACGTCATTTCAGATCTCTCTACGAACACTCTTTATCGATGTTTTATTTTATGATCTCTTAATTGCTTTTTTTTTATCTCTTGCGATTGTCCAAATTGTCTTATGGTATCGGATGAAAGAGACGTGTCACTACGCATTCGTCATTTTGCCATTCATTCTGTGTAAATATGCACAGAAATAAAGAATTTTTCAATTCTGATTGCGAATGGTATTTCACGAGGAAGAGTTCGTTGAACAACCTTTTTGATTTAAAAAAATGAATTAACAACAACATCCCATTGAAATGTACATTTGTGGTATTATTTATATTCGACAGTAAAAGTAAGTTGAACAGGTCCTAAACGTCGAGATGTCTGACAAATAACGAGAAAAAAGCAGTATCGCTCGCAAAGTCGGAAGATGAAAAGAAAGGAATTGTCGAAAAATGCTCTTCTGCTAAGGTGCTTTTCGTTTAATACGCGTATTTCAGCTGCTTCTTTGACTTGCTAATTGGCGAATTTCGCTACTCTTCGTCTCCGCGAAGAGACAAGTGCCGAATTAAGCATCTCTGAGCTTTCGTTTGTAAGAGAGAGAGAGAGAGAGAGAGAGAGAGAGAGAGAGAGAAGAGAGGAGATTTCTTCAGAAATAAAGGCGACACGCTTTTGCTGTTAGCTAAATTAGGCTGAGCGACTTAAAGCCTTGAAATTTAAGGGGCCATATAAGAATTGTCGACGTTTAAATTACACGAAATAAGTATGAAAGAATCAAATGAATTTCGCCGTTCGAAGAAACGGGACTCGTGTGATGCAGCTATTTACAGCGTAGCTCTATAAATCGGTCAATTTAAAGACTCGGATTACGCGTTTGATATGCGACTGAAACGAGTGTTTTACATGATAAATTATTTGCACAGTTATATAAAGTAAGGACGTCACATGCGAAGGAATAAGAAGAAAAATTATTGAATAAATTACGTCGTAAGAGTTACCCCCGGTTATAGTGTCGTCTTACTCATAAAACTTCATGCATATTGTTTCAATGTCCATGAAGGATCGGGGAGAAATTATACTTTATAATGAATTGGCATTTTGAATATCGCCATAATCAATCATCGCCTGAAATTGCTATCTTCTCGCGATTTGTTCGTTTAATATTTTTATGTAAAATTATATAATGACGTGTGAGTAAATTTTTATAATTATGCCCCAATAGTTCATATTAATATCATATATTTATTCTAATCTGAAATTCCGTTTAACAATCTCCAAAACCCCATTACAAATCCCATTAGCTTCTGTAAAATAAAATTAAAATAATCGGTTTATTAAATGAAACGCGACCCATAGGTTTTTTCTTCTGAAATAGTACCTAACCTAAATCAAATACTTTCATTCCATATCCTGTACGTGTCAAAGGTTGAAGTCTTCGATCATATATTCAGTAGGTCAAACGTAATCGCGCCAATTAGAGACGCAATCACACCGTAATAATCGAAACAGCAGCCTCGAACTAGGCGATTTTCACAAAATACAACGATAAATCATCGTCTGACTCACCGACTCAATGGCACAGCTTGCAAGCTCGCGAGTTTGCGCTTTCAGTTTTAATTGCGGCACACTGGAAAAGCAAACGAGGCGAGTATAAAAAAGTAGCACACAAAGTAAATAGTGTACGGAAGTCTACCTGTGAAAGATGAGAAAAGCGAAAATGGTCGTGAGCGTGAAAGCTCACCCATGGCGAGCGATCGACGAAAGACGACGACGAGGGGGCTGCGTGGCGCGCAGCCGCGACGCCGGCTTCGAACGTGTGTCGACGAGTGGAGAGAAAGAGCGGAGTGGCCGCGCAGCTGTGCGCCACACACAGCACACAGTCCCGACGGAGTCGTCGCTCCGCGCGCACGCGTGCACACACCATAGCAGCCGTCTATTCTATGCCTTTTGCCTCCCTCTCTCTCGTCTCTCGTCGCGAGCGAGCTGCCTGTGACATGACGATCCCGGGTGGAGGAGTCGCTCGCTAGAAGCCTCGATGCCCGCTGTTTTGACAACGTTGACAATAGAGCAGCAACGTGCTGCCAGTGTGCGTGCGCTTGCCAACCTCTGCGATGCCTAAAACCAGCTCCATGGATTCGCGAAGTGTGCGTTAGGTCGGCGTCGTGCTGTTGCGGAAACTCGAGTGAGTATACAAGCTCCGTCTCTCTTTTTCACTTCTCACAGCTTCTACCAAACCTCCTCACTTCTCTATTTCATGATTTTTTCTTTTTCCGGGCAATAATGCTTCCTCGAAATGAACAGTTTTGTTCGAGCTTTCTTTTCGTATCAAGCTTCGAGTATAGAGTAGATCTTTTATTCATAAGAACAGACTTTGAGAGAGGGAAGGAGAGGGAGAGAGAGAGACAGAGTGAGGAAAGAGCTCCGTGGAACTGTAGTGCACTGAGACGTTGAGTGCGTGGTAATTTTGATCTCACCCCTCCCCCCCCTCTCCACATATCATTCGATGAAACTTACATGGCGAGTAGGTTACGGAAACTGTTTTCAATCCAATTTATTTACCTGCAGCAAGCCAATAGGAATTGAAATTTCAATCACAACTGCAAAGCGCCGATTTAAATCTTACAAAACAACATGTTGCAAATATAGCAAAATTTGCGTTTCGTCACTGCATTTGAAATTTTAATTTATCTGTGCTTGTTTCAATTGAAAAATTGATTTTAAAACAGTTTCTAGTTCTACGTTATTTACAGCCTACACGTATGATGTAAGTTTTACCGAAAGGTGAGTGTATGTGTGTGTGTGGCGGAGGGGGAGGAGGTAAGATTTCAGCATTGTACAGGGATCGTGAACGTTCATTATTTAAAAAAATTAGTTATTCATGAACACTTATTACAATAGACACCAATTTTTCACCTTGGCCAACACACGAAACGAATAGCCGATCTCCCTCAGTCTGCAACCTGCATTTCATGCGTGTATCTGTATTCTGCAGGTTACAAGTAAGGAGACGACACCCGGCCCTGTAATTGACGCATTGACGAAAAAGATACCGCCATTTTCTATCTCATATAAACCCCATATAGAGCATCAAGATATAGAGATAAAGCAAAATTTTCTCAAATGCCAGATATCAGGTGAAATTTCTAGTCTAGAAAATAATTGCGAACATTGTCAAAACTAGTCGAATAACTTTTTCAAAAGTACCTCGATCTGACTAAACCTTTGCTCGAGTAATCTAGACCTTCGATTTGACTGGTCGAAACATCGAAAGCGCGCAATTGAGAATAGAAATGAATGACTAGGCGGAGACCAGATTTGCAATCTTATTGTATACTCGCATGCGGTTCACGAGCGTAACCCTTGATCTCACTCTCGTACACTTATGTCGATCCAAGTCTTCAGAAAATAGCGGAAAAACTTTCGTAAGAACTTTGGTCCATCCTGTTTGTTTGATTTTTCATTCACTACGTAAGACTTATTCAACAAATAATAAATAACAAAGTGAACGCAAAATGTTTTCTAATTCTGATTAATTAAACTTTACAACTTTCTAATTGACTATTTTACTTCGTTATTGCATAACTATTTGATAAAAAAAATCTTACGGAACCAAGTTTTGTATTGATTCTGTGAAGAGGACAAGTACAGTGTTATGCTAAGTACTTGCTATGAAATCGATAAAGTTCACATTCTCATCTGTAATATCCCCGGCTGTTCGTGTGTATTTGATAACATCGCGCTAGGTTCGATGTCTCTATCAGGCTTCTTCATGCGAAATGTTATAAAAACTCTATTTCATAATTATACCTTTATGATTGCCTTTACTTCGCTTAATTGGTACAATATCATAGAATAATGGCAATAAAAATAAATAAAACAGAATATAAAGCGCGAAACTTTTGCAAGGTATGCAGTGACTTTGTCAGTTCAATAATTGTTTCATTGTGCTAGGTATTTTTCAAGTGCACTATCTACTGATTATATCAGCAATGTGTTCGCTACTAAGCTGGAAATACTTTCATATTTACATATTTTGAAAATAAGTTAATCGCAATTATGAATGAAATTGTTCATGATTGATCTATTGTTTTTTTTATCTTTCCCTTACTGTCACTATTTGCGTTAATTTCTTTAACGGAAAATGATTTGGCTCCTTAATGAACTCTAAATGGAAGAAGAAACGTGATAAACTGTAAGAGTAAGATTGAATATACGAAAAGTAGGTTAATTGTAACAAAAAGCGTTCTCTGGCATGATATCCATTTTGATCAACGTGGTAATTAATTATTTTGGATACTCCATAGGAAGCAGGCTTATTCTGAAATTCAATCACTGCGTGCTAATTAATCATGAAATTGGCTGGAACGCACAGTAAAACGTGTTTTTTCTCGTCATTACTTTTTCGAATACTCTGTTATCGAATGGTACTAAGCGACGGCTATCGTTGAGCCGGCGGTCACTCGGATAGACCGACATTTTCCGGTGTGTCGAAGCGTTCGAGGAGAAGAAAAGAAAAAAAAACTGCAGAGATCGCGAAGACATCCGCGAAAAGCGAGCCCACAGCCAAAGGCTGGGCTTATCGCGCAGCGCCGAGGCTCAATCGATGCTCGACCTATATAGCGGCGGCCAGCGAGTGAGCGTCGCGGCGGACAAAGGGGGACAAAGGAGTAGAGGGCCGCGCGCGCGCACGAAGGGAAGGAGCCGCGCGAAAAGCCGCGAAACCGGAGTCCCATTAGAGCGGCCGAAGCCCGCTTTCCATCTAGAGAGCTCTCGCGGAGTTGCGCGCGCGCGACACGCGAGAAAAGTCCTTTTGCGATCGGCGCGCGAGCCAATGCCGCAGCGCACACCGCTGGAAATAAAATGTAAATGCTCAGCCAAGGACCTGCTCCGCGTATAAATAAATCGCGCGCAATGCCGCGCGCAATCAGTCCCGGCAAAAGCCTGTGCGCGCGCACCTTCGTTAATCTTATCGCAGTGTACACTTCCGAGAATCGGCGAGCGAATCGGCTTGCGTAATTGGCCGGCGGAGGAAACGCATGATTTTCGTCGTCATCGTTTCTTCTCTCGCGGGCGAGCGTCGCGATTTCGCCTCGGTTAGCGCGCCCGTTACCGGTCGAAGACGTCGAAGCCCGCCGAGCGCGGGCGCGCGCCGGCATACGTAGACGCGGCTAGCTCGCGGGTGCCGCGCTCGCGGGCGATCGATCGGCGGAGAGCGAGAACGATCGCGCGAGAGGAAGGCGAGGTGCCGCGTGGCGCCCGACGGTCCGGCCTACGGCACTGCCTATTGACGTGCGCGGTAGGCGTGGCTACTCGGCGGTATACGCTACCGTTGCCGCCGGCTCGGGACTCGGGATGCGGGGATATATTTACACGCGCGGCGTGTGTGTGCCGCAGGAGCCGCGCGCTATCGCTCGCCAGCCAGCGCAGCCAGCGCCGCCGAGTCCGCGCGTGTCGCCTATTACGTGCGCGATTAATAACTAATACGCCCGCGCGATTCCTGCCGGAACACGGCGATCTGCGGCGCGTGAGGTCGATGCGCGCCGATCGCGGTTCACTGCGACCGCTGATCGATCGTCGCCCGACGGCCTGCTAGGCTACCGAGACGGAGAGGGAGAGGGAGAGAGCTTACGTGTGGCCGATGCCGAATCGTTGCCGGGTGCGCGGAGAGCCTTTGGATGTAGCTTTTGGCTGTGAGTATGGGTATCGTACGTAATTTTTTTTTTCTTTTTTTCTCTCGAGTTTTCGAGTAATGAGATGCGCGAGCGTGAGTTTCAAGCGAAATCCTCGGCTTTTTTGTGTGCTTTAACAACAAGGTTGAGTAGCGCGTAAATGTTGGAGAAGAAAGAAAAGAAGCGCTTTGTCAAGAAAAAAAAAATACTTAACTTTAAGATTTGAATTTTCTCCCGAGGAAAACGTAAAATGCAAACCTAACGAGGAAACAAATTCGATTGAAGTAGAGAGAAAAAGGAAGGACGACGAGAAGATTAAATGTAGCGAGGGAGAGAGAGAAGGAGCAAGTCAAAAGATTTAATTAGTTTGCCAAGTCGCCGGCCGCGAGCAAACGTAAATCATTTGGCGTTATACATAGCGCAAACTGTCTGGCAGTTACTGCGTGCGTGCGTGCAGCCCATTCAAACGTTTAGAGCGTTATCCAGAGGCGGCCACTTCGGCCAGCCGTGTCTTCTTCGGGTCGTGCACGCGGAAACTCACTCGAAAGGGCTTTTTAGCCTTCTCTCGTGCGCTCCTCCGGTTTGACGATCTCGCTGTGTGCCTGGACCACTCACTCGCGCATTCCACGCAACGACGTTTACCTACAATTTGAACATTCGACAAACGAATGGGGTCGTTCTGTTGATTTTGATTTTGTGGATAAACCTCAAAATGGTTTGTACTGTCAGTGGGCTGAGCATACGATCTGTTTGTTTAGCAATCGACCGTGTAATGCGACATACAAACATTTCATACTCGATGTACCGTGAAAGTAGCTAATCGATCAAACGTCCTCCCCTTCTCCCCCACGAAATAAAGGTATTAACAATGGATCGTTGGAGCGAGCGCAAATTGACGGGTGACAGTGTGTAAAGCGTTTTCTCTAATCGCATTGGAACACTAACAGGTCCAAAATAAAAATGCCATAAGCAAAGACAACAGTTACGCGGCAAAGAGTCGGATGTGTGTCGCTCGGCTCGGAGAAGTCGAACGGATTGACGTGCATGTGCAGAGCGGCGCATCTCTCGAGCCAGTTTGCTGCCGCGCGCGATAGACGGATGTGTTTTTCATGCATTCATCCGGTAAGTGCGGCGAGCGAGGAGACAGAGAGAAGAAAGGAAGCTCGATGCTCCGACTGCGCCTGCTGGCTTCTTTGGCGCGACGTCCGCTGATCGTTTATTTATCGAGGCGACGCGAGCCCCCGAACCCTTTGGTTGGCGCAAGCGTCGACTGAAAAGAACGCAATGTAACGGACGAGTCGGGCTTTAGCGCAGAGCCGCGGGTCTCGTGTGAAACCGTCCGATAAAACTGTCGACGGCAATCCACGTTATCGAGTGAGATGTGATCTTTTGACTGAATTTCAGGCCGGTTACGTGTGTCTGCGTGAGCGGAAACACGGAAGAGGAGCGCCGTGAAGATGTCATCGGGCGGTGTCCCGTGTCTGCTTATCACCGCCAACGTCGGCAGCATCTTCGAGGAGGTGAGCACGCTACTCGTCGCTATTCCCCGCCAACGACTCGCGGGGCGTTATTATAATATAACGCTCGTCTGGCCATGTATGCTCGATCGATTGCACTCGGGACGATAATTAACGTGACATGTAATAACGGAGCGCGAGCCTCCTGCGCTCGACGGGCTGATTTGATTAAGCAAGCGAAATTGCCATCGCCGTCGTCAGCATCGGCACGATCGACCTAGCTGTCTCTCTATCTGTCAGACTTGAAAAATATAATTGCCATCCTACGGAGCGGCGATAACTATTGCGCCTCCAAACAATGACGCAAATGCAGTAATCGTACTTTAGAAAGGAGCAATTAAAAAAAAAGAAGCTTATCATATCTTTTTGTGTTCCAGCCGAGTGTTATGTTAAAGCTATGGATGGAAGAATTCTTATCGGTGAGTCGATATTGTAAGAATGACAGAGAAGAAAAAAAAGCCTAATGCTGTTTTCAATTGGTCGTTTCTCTCCTCGCAGACGGTGGCTCGGCTCGATCCCAAGTTCATTGCCCTACATTGCCAGGAAGTAGGAGGCAAAAATTACGCGGAAAGCATGAGGCACGTCGAAGATTTCGTTAGGTATGTTGCACAAGTGTACGTTCCCTCGACGCCGCGTACGAGCTGTGCAGTCCCGCTGAAATGGTTGCGCGAGTCGCGGAGAGACGCCGCGCCGGGGCAACTCGACGCGTCAGCGCGAATCGCGAATACATCTTCGTGGCGCTCGCCGAGAGCTTCGCACGCGCGTTCATTCGAGTCACGTTTCGCGCCGACTCGATGCGCGATTTAATTGTATTGGCCTCGCGCGAGCGCCTCGCGTGGCAAATTGCAAATTAAATAGGCGTTAAAAACGCGCGTGGACCTGCCTCTTGCGTCAGGCCCATTAAATTTATTCGGCTTTTATCTCCCGGCAGCAGAGTTGCAAGGAGATGTAAGCACCGATGTAAGCTCTTTGCGGAGTGCATTCATCCGTCGCGCAATCATAACTGTGCCTGCCGCCTAATTACAACGTGCAAAAGACAAAAATACATACCGTTCGTTACAATTAACAATGGAACATTTCAAGTGTTACGCGTGCTTCTGATGAATTATTATATCTTCTCCGCGTCATAGCAAGCAAAGCATCCACTCCACTCAAGGATAATTACTCGTTCATTTTACAATCTACAATTATACGTCGCGGGCTTGCTAATGGCAACCTTATAATTGATAATTGAAATTCAGAGCGCGGTTCTCGCGCCCCGCCGAGACAATGAGCTTTTGTCGACTGACAACTCTATATCGGAGTCATACGCTTCTCTTGCGCAGCCAAGTTTCAACGCCCAACACCGGTGATCCACTTCTACCGTCCTGCGCACTCCTCTAACTCTCGTGCCCGCTCGTTTAACGCGCGAGTTTTCACTTCGAAAGTCGTGCTTCGTTTTGCCAACTGCTAGCTCGTGTAACGCACACTCGGACAATTATCCTTTTACTCCAAGACACGTCGCTCAATCGGCACGAGGATCAGCGAAACTGTGCACACGCATAGGCCGAATTCGAATGAGATTGGCCCGAGGCTGAGTCGCCGTAAGCTCAACCGCGAGAATGGCCGACATCAAGGATACTTGAGCCAGGCGAAAAGCCGACGAGCGAGCGCGCGCATACCCTCGAGTCTGGCGTCGTGCCACGCCGCGCGCCCTTTAATAATCAAATTTCCGAGTCGCGTGCGCAAGCACGTCGGGCAAGACGACACCGCGTTATTTAGCCGCCGAGTCAAGGGTCTTGCCTTTTCCTTGAGCTATAATTGAATGAAAGCGTGAGCACACGCGCGCTCAAACAAAAGTGGCTCGCATATGCATGAGCGAGGGGGAGGGAGGGGGAGGGAGCGAGGATGTCCGAATTGATTTAAGTGCCGCTGCGGTTGCCGCGTCACTGTCACTCATGGCAAATTGCCGCGAATAGTTGTTTATTTCTTTTCTATCTGCGGAGAGAGCTTTTTATAACGGCAACTCGCCCGAGAGCTTTTCTTACCGCTGTCGGACACGAAAGCTCGGTCAAAGATTGACAAATGTTCCAACTTAGCTGCTTTTCGGTGCTCCGCGGGCTGTTACGTTAAAGCAATATTCGTACCTATTTTATGGGACACTCAAAAGCAAACTTTCGTATACGTACATTAGAAATTGCAAAGGTTTTGCGTAAGCGTAAGCCTCACATTCGTATCTGACAGATTATATTATATAAATCTTTCCAAGTTCGATCACATTGGACTTTTTCTCATTGAAGTTTGTGAAATGCTACCTGCGAATTTTTTATTAGAGTAAGATAACGTCAACCAAAACGCATGAATCTGTAGACCCTCTTTTAAAAGTTTGGTCAAGCCAAAATTTAATTCCGTACATGACCGAGTTTCCACTTTTAGGGACCGATAAATCGTTAATAATTCATCGATTGTGTTATCCGCTTGGATTCCGTATACAGTAACAAACTTTCGATTATGCAAAATGAATAAAAGACGTATGCTTTTAATCGGAGAGCCATCGGTGAAATCCGTGCAAAGATTTATGCGAATTTATCGCAACGAAGACAGATTCACGCGAGTGCATGCTGTTTTATTTCTAGGGCCGAAACAAGTGGAACGAATTAGAAACGGAGCTGAAGCTTGAATGAAATATTCGGTATTTCAAGGCTTCCATCGTTGATTGTTTGCTGCATACGGAAGAGCCGCATAACCGGCAAACAGTTCGATAATTTTTACAGCGTGACGAAGCTCTTTTTCTCCTTTATTCGGTGACAGTCGTCGAAAAGTCCGCTCTAGCGATCGAAAGTTACAAAAGTACTAGACAAATAGTCGGTCTAAAAGTGTCAACTAGTCGGTCCTCGAAAAGCCGTCAGACCGCGAAGAAACGAAACAAACCGATTGAAAAGTGCTCGACGCGTTAATTCATCGCAACGTGCTATATATATAGAACTACTAGTGCCTGCGCGCGCAAGAGAGAGAGAGAGAGAGGGAGAGCGCGCTTGAATAAAGTATACATACACACGACGGGAGAGAGACGCGATTATAAATAGATATATATAATAGCGCCGTTCGCGCGCGGCCCGCGAGTATGTACAGTCGAGCGAGCAACAGCAGCGACCACAAAGAATCCCCTCGAGCAAAAACTGGGCTGGCGCTGTTGAACATAATGCGATCGCGCCGCGTGCGACGAGACCGTCGTCTCCAGGAAGACAGGCTCGCCGGCAATCTTGGCTGCGATAGGCCCGGCGCAATCAATTGCACAGCGCTGCCTAAAGATACGACTTTATAGCGCCTTCGACTCTTTCTTTCTCAACGAGGTGCTTTCTAGGTCGACCGTGCTCTATCGATTATGAACCATTTGTTTACCAACATGCGCTTAGGAAAAGCAGCCGAAATGAAAGTGCCCGTAATTTTTTACCACGCCAGACCGACTAAAATTAGAGCTCTCGGTGGCAATATCATCCTATTCGGACGATGATTCAAATCTGTTCTAGAATTAATCTTCCACCGCGAAATAGTACGTAGCACCCGTGTGACCGTGAGATGATCGTTGTTGACCGTGCCGTGGAATAAACAGAACGGGGGAAAAAAACGCAACATTGATTTCAGGCTGTTAATGGAGTCCGAAGAGCTGCGACTTTTCGACAAAGTTCGAGTCTTCCTCGACGAAGATTTCTCATCCGCAGAACATTTCACGGTAATTGTTGTACTAACGTGGCATCGACATACGGTAAAATGATGGCGTTTTGTATGATCGACAGGCACTGGGAAACTTGTACTTCGCGCACGAGACGTTGACAGAGGTACTGTTGTGGGACTTCAAAGGTGGGTTGGGTCGGGTTGGTTGTCGAAACCGATGATCTCGGTGGTCGCGGCAACGACTAAGAAACGAACGCATTGCAGATGGTAACTTCGCGCCGGTGATCGGCCACGAGGTGTACTCGGGCAACATAGAAGCCGTGACGACCAAAGAGAAGGCCAAATTCCCGCAGGACTTCTTCCCCGAGTGCAAGTGGTCGAGAAAGGGATTCCTGAGAACACGCTGGAGCGTCAGCGGCACAGTATTTGATCTCATAAACATTCACTTATTCCACGATGCCAGCAATTTCATTGCCATGGAAACGGTGAGGCGCGATTCCCCTGCGATCGCGAATAGCTGCGTTATACTCAGCCGGATTTTCTCACCGTAACGGTAAAGGGCGCACGATCGACACACATTGCTGATTTTCGTTCTTTCTCGTTGCATTTCAGTTTCCGTCAGTATATAGTAAAACGCGCCGAAGAGCACTGGAGCACACGTTAGACAGGTTTCACAACGACCATTACCCGAACGCGCCCTACTTCCTTTTCGGGGACTTTAACTTCAGAACCGACACTGCTGGTGTCATCAAGGTAAGAGAGAGAGAGAGAGGGAGAGAGAGAGAGAGGGAGAGAAGGAGATACTTTATACAATGCGTGTACGTTAGAGCGTAGATTTTATGGCCGCGGTTTCACGTCAGTCGCATTTTTTTTCTTCGTTTTAAAGTTCTCGCGCGTTCTTAATTGCACGTTCCTCTAGTCACGTTTGTTAAGCGAGCGCTTCATGCGATAAGAAGTAGTATAAAAATAGCGATTTTTTTTCAGCGGAAGTTATTTTGTTATTTTATTGTCGCGACAATTAGCCAACGATGAATGGAAAGTACAGTTTACGAGCGCGTTCCACGATAAATTGCTATTTTCTAAATATATGCTACTTCGATAAGCAATCAGTCATTTGTTTGTTTATTCGAGAGAATTTGACGAGGGCAAGCGCAAAAGTTTCATCGCGATTGCAATAAAACGTTTGCGCGCTAGACATAAAATAGTGGTTAATGAACGACGTATAGTCGTAACGGTGCAGTGGTCTATTTTAGATAGCAATTCATAGTTGGAAGTTTTAATCGGCTACATTAATCCCTTTTGGCAACGTGACAAGTGCGCACGCCCCGGCGAGCGAGTCGAGTTGATAAAGTTAGTTTTCCCGCGGGCACGCCAATTTGGAATTATGCGCCGTGGACAACTGGCTAACGAAAAGTTATTGTACAGAAATTAACGGAGGACACGCGCGAGTCGAAGCAGTCGAACAAGGGAAGCCTGTCCAAGCTGCAGTTCCGCAACGACAGCGACGATCTGATTCTGAGCCTCGGCAAAAAGGAATTCTCGCATCACGAGCACCAGCAGGTCTTCGTTGAGAACAGCGGCCAGTGGGTAAGCCTGCCGTACTTTTGCGCACACTCACACACCTTTCTACTTTCGCCGCCAGTACGATACACATGCCTCGACGCAAATTGTCTCGCTTATCATTTATCCTTCCAAGAAGAAGTCTTTTTCTTCTTCAATTAGCTTCTCACTGCTCTGACTGCGACTTTCAGTTATTTAACTCGCCTATGCCCGTTAAGCCTCGTGATTCAGTTCGAAGCTACTTTTTCCATTGCATAAATGTCATCACGAGACTTTCAGTCCGTCGATCAAGTCGAATGCGATGAGACGTCAATTGATTGTCTATATTCGAACGCCTGGACATCGAAGCAACCCTTTTCAATAGCGCAAGTGTCGTTGATATTTCCGAATAGCCTTGGCATGTTTGCGAGCTTCATACAAGTTGCAAAGTACTATTATTTATTTACCGTGCAGCTTCGAGAATACGACAAAGAGTTGGGCGACTTCGAGGGCAGATTGTTCGAGTTCCCGATAAGTTTCGTGCCGAGCTATCCTTTCGAGGAGGATGTGAAAGAGGGATCGAACTACATGCACACTCGAGTGCCCGCTTGGTGTGATCGAGTGTTACTGAGTCCCAGCGCCAAGTCACTAGTCAAAGACGTGAGTATATATTAATTTTATTTCATCCTTCGCGCTTTATTATCTGTTTCCCGATGAGCAATCCTTATTATAATTAGTTCAAAAGGGTGCTCGGGGGGTATCGAAGCGACGCGTACAGTAAATAGCTCACGATTTTATCGATTATTCAATGAAGAATGCGCTGCGCAGTCTTAACTTTTGTAACAGTTTGAGACGTCATTCGACTGTTCGATCAATTTTGTCAAAGCATCAGTAGCAAGTAGCAGAACCTCGAAACGATTAACAAATCAATTCTTACTTCGATCGCACAGATATCATCGCCAGATACTGTCGAATACGGCATCATCGGACCACGTACCTGCATGGGTGATCACAAGGTATGTTTAAACCATTTCAAATGATCGGAATAGACATACTCACACTGTTAGACAATATTTAGTATTAGTGATTGGCGAAGTTCTGAAAACTTATAGTTGAGACCTCATCCGAACGCAATTCTCATTAGCTTTAGGCAAATTCCATACTTTTTTTACTTTAATCGGCAATAATAAATTGTTAATGCGTTACGCGTTTTACTTCTATTCAATTCCGATGGTTAAATCTTGTTGATTGTTTATGGGTGCAGCCAGTTTTTCTGCGCTTTTTAATGGATATCTAAAGCGGTATCAAGGTACCTATATACACATCTCTTTTCAAATAATAAACCTCTTTGACTTGTTATTGCCTCTAGTACATAATATGTCCTTAGTTTGTTTGTTGCAACCGTTTTTATGTTTTTTTCTTTTTTTTTTTTTTTTTTTGAGTAATTTGTTCACTTGCCAGAACTTTTTTTTGTGCCTATGATTGTTCTCCCCTTCCAGCTCGCCCTGAGTTATTTCGTCTCTTTGTCTCTCTTTCGCTGTCTTGCTCTCAGCGTACCTCGCCAAAAATGAACCAACCAATGTATTATGAGCCCTACGTCGATGTGCCTTCTTTCGTCTCTGTTCCTCCAGACTGATCTCTTCAAAGCTCCCCCGTCGACTTCCACTATCAAGCTTGTTACAGCTCGATTCTTTTGCATTCTCGCTTATTTGGGAAATCGCTCGCCTCCATTCTCCCGAGCCATTATCATGAAATTCTCAATTTCACTACTTTAGGACTGTAGAGCCTTGTAGAAAGCATCTACACTGCTCACCTATATGTTCGTTGTTTTTCTTACCAGAGATGCCTTTGAACTAAATGTTTTATACTTGTTTCCTAGATCTGTGTGTTCTTGACAGTTTTTGCTATGATTTACACAACCGTAGATTTAGTGGTACGTAGTGGTACTTTTATTGAAAATTTTTCTTGTAATATTTATCACGTTCCACATTATCAGTATCATCAAATGGGCTACCAATTCCCACAAAATTGTCGAAATCCTTGTACATATCTAAGCTGGTATAAAATGACTTGGTGATAAAATTAATCGCTGAAAAAGGCACGTAAATTCGTCAATCGACTGTAAACTTACCCAGGACAGTAAAGGTGTTGAAAGGTGAAACGCAACAAGCGACGCAGAATCTAATTTTCAAGTACGAACTACAGGCAACGCGAAGGCGAAGCGCGCGCGACGCGGCGATGCACGCGATCGTCGCAGACGAAAGACGCGGACAACGACGAGCATTCGGAACCGATCGGGTGTCGGTTCGTCGCGAGAGAAATCGATCGACCGGTGGTCGTCTTGCGAGTCGCGCACGAGCGCACCGCGTTGCGCGAACACACGCGACGCGAGCAGCGAGGGTGCAAAGCTCGTGGGCTACTCCTGTGCAATTGTTGTGTTCTTGCAGCCGGTGTACCTGAAAATCCAGCTGGCCTCGGACGCAGGTATGGTAAGCTGTTGCGGCTCGGGCGACGCCAGTCTGTGCTTCCGCGTGCCCGAGAGCTACGAGCTCGAGCGGCCCGACGCGCTAGCCGCCTTGTCGCTTGCCGCGCTGCCCACTAGCAAGCTCCTGCACGCGGCCCCCCTCGTGCACGACCCCTACACGCCGGACAGCATGGACAGTCCGAGCCCCAATGCCCATCCCGCCGCCAGCTTCCCGCCCAGTCTGCTCCGATCCCCCTCCGCCGCCAAGCCCGCGGACCGCGCCGTCTCGCCCCAGCTGCTCAAGTCCAGGCTCGAGCTGATCGCCGACGGGCGGCGGGCCGCGGCCGCCTGCAACTCCACCTCCAACTCGGACACCGAGGAGGACTGGGCGCCGCGCAAGAGCCGCAGCAACAGCGACGTGTCCTGGCAGCGCTCGCACCTGCTCACCGAGGCCTGGCTCGAGGGCAACGGCCGCCAGGCCTACCACTCGTTCTCCAGCGAGCTGCACGCGGGCGGCGCGCGCCGCGGCCCCGCGCACATCGTCATCCCGCGGATCGCCATCATCCACGCCAGCAACTTCGAGTCGGACGCCAGCTCGGTGCACCTGCGCGAGGGCGCCCCGCCCCGGCGGCCCTCCAGCCGCCACTCCGACCAGCAGCTCGAACTGCTCGCGGCCTACAGCAACGCCAGGACCAGGAGCCTCAGCGAGGCCGACTCCAGCCAGGCCATGTCGGCCCTGGCCCTGCCCGAGGACGAGCCGCCGGCCGCGCCGCCGCGGCGACCCCCCGAGGACGAGGCCAGGCCCGAGCCCAGGCACGCGCCGGCCTCCAACGCCACCAGGAGCAACTCCATACGCAGCCAGGAGGCCAACGTCAGCCTCAAGCTCAAGGCCTACAACAAGGTCACCGAGCGCTGCAAGCGCAACATCGCCCGCAAGAACAAGTGCTGCGACAGGTGCTGCGTCGTCTCCTGATGCCCCCGGCCCCCGGAGCGTGTGCTCCGTCCAAGCTCGTTCGCTCGCGGCCCGCAAAACTTACCTCGTTCAACGGCCGATTAGCCACGACCAGCTGCGTCCCTCGAACTCGTCCGTTCGATTCGAGACAGACTGTCGGATATTTTTAATCTAATTTATAAATGGAATAGCTGTACGTTATAGCTTCGAATTCCACGCGCAACGATTATCTGTGTTAATTCGACCGAGCTGCCAAAGTTGATTGTTCGAACGGGAGGATACATTCTTCAATTTCAACATTTTTACGTAGAAACGCGTGCGCAACGGTTGGTTAAACGTGGCCTCTTCGCAGGCCAGATCTAAGTCAAATTTTCATTTTTAAAGTGTGATTCGTCCGTTTCAAACGCCAATTAAATGCAAGCTTCTGCTTGGGCAGCGTCGATCTTTAAGAGCCGTTATGAATTTAATGTGTCAATCTACCTCTAACCTATCGCAACGATTCTTGCTGCATACGTTATTTTGCGCTTTCATAAATTCTAAAGTAGCTTTGTTTTTATCGCGTAGGTTCAATCTGAGATGACGGATTTTAAGTAATGTAAGAGAGTGACAGAAAGATTTTTTATTGCCAGTATATGTGTTACGGAAGATTTTTGTCACATCTTACTGCTTTGTATCGACGAGTGAGTGATACTCCGACGAGAAAATCCGAGTAAAATCAATTTAGTTCGTAAATTTAAAAAGTCGACAAGACGATTAAGATTATTCGTGTATTATCGCCGTAAAACGTGTACAGTTGTATCTGACTGACATAAGGTCGTATGTTTTTCGTTTTACACTATGACTAAATAATTTTGCAAAATAAATTATTACATTTACGACGTCGAAAAATGATTAAAAAGAGAAATTGAACATCGTCAAGGTTAATGTTCCGAATACTTAGATTAGTTTTTGCACAGAGTATTTATGATAAGACATATCTTTTTGTAATGATGAACTTTACAGTGGAATCGACGCTTCAATTAACGAAATGTATATTAATTTGGAAGCGTGTGAGTAAGAATGCTACAACTATTCGACACTCTCTTCTTTCAAATTGTATTATAGAATCAAATTTGTCTAACTACTACCAAGTTCATCAGTCGAATTAAGCTAAACTTATAGCATAATTGTCATAAAATTTTATTCCATATTTAGCATTGCGACGAAATCGAAGAGCTTCGATTGAACTTACAAAACAAATTGTAAATACGTTTCGAGCGAGCTATATGACATCTCGAAACGCGACACCGGTCTTCCAACCAAACTTCCTACACGTTCCCGTAGCCGTCGAGCAATGGCATTGCAAGTGTAATAATCAATTGAGCGCTGTAAATGTGCAATTCATCCACTTAATTGCATGCGAAGCAGCGTAACAAGCATCATGTATATACATACATATAGATTGTTCACTGTCTGGATTTATAATACGTATTGCGATCCTTAGCTGTTTTCAAATATATTCGCATATTTTTTTATAAAAAACCTCTTGATTTAATTTTATTTCTTACGTTATCTTTCTTCGCCTCCTTTACTTGCACTCTGTTCACTCGATTAATACGTTTTTATATTTTTCTTGCTGCGTTTGGTATAACAATTCGCTCCTTTCTTTAATTTTGGCACGTGCAGAATTTGCTTTTTATTAAATTTCATTGATTTTTGATCAACTAACGTTCGACTTTCTTTTGAATTTCTTGTTTGTTTGATTTTTCTTTGTTTGTACTCGTCCACTTTTCTGTCACCAGTGTGTTTGTTCGAGTGATGTTTTTACAGTAATTTATTTTAAATCACGTAATGAGTAATGCAAGTATTTTATAGTAGAACTTTGTTATTTAAATGTGTACTTTTGATGTTCCGCTTCAGTAGATTTCGGTATGCTTTTTATATTGTACATACATAAAATTATTCATAAGTTCACCCGTCCAAATTTCGCGATTGAAGTAGATTAAAGTAAAACAATGGACACATTTCGAAGTTCATATCGAAACACCGACAAATAAAATTATAAAACAAATCACTTTAATCTGCTTTAAAAAAAACAACTTTTTTTAAATCAAGAAAGAACTCTCATTTAGTAACTTTTTCAAAGTTTGTTTCATCAATGAAATTCAGCACTTTTCCTTGTAAAATTGAAAGTCTTCTTGAAAGTTATAAATGTTGAAAGACGACAGCGACATACAAAAAAAGAATCTCATTCGTTATTGTTGAAAAAACCATCGTAGATCCGTGGGAAAAAGCGGAACCAGCAGAGATGAAAAGGATCCAGGGAATGGCAGAGCTATCGGACTCGCACGGGATAGTATCGCTGGAATCGAGAAATTCGACGGGCACGCAGGCAAGTGAGAACGGCAGCATCAGCCGCTACATCCACATCAAGCACGCCGACTCCACGGTGAAAATCTTCCGCGAGACGACCGTCTGAGCAGCTGGTTATTCTCCGAGTCTCGATTGCGGCTGATTACGTTCGTTTGCGGAACAGCAGGATAAACACTAATGAAAATCTCATTATTTGCAGACATTCCAGCGAAGACACGTATTTGTATATGCGGCTGTCTTTGATCATTTAAATTTTCGCCCCTCCCGGTTCATTAGTGTTTCGCCGACTTGTGATTGGATGTTTCAGTGAATATCAATATCAAGTGGAGATAGCTCAAGTAGATTTTAGAAGTCTTTGTGGATATCATAGCTGAGAGGCATGTTACTTACGTATTAGCAGTTTATTAGGATCTGCTATATTCTGTGAAGTTACTTCCAACCAAAGAATGCGAATATAGGTATTTTATTAATCACTAAACTTCAATATCTTCAAATTCTATTCATGTGATTTCTTAATTTAACTTTTTCTTATGAACACATGATCTATTTCTCTTATGTAAATAAGTTACAACGGCGAATAACGTCTCGAATTAATAAGACCTGCGATCGTCATTGCGTTTATTAATGTTCACTCTGAGAACCACTGTTATGTTTGAAAAGACAAGTTATTTATCGTATCTAAATTGTATGTACGTATATTTATTGTATCGTAATCAAGAGGATGAACAACTGTATTTCGATGTATATTTATTGTCTAGCTTGAAACATATCTAAGAAATACTGTTAAAATTAAAAAAAATTATTTAGATGAACTTGCATTTTAACAGTTTATAATGTAACTTCAATACTCGTTTCAAAATCTAAAAATCTTTTACATTAAGCTGAAGCATAAGTAAATTTGGCAGAATTGTTTAAGTACAACTTACACGTCAATTTTGTTTTATATTCCTACGAGCTTTTGGCGAATCAGGAATAAATGAAAATTATCACCATCGACATCCGGTTTTAAAGTACAAAAAGTTGTTGTTATTTCGAAAGATTTATACAATGTCCATGAAAAATTTTTACGGAACTGAACCAAAAAAGAATACGTTCATAAATGTCCATTTCTCTAATAATATTAATTAACAATCTATTTTTATAAGTTTTTTTCAAATGAAAAAATAACATTTTTTATCTAAATGAACATTTTTTCAAATAAATTACTACAAATCAACCTACTACCGAAAATATAAAATGATGTATTATTTTTAATAATCCTACATAATTAATTAAAAGTATTTGTTAATTTGTCGAAGACATTAGTTATTTCGCATAGACACGGCTAAGACTTTATTTCGATGTATGGTCTCGACATATTACATAGTAATATCCGTAATGAAAAATAAAGATATATAGAAGATAATTCATTATATGTATACATTTGATAAGTTTAAGCAGACGACTTCCAACAGATAAAAATCAAACAATTAATTGCCAAATGAACCGAAATTGTATACGCTAATCGTGTTTTTCAATAATACATTTGTTAATGACAAAGCAAGGAGTAATACTTTTAAAACGTGTTACTGCAATATGATGTTCAAGATACAAGTCAATTTTTGAGCAGACAGTTTCGTTACGTAGTTATTACAAACTGCCAATGATGAGGAATAATATTTTAACAACTGCTGATGAGGTGTGCATTAATTTTGAAAAAAATTCTTCATACTTGTCTTATACTTTGATAAAATGTTTATCTTTTCAGAACCGTCTATCCGTATACCGATGAATAACGTCGCAAAGAAACATAAATATTTATACTTCGGCATAGCAAAGAGTACTCTTGTTGATTTCCATAGATTGTTGTAAATTGTAATGAAATTGGATGCAGATGATAAGCATTCTATCGACGTAGTCGAATTTCAAGATAAAGATATAATTTTGATTTATATGTTGTACAATTTTAAACGATGTGTAATATCCATCAGCGATAAAAACAAATGAAATCTTTGCTACCCAGCGTTACGAAACTAAACGCATTAAATGCTTATAAGGCATACGGTAATGTGATTACATATTTTTATTTTTATTGAAAAAATTTTTTTTCGCTAACTTACCGAAGAGTTTAAAAAGAAATAATGTCGAGCGTGTTTGGTCTGGAACATGTTATAATCATATTCGTTTTTATTCCACTTAGAGTATTAAGTGAGCCATTCCGTGAACAATTTAAAACATAAATTTACCTCTTACTTTTAATAATCATCGAAAAGACTTATTGGTTTGTCGCAGAATATTGGATTTGGAGCGTATAATTTTGTATTGATACTCAAAAATGTTAGATATTTCGTAGTTTAATATAAAGCGTCTCTGTATATGCAAAATATCTAACACGATCACTTAGTTCAAAAATTCATGCGATTCTGCATTAAAACAATTTCAATAAGCATGACACTGATAGGAATAATTTGTTGTCAAGGTAGAAAACAAAAGTGATGTCGACTACGCTTGTGATGATAAGATAAACTTGTATGGGTCATAATCAGACATCTTCTTCGATGTTTTCTTCCAATAAATAGTCGAGCTGTTCCATAAACCAGAATGGAATCATGCAAAATGTTATACCGTCGACATTGATGTTAATATACACGCACTTTTATATGCGTTTTGATGCATAGGATGTTTTCAAACTTGACATATTTTGTACTTCGGCGATCTTTGCAGTTGAACTCTGAGTTGTAGACAAATTTGGTTAATCAGATGAAAATCTTTCTATTTCCGATGGCGAAAAGAACAAAAACGATATGTGATATATGTATTGAATATATGTAATAGCCGATAAATACTAAATAAATTCATTGTTCCCCTGTAGAGATGTAATATTATTATTTCCCATAAATCGTAATATTTATTAAAATCTACGCGCTATCTCATTTCAATTCAATCTTACAACCAAAAATAGATTAAAATATAATCAAGTATAAGTGTGATATACATGACGTAAAATTAAATACTCATACTTTTTGGTGTTTTTAATGAAAAATCGATTTTATTTTTTTAAAACATCTTCTCTAGGTCATAATGTTTTACTTTAATCTTTGTAATTAATAGAACATAATTTTTTTGAAAATTGGTCATTGTTCGGAAACATAAGTTGGTAGAACTAGAATGGCTTTGTGAACGCACATTTCAGTAAATTGCGCGGGAAATATGTACGGACATTTAAACAAGGCGCTATAAAAAGCGGCATCAAATACTAACATTAACGTGACCTTGGTTGCGTTTTATTATTTCTAAAGTTTTTCTGAAAATGAGTAAAAGACCTTTTTCGTCTTCATCAGTGGTTAAGAAGACTAAATTATCGTAAGCCTATTAATAATTTCATTGTATTGAACAGAATTAATGATATACTTGACTTCTCATAACCTTTAAACTTTTTATTCTATTTTTACTAATTTTTGCAATTTACGAATTATTTTTTATTTTTAACGTAATAGAAACGATGATGACGAACCATCAAAATTCGAGGCAGATCTTGCTGGAATGGATGAATTTGCAGATGAGTTTACAAACGATGCAGAAGTGTTTGGAGAGGTATGTGTCTTTGAAAAAATTGACATGTTTGTTAATTCTCAAAAATATATATTTATTTTCGTAGGGTCCTGAGCAAGAAAATACAATTGCAAAATGGAGTAGACCTAATGTACCACCAATAAATCCCTCAAGCAATTCTCTTATTTTTCAGCAGATTGATGTAGACCATTATATAGGTAAAAAAGCAGTTTATATATTTATACATTGATTCTTTTTTGTTGACAGCAACAATAATCTTTGTACGTAGATAAACCATTACCAGGTATGCCAGGAAGTAGAATAGGTCCAGTTCCAGTTATGAGATTGTATGGTGTAACAGAACAAGGAAATTCAGTGTGTTGCCATGTTCATGGGTACACCCCTTACTTTTATGTTTCTGCACCATCAAACTTTTCAAATTCTCATTGTGAACCATTCAAGGTAAAATTTGAATACATATATATGCACATGCATATCTAAGAATATTCACAATCATTTACTTCTTTATTTTCAATGTTAGGAGGCTTTGAACAATGCAGTCAAAAATGACATCAAATCGAATCCTGACAATGTTCAAGATTTTATCTTGGCAGTAGAAATTGTTGAACGTCAAACAATATTTGGTTTTACTGGAGAAAAGAAACATCTATTTTTAAAAATAACTGTAGCTCTTCAAAAATTCATTGCACCAAGTAAACGACTTTTAGAGACTAATGTTGTCTATGCAGCAATTGACTATAAATATGTAGCTTATGAAAGTAACATTGACTTTGACATTAGGTTGGTTAAAACCTAAATTAATAGTCAAAATTGTTTGTTAATTGTTTGAAACTTAATTTCAATTACCTTTTTCAGATTTATGGCTGATACTCACATGGTCGGATGTTCTTGGATAGAATTGAAACCAGGCCAATATAAAGTAAGAGGCGTGCATGGTCATAAACTAGATCCAACTACAAGGTGTCAAATAGAAGCTGATGTTGCTTGGGATAAACTGATTGCTCATGCTCCTGAAGGAGAATGGTCTAAAGTCGCACCATTTAGAATCCTTAGTTTTGATATTGAATGTGCAGGAAGAAAGGGTAAAATATTGTTTTACTGTGAAAAACTTGTTTGTCATTAGAAATTACTATCTATAATTTTGTATACTAACGTTGATTTTTCTATAGGTATTTTCCCTGAACCTAATCACGATCCAGTTATTCAAATTGCTAATATGGTGATCTTGCAAGGTGAAAGTGAACCATTTTTGAGAAATATTTTTACACTAGGTAGTTGTGCTCCAATTGTAGGCAGCCATGTACTTAGTTTTGAAAGGGAAAGTGAATTACTAGCGGTATGTGATGTTACATAGAAATTATTTTAAAGCATTTAAATTTATATATAATACCTTTAATTTTTCTATTTAGAAATGGGCAGATTTTGTTAGACAGTTGGACCCTGATATATTTACTGGTTATAATATCAATAACTTTGACTTTCCATATCTTATTAATCGAGCACAGCATTTGAATGTTAGGGAATTCAGTTTTCTTGGTAGAATAAAAAATATTAAATCAGTAATAAAGGACCAAGTGTTGCAGAGTAAGCAGATGGGTAGAAGAGAGAACAAATATGTGAATTTTGAAGGAAGAGTGCCTTTTGATTTATTATTGGTAAATGAATTTAAATATATCAAATATTTGTAGTTTTTTATTTTATTAAAATTTTGTTATTGATAAAGGTTTTAGTTAGAGACTATAAATTAAGATCATATACTCTTAATGCTGTGAGTTATCATTTTCTCCAAGAACAAAAGGAAGATGTCCATCACAGTATAATTACGGATCTGCAAAATGGTGATGCTCAAACTAGAAGACGTTTGGCAGTATATTGCTTGAAAGATGCGTACTTACCTCTTAGATTATTAGATAAGCTCATGTGTATTATTATTTACATGGAAATGGCAAGGGTGACTGGTGTATGTCTTTCTAGTTTGTTGACAAGAGGTCAACAAATAAAAGTTGTATCACAGCTATTGAGGAAGGTGTAGTATTTTTTCTAATTATTAATAATAAACTTTATTATGAAATCATTTAAACTTGAAAATTTTCTTTTATTTAGACTATTGAAAAAGGATATTTGATACCAGTGCATCATGGCCAAGGATCAGATGAGCAATTTGAAGGTGCTACAGTTATTGAACCACTGAGAGGATATTATAATGATCCTATTGCCACATTAGATTTTAGCTCTCTGTATCCAAGTATAATTATGGCTCACAACATTTGTTATACGACTCTGTTGAGTCCAGGTGCACAAAATCAGTATAAACTACCTGAAGACGATGTTACCAAAACTCCAACCAACTCTATGTTCGTTAAAAGTACCGTCAGAAAAGGAATATTGCCCGAAATTTTGGAGAATCTGCTTTCTGCCAGAAAAGTCGCTAAAGCAGAATTAAAGAAAGAAACAGATCCTTTAAAACAGAAAGTACTTGATGGTCGACAGTATGCTTTAAAAGTTTCAGCCAATTCGGTATATGGTTTTACCGGTGCACAGCAAGGAAAATTACCGTGTTTGGAAATATCAGGCGTGAGCATACTAATAAGTTTTTAAATTGAACTTTATTTCAGCACGTTAGAATTGATTTTTCTTTCTTCTAGAGTGTTACAGCTTATGGTCGTACAATGATAGAGAAAACAAAGAAAGAAGTAGAAGAGCACTATCGTAAAGAAAACGGTTATGCTCATGACGCTGTCGTCATCTACGGTGATACCGATTCTGTTATGGTTAAGTTCGGAGTCAAAACTTTAGAAGAAGCTATGGAGCTCGGCAGAGAAGCTGCTGAGTACGTCACTTCAAAGTTTATTAAGCCCATTAAATTGGAATTCGAAAAGGTTTACTTCCCGTATCTTCTCATTAATAAAAAACGATACGCCGGCTTATATTTTACGAGACCTGACAAGTACGATAAAATGGACTGCAAGGGATTGGAAACAGTAAGAAGAGATAATTGTCCATTAGTCGCCAACATGATGAATACTTGTCTTCAAAAGCTGTTAATTGATCGGTAGATTAGATTCTGTTTATACATTATATATAATAAAAATTAACATATAATTTTAAACGATGAACTTTATTTTAGAAATCCCGATGATGCTGTTGATTATGCTAAGCAAATAATCAGTGATCTTTTGTGTAATCGCATCGATATTTCTCAATTAGTCATTACCAAAGAATTAACGAAAACAGAATATGCAGCCAAACAAGCGCATGTAGAATTGGCTGCTAAAATGAAAAAGCGAGATGCTGGAACTGCGCCAAAGTTAGGCGACCGTATTCCGTACGTTTTCATTAGTGGTCCAAAAGGTGTACCAGCTTATCAGAAAGCTGAGGATCCTATCTATGTTTTAGAAAATAACATTCCTATCGATACTAATTATTATCTAGAAAATCAGTTATCCAAACCACTTGTTCGTATTTTCGAGCCTATTCTCGGTGATAAAGCAGAATCTTTACTCCTTAAAGGAGAACATACAAGAACCAAATCAGTCGCTACTTCAAAGGTCGGTGCTTTGGTAGCATTTACTAGAAAAAAGGAAGCGTGTTTGGGCTGCAAAGCCGTGCTAATAGTCGGTCGTGAAGAAAAAGCTCTTTGTGAGTACTGTGAAGAGAAAGAAGCTGAAATCATTCAAAATGAAATACACAACTGTCGCAAATTGGAAGAAAAGTTTTGTCGATTATGGACTGAATGTCAACGATGTCAAGGAAGTCTCCATCAAGAAGTCATTTGCACAAGGTACTAATTTTTTCATCAATCAAAATCATACAATACTCCACGAGTTTGTTATTAATATTACAAAATGTTGCAGTCGAGATTGTCCAATATTCTACATGAGGAAAAAAGTTCAAATGGATTTGGATGTACAAGCAAAACGAATTGAAAAGTTTGGACTTCCAGAGTGGTGATGGGAAGATCCAAAAGTAAATTATTTTTATACGTATTTTCAAAAGCGAATATTTAATTGTTTTTAGTAGTAAAATTACAAATTGTCATAAATTAGTCTTTTATAATATGCTATCATTGATAGTATCATTATATGCTACGGATGTATAAACGCTGTGTCTATATATTCGTTGATATGTTTAAATGTATGTATCATACTTATCGTGGAACGATGAAGAGGTTTAATAAAATAAAATTGATTTTGAAAAATATTGAATACTTGTTTTGGTTAAAAAATATTAAACAATGGAGTATAACTTTGTACTTTCGTAGTACTTGTATTTTAAAACATAATGCAGCAAGTTGCTAATTGCGACTGCTTTGTAATATCAGGTTAACCAACCTTTGAAATAAAAGTAACAACTAGCAAATAACGACAATGTATAGAGGTTAGTTAACCGGCGTTGTACACAAGAGTGTGTACATAGCGAGTTGAGCGAGCATTTTGCACTTCATTGCTACGCTTCTGTAAATAAAATTTACTGTTTGAATTTCAGTTGCTTAATTCGGCTTTAAAAATGAGTAAAGCACATCCTCCAGAATTGAAAAAGTAAGATTTTATCGATATATATTTCTACGCCGAGAGTGTTTTAAAATTCTTAACTTTTAGGTTAACTTACACATAATTCATTATTTATTATTTCGTGTTACAGATTTATGGATAAGAAGTTATCACGTGAGTATCACAAAATAAGTCTACTTCTATTTTTGTTTTTAATAATAATAATTTTTCAATAAATATTTGTTTAGTTAAACTGAATGGTGGAAGACACGTTATTGGAATTCTTCGAGGCTTTGATCCATTCATGAACATGGTAATCGATGAAAGTATTGAAGAATGTAAAGATGGTACTAAGAATAACATTGGCATGGTGGTAAGAATCTACAAGTTTAAAAGAAATTAAATTTATTATAATTCTCTGCCTAATTCTGATTTCATATTTATGCATTTTTCAGGTAATCAGAGGAAACAGTGTCATTATGTTAGAAGCACTAGATCGAATATGATTACTAATGAATGTAGAATATTGGTTAACTTTAAGACATGATCTGTTTTTGAATTACTTTTTGAATAATTCGAAGAATAGATACTTCCATCAATACTTTTTGTATTAAGTAATAAATGCTACTTTAAGAAAAATGATCATATTTTATTATGAAATATCAATTACATCCATTAATTTGAAAAATTCCATCGATATACAGTTCATGTTATGTATGAAGTGATATATTATGATAGTTATCATTGAATTCATTTATAAAATTGACTTGAAAAATCACTAAATACATAAATATAGGTATTTGCCTAATGTGTTATCACGTTTTCAATTTATTGATATAAATTAATGATCACAAAGTTGTCATATTGATTGTGCGAATTTGTTATTTAAATAATATTTGCTAAATAATTAAAAAATCAATGTAAACGTTTCTGAGAGGAATCTCAGTAACGTTAATCACAAGGCACTCCATTTTTAATAGGATGTCTGATTAAAGGAATAACTGTTCAAGTTAAAAACGGAATAATTTAATTTACTATCCGAAGTAATACAACTAAGTGATATTATTCAATAACTTTCTTATTTGTATGTTAATTACAAAGACATAATTGAATTAGTTACTATCTCTTTAGCATATCACATTTATCTTGAAAGTGACAAAAGCTATAAAAATGTATATTATTTCATTACTCTGTATGCAAAGGAAAGTTGTTATGTAGTAGAAAAAATCTTCGTCATTGTTGATCTTCATAGTTGATCATTCTGTATATGTTCTATATAAATTAATAAGTATAAAACGATTTTTCCGCTTTTAACTCAAATATTTGTTTGAAAGTATAAAAGCATATTATAAAATAACTAAGAGTTTAAACATTATCGGCAAATGTCAACCCTATCACAGCAAATACGTCGTTCTTATATATCTTGCAAATTCGTTTGACGTTTAATAAAAGTGAAGATTAATAATCAATAAAATATCAACAGCTATGTTTGCACACTTTTTCTCACTTTTCAGTTAGTTATTCCATAGAAACTCTGCTATCAAGTGCACTACAAAAAAAAGTTAACTCGATTCTATAAAATAAATTAAAAATTTCATAATATAACTTATTGCTATGCTAAGTAGTTGTGATCTTGAATGATGTTTGTCATTGCCCTTGACGCATCAAATGGTTCAGATTCATTAGAATTTAACTTTGTTTTCATTGAGTTTAACAATATAACTTGATTTTTATCATGAATTATAACATCATTATCATTTTTCTTTTCAACATTATTTTCAATTTCAATAATTTTCAAATTTTCTAAACAATCATTACACTCGCTTTTTAATCCATTGGCAATTTTATTCTCAACATTAATCTTCAAAATGTTGCCATCTTCTTGTTTATCATCTTTTTGTACAATTTTATCATCATTCAGCTTTAATTTTTTACAATTTTTTAATCCTAAGTTTTCATTTCGTTTTTGGTCAATACTGTTTTTAGAAGCAATAACATTCTCACTCTTCAAGATAGTTTTGTCAGCCTTTGTTGCACTTGATTTTTTTCTTTTAGGAGCTGGTGTCACTGAAAATCAATTGCAATATTAAAAAAAAATAATAATTAATTAAACCATTCAGTAGTACATGGCATGAAAAGCTTGTAATTAAGTTGTAAATAAAAAATAATATTATACCTAGTGTTTCTGAATATTGACTACAAGTTTTACTATGTTCCGTATATTCTGATTTTCTGTGGAATTTTTTGCTACAAACGGGGCAGAGAGTAAATTTCATGGGGTTATTGGACAAGTGTATCTGATACTGTTTTTCATTTTCGAAACGTCGATCACAAACGCTACACACAAATAATTCCTTGGAACTTCGTCTTCTAATAGATCTATTTCTCGCCAAACAATCTACTTCAATTTTAGCCTCGGTTTTAGCCACAGTTTTAGCCTCTACTTTAGCTTCACTGACGGGATCGGTCTTAATAACAACTTCCCTCTTTTCCTTCACTAAAGATGGAACAACTTCTTCAACTAGATCTAGTTCGCGAACTTCCTGCTCTTCACTGGGTTCTTTATATAATTTATCTATATTTTTTTCCGATCGATTTCTTGACAGACTGTGTTCCAGTATTAAATGTCTGCAGACTTTGCTTTTCGTGACTTGACGATTACAGAGAGTGCAAATAAGAAAACCGTGCTCTTTCCGCAGATGAACATCCAAAGTATTACATGTATCGAAGGTTTCACTACACTCGGGACAATCTTGTATCATTGGTTTTTCAGGGCGTTTTAGATGTCGGGACAAATCTCGGAGCGACGGTAAAATACTACTGCAAACCTCACATCGAACCTCGCCAGGCTTATGATCAGCGTCTATATGCTTGTTCATAATATACTTGTTAAGAAAACCTTTCTCGCACAATCGACAGAAGAAACCCGGATTATTTTCGTGTTTGGCGATATGCAATTTGCAATAGTCTAATGTAGAAAATCTTTTTGAACAGTGAGTGCATTTAAATTTGCCTTTTATTATTTTCTTGCGCAGTCGTTTTCTACCTCTCTTTTTTCTAGATAATAAAACTACGCTGATTTTGACGTCTAAATTGCGTGGGGCATTCGCAAGAGATGGTAATAATGGACGGAATTTGCCGGAAGTTAATACTTTGGAAGTTTTTAGTGATTTCGATGGTGACTCTGGATTTTTCAGTTTTGGGACACGCTTTTCCTTTTCGGTGGATTTCGTCGCTTGTGGTGCTAATTGGACCATCGTTGCAGTATCTGGTACGTCGCAAGAGTTTGGAACTCCTTGCTGTTGATGCTGTGCGGATGGTTGCGATTTCAATTCCGCGATTGGTACCACTTCGGAAGAAGTGATTTGTGATTGCTCAGCCTCTTTTACCGTTGGTTTTTCAACTTCAGATAATGATTCTGTATGTAAAATGAGATTTTATAAGGTAAATGAAATAAATATTGCAATTGTTTAAGTAATTAAACAAAATTGCTTTACCTGTAGGTTTAGGCTTTGATTGCTCCAATAAATTCAAGTTGACATTATTCAGAGATTTTTCTTTGGCAATCAAATTAGTTTGTTGTTGATTATCAATGGCAATTGAATTAATTCCAGATAGATCATTCAAAGTGATACAATCTTGAGGTGCCTCTTGTGATACATTCATAATGTTGACTGTAGCACCATTGAAATGATCTGACAACATAATTTTTTTTGTAGGCATTACCTTATTCTTTTCATTCAAATTTTTGTTAATAATATAATTTTGACAAGATTTTATGATGTCTGATATCATTTCACTTGTTAGTTCTTTACTGTTATTCTGAGATTCCATTTTTCTTTTCTTGAAATGCTTCTTATTTTTCTTAAGGTTGCTGAAGATCTGTTTCTTGTAAGCAGAATTCGGTATTAAGGGTTTATAGTCAGGAGGAGGCATTTTAGGTATAATAATTAATTCATCTTTTTTCATTAGAGCTTCCATTGTACGACTAAAACCTTTGACAGGGTCAAGATAATCTTCACTTCTCTTCAATTTTGCAGCTTCCAATATTTGCAACTCCCTCTCACGCATTCTCAGTTTAAAAATCTCTGTAGGACTTGCTATATTATATTGGTAGAAAGCTTTCCTCCTACATTTTTTATGATTTAGACGAGCTTTAGTATTTGTCAATGTAACTTCACATATATCACATACACTATGTTTATCACAATGATACAATTGGATGAGTGCTCTACGACATCGATTATGATCTATACTAAGGGCATCACAATTTTTGTTCTCACAGTGTTTTGCAGCAGGGGCATCTATTTCATCATCCTCAATATTAATTGAAATGAGTGGTGTAATTCCTTCTTCATCTTCATATTGTTGTACAATAACATCACAAACTAAACTTTCACAAGGTTCAAAATGTCCACAATCTTTTCTTGTTCTAACAATTGGAACTAACAAAATTTCAGACTTTCCATTACTTTTAGATGGTAAAAGATTCTCTTCTTCTATAGTATTTTCTTTTGAATGTACTACTTTTACTGATAGTTCTGTTTTTTCTGATAATTGTTGCACTGTATTATTATTATCAGTTTTACTATCTGCAAATGGTTTTGGCCTAATCATCCTATAAGCTGTTGGTGAATTAGTTCGAGGGATAGCATGAATGACAATATTAGGCTGATTGAATAGCCTTTTGACAGGATCTGATTGCAGAATCTATAAAAACAATTGCAATAATTAAATTCTTTTTAAAAATAATAAGTGAATTTTATCAGACAAATAGTCAAATTTTATGAGAACAATGTAATCTAAACATGTTTTTCTTCAAAAATTTTGTGCACAAGTATTTTAATGCATAATTATTTGTTAAAGAATAAATTTTTGATTATTCTAAAATAAAGTTATGATTAAGAAGTGTTATAAACATGAGATAAAACAATATGTACAGTATGTGAAAAAAATATGTAAATTGAAAAAAATTTGAAAAAAATTTATATTTATTACAACTTGTTCGAGCATGGGTTATTCCAATGACAGCTCCATAAAAAATTTAATTGAACATTTCATTTTATTTCATTTTTACAAGTTGAATTCATCAATGATTACTTTATATCAAAAATTTGAACACAGGTATAGAGGGCTTGAATGATATTTTGCAAATTTATTGATTTTGAAAAAATAGTTGATAAACCATTTTGTGCCAAAATATTTTTTGTACAAAAAGGCAAATAATATTAAATTTTGTAATGTAAATAAAATGAAAATATTTATACCATCAAATAAATAGAACTGTCACTTCAATTCGAAAATAAAAAACCTGAAAAAAGACAAATTGTTCCAATTGTATAATTCAATTTCGAATATACTACTTAAAATGTGATGAAAGCACAAATCAACTACTTGTTATTCAGTGGAGCTATAATAAAACGCCAAACGATATGTTAGAGATTTAAATTTAGCGAATGTAACGTTCAATTCAAGAAAAATCTACATGGTTGAAAGAATAAAGAAACGTTAAAGGAAAATAGCGAGCATTCGAGGTAGTCACAACTTTAAATTTCACTGCAGCGCTATCGCATTGTCAATAATTCATTAGCATAGTCCGAGAATAACTATTACTTAAGGCAAGTATTTAAACTCTCGCTGGTGACGTGCATGTCCATGAATTGCATGAACTTTCGTCTTTCCTATTTTGAAAAAAATGTGAGAGATCAAAAGAGCGCGCTGAATAGGATGAGATATAGGTAAGTGAAGTGAAAGAGTGGCGATCGGATAAAAAGAGAAAGAAGAGACAGAAGAGAAGCACTGTTGGTCCCACCTGGTTAAACAGCGGATCGGCAATCATTTTCGCGCTGGCTTCAGGCAGGTCTGTCGCAGATGCCATCGCCGAGAAGCATTTAAAACCAGCTGTGGGTGCAGCAGCTGAGCTGCAACGGTTGAGGCGATGACGGCGGTGGTGGCGGCGACGAGGAGGAAGACGAAGAGGAGAGAGAGACAGCTAGAGCAGACGCGGCCATGCAGGTGACAGCCATTCCAGGCGCCCCAGATAAAAAAGCAGCCGGAGTTAGGACGAAGAGTTGTGACGACAGGAGCTCAAAGAGCCACCGCGTAGTTGGTGTGTAGCTGCGTGCTATAGTTTGCTGTCCGAGTATACACTGGTTACGCGAGCAGCGAGCTGAGTGACGAGGAGCGTCGAGGAGAGCGCTGATAAATAATTGTCGAGAGGTTAGGTCATGGCAATGCAGCTCTGCAAGTACTGTGCTGTGCGAATAGAACTCTGGGTCGATGTAGCTACATTCCTGCCCTTATTCCTAGGCGCCTAGCTATCTCTCTATCCCTTCCCCTACAAAAATCCTCCCTCCGGCGCACGTTCGCTCCGTCTCTCTCTCTGCCCTTTAACGATCCCGTCCCTTTTTCCACTCTCTGATGTGCGCGCGAGCTTCCACTACTACTGCTACCTGCTACGGTACTTTAAAATGCGCGCATAATTACAAGCACTACTACGCTCGACGGCGACCGACTGCCGTAACTATATATGCCTCGCAAGAACTCGCGCTCCGAAAGTAAAAGAGTGAGTGAGCGAGTGAGTGAGCGAGCGAGCGAGCGAGCGAGCGAGAAAGAAAGAGAGAGAGAGAGAGAAAGAGGGACTCGTGTAGTTTGGTGCCTGTAACAGTGTAAGTAGCTCGCCGTCTCTTTCTAGGCTACTCTCTCGCGCTCACTCCCTCGGCGTTTTTACGCTGCTTCCACGTAGAATTTTCGTGTGTGCGGCTCTCCCTCTTTCACTTTTCCCCTACTTCCATGCCCCGCGTTTGTGTCACGTGCGCTTGTGTACTGTTGATATACATATAGGTATACGCGCTAATAGCTCGCACGCGTACGCACACAGCCACAAGCCAAAGCGCCGACTCGAGAGCGCGCGTGCAAAATTTTCGACTACGCCACGACGCGACGCGATGCTGCGCGGATATATTCTATCCAGCGGTGAGCACGTTTTTTTAACTTTCTATGCGAAAATTCATCTTCTCTTTCTTCCATCGATTATCGATCGATTCCAACTTTTTTACTGTTGGTTTATCTACTTCAATGATTTACCAAGTATCATGTACAAATGCTTCAATAAAATGGTCCAATTTAACTGTTAACTTGTTCAATTGTTAATTTATTTTAGATAATAACCGTTCTTTCATTTCAATTATGTCTCGATAACATTTTAATTTTAACGTTAAGCATATGTCCATTTGTCTTCTATTCCTTATTTGCTTTCCTCTCGTTTACACGTAGTTAAGCTTTTATTAAAGCTTTTAATTTTTGTTCCAAAGAATAAATTTGTTACGTCGAAAAAAATGTTTCCATGCACTTTAATGATGTTTCTAACTTAATTTGTTACTTAACTTGTAAAAGCTTGATATTTTATCAACAAGATTAAAACAATGAAAGTGGACACTGGAAAAAAAACCCAAGTTTTTTATCATAGAAACGAGATAAAGATAGCATTCCACATGCGAAATCATTCATCAGTTATAGTTGTTCTATTTACTGTGGAATTTTATTGTTGCTATTTTACTTTGCTAAATAAAAGTAGTATTGGAATTCAATAATTCATTTTTGGAAATTAATTGATTAGTCATGTAGTTTAATTTATCTACATGAAAAGTGAAACAAAAATCGATTTGCTCTATCAATATGTTAATCACATGTTCCGATCTAAATCTTTGAGTATTTTTATTGTGCAATATGAAAAATATAGGATAGCTTTAAAACAATAAGAATACATTTTGAACGTCGTGTAAATATTTAGCAGATAAAAATTTTTCCACAATCTCCACAATAATCTCCAAATTTAATAATTGAAAAATACAAGTTCTATATGCTACATAATACACATACACGCGCGCATGTAGTTGAATGTCATATATTTGTTTGGAATGGTTAAAGCTTTTAGGCCTCAGAAGAAATCTACTATTTTGATGCTGTTCGTGATTTCCAACATGGTTTCGAATTATTTTATTTTATTATATATCTCACGTATGATAACAGCGAAACTTGCACGAATGATAAATGAAAACATAAACTCGCTATATTAAAAGTAAAAGTTCTGTATTAATAATCTTCTGTGAAATAATTTCGATAGTGAAATAATTTCAGTAATATTACTGTTCGAAATTTTGCTACGTTAATTAAAAAAGCTATTGTTCAAATCTACTGTTGGGTATTGTAGTTCAAACAATTTTAATCGCTTATAAGGCGTAAAATAGCAATTGGCAAGCGATAGAAAATGATATAAAGTATAGAGCACGAAAATTTATTGAAAAATGGTTTATTTTAATACTTTTATTTCCACTACGACAGTAATCATTTTGCAAATTAACATGTTTTATTTGTAAGCAAATTAAGAGCTTAGTTTTTGATTGTCATGAATAATGCCGATACAAAATATAAGCAAAAATTACTATAAATATTTTTATAACTAGTACATATATAAATGTAGAAAAAAGTTTTGTCAAACGACCATTCAATCAATAGTACGCAATTTTTATCAAAGTATTAATATTTCAGAGTCAATATAAGATTTTATCTACAATTATTTTGATCATAAATGATTCTAAAGAATGAAAGATTTATAACGTAACAGTATTAAGGATCTCATTATACTATTATAATGAAAAAACAGGCTAGCTAGAAAATGATACGTAGGTGTATGAAAGTTGAATATTATCTAAAACTAATATGGAATCACCATGGTATAGTTTGAATACAAAACTTTTTTCTAGAACAACAATAAAGTATAATAAGTTTTATGATGTGAAAACGCTACAAACATTAATATGCACAATGAACTTACAGAATTAACCTATGAACATATTTACAAAAATCAGTCAAATAAATATTTGAAGTTGCATTATAATTTTGACGAAAAAGAAAATCCATTTTCATAACGTCATCCTAGGCAGTCATTAGCAACGTTAAATATTCGTCAATAAATCAGATCTACACATTTAATTAGCTGCGCAATTCGCTTTATCATTCTTTTACGCGTACTCCATAATCAATATCACAGAATGTTTAGTTTCATCATATAGCATAAAAATATGTCATTTTACCGTAAAACTATATATTTTTTTCATTACAAAAACTCTAGCTACCATATATTTTCTACAGAACATTCTCATAGATGAGATATTATCCGTTTTGGAAATACTGCATATATACTTATTTCTATGTACACAGACATACCTTCTTTACATAGTTTATTTACAGGCGTGTCAATGTGCTTCATTTAAATATCGTAGATATCGAACAACACTGATATATTTGTGTTGGCTATAAATCAACTATGAGCACCGAGCAATAGAAACGCTTTGTATTTGGTATAAATGTAATTTCAGTTTTGAAAACAGTTTCTTAAGCATACACTTGAATTTGCCAAAGACTAGAAATCTCTTACGTTTAACGATGAAAGTGGTTCTAGCTTGCTTTACTATACATGGGCGCGCGCTCACGCACGCGTATGTGAAAACGATATTGCAATGTCTTGTGTGGGAATTAATTTTTATGAATTTTCGCTATCCCCTATCTAGCGATATAGATATAACTACTATCAATATTACCGCGTGAACAAGTGATTTACAATCTATGAAAATACAACTTATCATATCATTGATAGTAAAATAGCATCGAACGAGTAATACCGATTTGAAATATGCTGTCGTCTTGTAGCTTTTGATTATTTGATCTATTTTGAACATAAAAATACGTATTTTTACGCACTAAAACAATCAGATACACACGCAACATGGCATTAATCATCTCTCTAAAAAAAGCAAAAGTCTATTTTTTAACTGGACTTATAGTTGAGGGTTTTTTCCTAGTGAGGGTGCCAGCGGTAGCTGATTTGTTGTTACTCTGTTCAAATTTCTGCTGCAATGATGCTACAGTGGATTTAGCCGACGGCTTTTCGGCGAAACTGGCAGTTTTAGTCGCAAGATTCGATGGCTTTGGTGGAGTTGTGACACTCTTCTGCTTAGGCAGCGTGGACGTCTTTGTTTTACTCAGAACATCCGGCGATTTGTTCGTCGTATTCGAATTGCAACTCGATACAAGATCAGGACTGTTGAGTTTTCCCGTGTGCGAACTATTACTCTTAGAACTCTTCAAGCTCGAGTCAGAGTTTTGTCGACTTGTCGGCCGATTCGTTGTCGTACTCGTCATCGTCGTTGTCGTTGTCGTTGTCGTCATCGTCGTCGTCGTTGTCGTTTTCTTTATACCAGGTGGCGTTTTAGTACGACTGAAACCTGGCTTCATCGATGCCGTCTTTGGCTCTTCTTTCTTTTTTTCCGCGATTATGCTCATATTCACATGCGTGGGTTTGAACGGTGCGTAGCTAGGCTTGACAGTACTCGTCGTCTCTTTCTTCGCGTCTTTGATTTCGGGTTTATCACTGCTGCTGGGCGGTACGTTGACCGCGGACGGGCTCAAATATCCGGAACTTGTGGTCGAATTAGAGTAGACGCTATTTGCGGGCGACTTGTAGTGTGGCGTATTTACGTAAGTACCAGTATTCGGTAGCTTGGGCTCGGGACTGATCGTCTTAGTGGAGTATATTGAGTCAAAGTTTCTATTCGATATCTCCGAGACGATCTCCGACAGTAATCCTCCAGCAGCATTCGGATCTATACTCTTTGGCGTTTTGTACTCACTCTCGATTGGCGCTGTAATGGCAGCTGACTTCTTTCCCTTTTCCGGCAGCGATTCCTCGATAACAGCATAAATATTATCGTTCGATGGTGATTCCTCGACAATCTTGCCCATTTTCGCGTCCGCTATCAAGTTCATACAGTCATCGTAGGCATTATCGGTCTTGCTGCTACTGTCGATTATCAGCGCAGGCTTTTTCGCCGTATCGTCAACTTTCACCGGCGGTATTGGTGGCGGCGAAGTCGGTCTCACGGTGGCAGCGATACTCGTAGGCCTTTTATTTGGCTGTCTCATCGAGCCGAACGAGTGAATGGTCGGTCTGGGCGTAACTTTGTCGCGCATCGACTGAGCACGCATAACCACGTTTCTCGCTTTGTCCTGCTCGGAGCCCAACTCAGGTTTTACGGGGATCGTCGCTGTCAGGATCTCAATCTTCTTCTGCGGAATAGGATTCGAGATTTCGAGACTCCGCAGAATTTCCTTGTCCAGCATTTTACTAGCCTTGTGATGCGTCCTCGGCAGGGAATTTGTGTGGTACTTGAGCGTGCCCTCGTTCTGCGAATTAGATCTGACCATGGGGTAGAGCATCGAGGCTATCCTGGTGAGCGTGCTACTGCCAGTTGGACCGGGACCTCGCCTCGATTCTCCACTGGTCGAGGCATTGTCGATAGCCAAACCTAGGCACTTAGCCACCTTGTCTTTTTCCTTTTCCGCTGAGGCAAAAGTGACGGTGGTTTCCTGCTTGGTTGGCTGAACCTTCCAGCCAACCGACTTGGCGACGGTGGCTGATTGGCCCGCACCAAATATCGTGGGTATATCCGGTGCTGGTCTCGTTGGAACCTTCGGCAGATCCACCGAGGTACAGGTAGTTGCCGCAAGAATAGGACTGCTGATTAGTGGTTTGGCTGTGCTGCCGACGTTTGGTGGTGGCAACGCAGGTGGTAGCTTGGGTACGTCATCGACGACGTCTTCGTCTTCTCTATCAATGGTTGGCGCCTGTCTCAAAGAGCTGCTCCTCTGAATGGGTTTGATGTGGGTCTTGATAGGCACGGTGGTCGCCATGAAGGCGGGACCGCCGTTGCATGTAGGTGGTGCTGGCGCGGCTCTCATCCGCGGCGACTCCTTTGTCGTCAACGGAGTAATGCTGAAGCCCTTGAACTGGCCGAAGAAGTTGTTGTTGAAGCGTTCGTCCGTATCGCTCTTGGGCAGCAGACTGGCGCAGGCTGGATCAGCTTGAGCTACTGCCAGTCCTCGCGAGTCGAGTGGTTCGCCACCACGAGACACTGGATGCACAACTGAACGCTGAATGCCAGTGCTACAGCTGCCGCGGTAATGCGCTGGTTGTTGCTGGTGGGTGTTACCCCCGCCGAAGCCGAAGCCTCGCGTCAACCTGAAATTCGAGAGAACAGTGTTGTCTTATTAACAAGCGGGGGAACTTTGCTGAGTGACTGGTGGGTTGAGGTAAGCCGCATTCGCTCTCGCTCTCTTTCGCTTTTTCGCGCGACTTATCGATTCACGTTTGAATATGTGTACTATTTTTTTTTCTCCGTTGAAATTTTACTGTTCGCGTGCTTCTCATTGAGATCACAAACAAATTACTCGTTTACATTTAAAGCTCAGCGTACGACTGCGTCGACTTTCGAACAATTATAAATCACGCGCAACGCCAGCAAACCATGCACCAATTACAACGAATCACACCCCACTCTCAGCATGCAATACAAGCATCAACTAGCATTTAAACAAGTGTTGGGTAGTTAGTCAGATGATGAAAAGTTAATAGCAAGCCGTGGAAAGATGAAAGAACAACACATATATGTACGCTGTTTATGTACAGAGGATTCAGAAAACCAGACAAAGACGCAAATTCAACTTATGAATTTGTTTTTATTGAGAACATTAATAAAAAAAATATCATGTTACAATATTCACTCGAAAAGCAGTTGTAATGCTTATGCGCACGTGTAAAGCCGTTCTACATATCATGGTTTACTGCGCCAATGAAAATTTTGAAATCAATTGCTTGTCACGCTTTAAATATCATACACATGCATAAACAATAACAAGTACTTTAATAGCATTTAATTATAGGTAAAGAAATTGATATAGGCAAGATCAGACTGACTCAAAATTATTATGACTAATCGATAGAAAAGGTAAGAGATTATAATACGATAATACTACGAGATAAGTTTTAGGTGCAAAATGAATTCTGTAATTCAATTCACTTTGTTGACATACAATTTTCTACACATGCACCTAATATCATAACAACTAACTGATCATGCTAGCACACTTTTTAATATCTACTATTGCTTTTAATAGTTACTATTGAATTCTATGGGTAATCTTTTGCAGTAATAATTTTACTAAATTAAGTTGATTCTTTGATATACATCGCAAGTACTTGAGTAGGACTTTTTAGGGGATTAAAATGCACCTTATTTAAAGTTGTAAAGAATATGCTTCGGATTATGTACGCAAAACGTATTTGAATATTTTAAGATTCTTGATTTTTATCCCCTAAATTATTTTTGAAAATTTCTAAAACTTATTAATAATTGACGTAGAAATTACTACCCTTGTAGTTAACAAAAATAGTAAGTACTGTCAATAACAACATGCATCATGAGTTGAATCGGATCACAGATTGTGAGCACATTTGGCAATGTCACGACATATTATATATCTTAAGTACAATTTATTGACTCTCCCGTTACCTAAAATATATATTTTTTCATAATATCTTCGACTTAGTTTATAATCGGATTAGATTAAGCAGGGATGATTTATTTTTTAATCTAATTCCTGATTTCGTCTGAAATATCAAAACTTTACCAATGTAGTTTTGTAAATAAATAAATATAATAGAATAAAAAATTTCATCATATCGTACTGAGTAATTATTGTATACAAATATATATTCAAATTTGACTTTTTCTATCTAGAATTATATACATTATAAAAAAAATGTCAACGTTGCATAAAAAATGATATTATCCATTTGAAAGTCATTCATGCGATAAATTACCACGCGTTCCTATCTACCGATTACCCTCAAAGTTTCGATATCACCGTAAATTTTAAAACCTTTTCGGTTTAAGACTTTGTGGTGGTACAGGTGGCGGCGGTGGTTTTTTATCATAAAACGGTCGTGGATTTTCCACAGCCCAGGCGGTAGGTCTAACAATCGAAGAGGAAGCTGTCGGCGGAGCTGGTTTATTATACAATACGACTGGTGGTTTGAATGGCGGTCGAGGTGGCATTTTATCACTGACCGGCACTGGTGGCGGTTTTTTATCATAACTCACAACCGGTTTTTTGTCACTAGCCGGTAGTGGGGATGTCTTTTTCGGATAAACCGTTTTATTCGCGACAAGCATGTCCACCGAACTTGGAGTAGCGCTCGGACTCTCGCGTAATTGCTCGAACTTGAGATCGGTCTGCAGGGTGAGACCTTTGAAGTTTTTAGGCTGCAAAGTACCACGTTGCAATTGTAAAATGTGTTCTGCTAATTTAATTCCCAGCTCCGTTCTCAATGGACTTACGCGTTTTGCCGGATCTCGCGCGTCGTTTCCTAAATAATTAGTTTCCACCGTCTCGTTACCATCCACTGCTCCTATCGCCGCAGCAGCACATAATGATTTACGATACTCGATTTCGTTACTGCAGTTAACTACTTGAGGATTGGTCGTCGAAACAAGATCGCGCTTGACTATTTTTATTTGGTCGCGCGGTAATGTACCGATATACTCGCTTATCGTGAACGGTTTGCCACTGCCGTTACTACTCGGGTCTACACTACTTTTCGAGCTTTTTGATTTTCGACTTTTGAAGAAGCTCTTTCTGCGTCTCGGCACGCAGCATACGTACGTTGAGATCGGATTCGAGGCCGTGGCCTTCTTCCACTGGTTACCGCCTCCATTGTTGCGGGCGTACCATACTCCAAACGACACCAATGCTATCGTCGGCACAATGCCCAGGAATATTATATATAGACTCATTACGTATTCGCTCCTCGCTGAAAAACAAGGCAATGGAATAATTATTAGAATTATTCATGATTTACATCAATAGAAATTCATAACGAAACTGAAATTTCAGTTTATTTCAACAGTTTTTGTAAAATACTGTTTGAATTTGTAAGTGAAAACAAGTTAATTAAAATTCCAATATACACTAACAGCTATGGCAACTTGTTAGAGTATAACAAAGAACGTTAAAAGATATGCTACCTTGGTGTAACGATAAAAACTTTTATCGATTTAAGTACTCGTGTAATACTTGACTCTAATTAAACTGATGCACGAACTTTCAGAACTATCTTCATTTTAAATATTAATTAAACTAAAAAAGCTGTGATAAAGCGACAATTTAAAAGAGCCTTTCGGTACTTAATAATTAAATGGATAATACATTGAATAATAAAAATCTTGAGGTTATAGTGGACTTATCTAAGGGTGAAAAGTTAAAGCAATTACCGTTCGGGTCATCGGCCGGACCGCTATCCAAAGAGCCACCAACTCCAGGCTGAGTGCAGTCGGGCGGTTGAAAGCCACGATTGCAGTGGCAATGCCCCAAGCTATTGCACACCCCATTACCGCTGCAGCCGTTTGGACAAGCTTTACCGTTGGGGAACGAAGCTCGTAATTCAGCGACTGGCATACACTTTTGGTTAACGCACATCTGAAAATTCATTAAACAATTAGATAAAAGTTACGAGCGTTTAGATTACTATTATATCTGCAAACTGACATTTAAATGAAATATGAAGATTTTGTATGGAAATGTGAATAATGGCGTTAATTATGTATACTTGTTCCAAGACTTACCTTTCCGGGAGCACATTTAGCACCATCAGGAGACAATCCGGGGTCTACCTGGTTAAGTCCCAAATCGACAATTGCTGATCGACAGGCAATAATTTTGCCTTGACTATTTATAAATGAATGGCTGAGAGTTGATACAGACTCCATGCCGAATTCCAGTCTTTCGTTTAAATGCTTGCAGTGCAACATGCCACAGAGAACGTTTCTGTAGTATAAATAATTTTATGAAGTTTTTTTCCTCAAAATTAATGTAGCATAAGAAAGCGCATGAAGTACTCACTGGTCGTGACATTTGACGTAATTATTCCCTGTGCGATTGAACCCACAGTTGCCATTCTTCGTGCCTTTGTTATTCATATCGTAGCATAATACATCCGACGAAGAACCTGTGGGCCCCCACAGCAACTTACACTGATCGTTGTGAGTTCGACAACTACCTTGATAGCAATACGCTTTGCCCATATTACACGCCTCTCCGTCTATCTTGAACACGTCTTTCGGGCAATATTCGCTTTGTCCCGTGCAATATTCTGGCAAATCGCATTCTTGATCAGCTGATCTGCACTCGGTGCCAGCAGTTTTCGGTTTACAAGTCTTGAGATCGCAACATTCTCCAGTGGCACAGCTTGCGTTAGTATGTAGCATACAAGTCAAGGCGTCGCAGCACGGATTGTCACAGTTCTCTACCAAACCGCAATCGCATTGTTCGCCGGGCTCGACGAAACCATTCCCGCAAATTGGACTATCGAACAGACGTTTTGGCTTATTGCGAAGGCAGTAGTCCATACCGTGCTCGAAGGCTAACGCAAGGTATTCCAAGGAGCATGACGACCAGTGAGTCGGACCAGATGAGCCGCTTGACGGAGCCATTATACACCTGCGAAAAAAAGTGTGATTAGACAAGTTCCCTGAATCTTTCGAGTCGCTTGATCCGAATGAATTCACTTATTTGACGAAATAAAAAAACATTGTAAATTCTTATTTGATTGTAATTTACAGAGGATTGGAATGCTCGATTTTTGTAGTAGGAATCAAACAGTCAATACTTTGATCAATACCAGCCAGCGTTTTTGATTGAATTGCATCAAACGCGTTCTATTTCAGCTATTCACAATCTCAACTCTACCGTGAAATACAAACAGATTACCCTCGATGTTGCATCGCGCGTACGCATACAGCGAATCTTCATCAGTTTAGTGAGAATTGAGTTTAGCCTCGTAATTAACAGTGGCCATCCTCCCTCCTTAATTATGCAAGCGGAAGCAGGAGAAGAGCACAGTCGAGTGACCAATAATTACCTCTCCTCGGGGCAGATGCAATCAGACGAGTCGTGCTCCATGCCAAAGTTGTGACCCATCTCATGGGCCATAGTTGCAGCTACCAGTCCCACGACGTTCGAATGGTCGACCGACACACCGCCAGAGAATTCATACGTACATATCGGGCCTTTCAATGCTTTGCCCACTACTCCCTCGTCGAATTGGATTTTCCTGCGAATTGCATCAACATTCAATTAATCGACCTGTTGTATTGCAACTGAGATTCCCTATATTGTTTCAACTCGCTCTTCAATTAGCGTTCAATCTCTTTCGGTTAGACGGAAAAAAATTTGATGGATACGCTATGAACTACTTGTTGAACGTTATTACACGTCGTATAATCTCGTAAATACGTTCACGGGATTACAATTTAATCGAATGCTCAACTGAATACATCTATTAAATTGAAAAACAGAAACACGCTATTGTTCTAATTTCATTGAATTTAGACATTCGTTGACGCTTGCGATCGAAAATTTAATTGTGTAGCTTTCATGTAAAAATTCGAATTGCGAAGTGAAGCCTAAGGAAAGAAAGCGCATGTCGAAATTACGAGCGGTACTTACGTCAGCAATTGCGCATTGTCATTGGGAATAGTCTTGACCAATCGTTCTCTGCGATACTGCAGGAAGTTATTGAGCGTTGTGTCACCATTACTCATAAGATGAATCTCATCGGCGTCCGTCCAAACTTCAACGCCAATCAGCGCAATGAAGATATTGAGCGGAGTGTAGAGCTGCAAAATGTCACGCGAACAGGCGTACGTTCAGCGAATGATTTGGCACGTTTCATCGAGAGCGAAATAAGCAAGACAATGATGCGTGATAAGCCGCTCAGTGTCAGGGATGAAAAGAAGAAAAGAGAGCTTGGGAGTCACTTACGGCATTGATGATGTTGGCGATATCCTTACAATGTTGATGCACACGGGTGAGATTTTCACCTAAGGCCGTGTACTCGTTCTTGTCGACGACGAGAACGAGCTCGACGTAGCGCGACTGCCTGTTCGCGTTGTACGGCCCGCGTATCGCTTCGCTCGCTCGTTTGTGCTGCAATAAAGCGAATTCGATTGGACTGAGTTTGCGTGCTCATTTGACGCGCGCCACGAAGCGAGTGCCTCTATCCTCGCTGCGTCGGTATCGCGTGGCAAAACCGAGTATCGAAAAACGCGCTTGTGCTTCGCAAAGCGTTAACCGACGTATTGGATGGGCCTGCATACTCACTCTCGTCGATCTTTTTGCCCTCGCCGCGGCGACCAACTCGTTCGCGATGTGATGCGCAGTGCCTCTGTAACCTGAAACGAGAAAATCTTTCGTCAATAATAAAACACAACAGTTTGGCAAAATTATTAAGAACGACGACGCGTTCGGGTGCTCAACTGGATGTGAGTAGAACACCGTTTCCGGGACTTTCTTGTGTAGTTGCTTAATGAAAGGAGCCCGCGAAAAGCCGGGCGAACCGTGGCTATTCAGAGGGGAAAAACAGCGAAGCGAACGGCAGTTTTGCGCGCGCTGGATTCGCGGAAGGGACTTGGCTCTTGGCAGAAGAAAAACTTAAGCGTGAGAGCGCTATCCCTTTTGCTCGTAGCGTGCACTCGACGAGATTGCTCTTGGACGTTACAAAGAAACTTGCCAGCGGTAGCAGCAGCAGCAGCACACACGGCTCACAGCGAAAGAGAAGCTTTCAACAAAGCTAAGTGCATTAAGTCACATTGCTGCTTTTCCCCGGTAGCTTTCTGCCTCGACGATCGGCCTCGAAAAAACAAGCTTCCCTCTGCGTGTGCGCGTGTGTGTGCTCTCTCTCTCTCTCTTTCTCAGTGATATGCAAAAACAGTACGAGGCCAGGAGGAGGGAGGAGAGGCCGTTTAAGGCGACGACCGGTAGACCGGCTCGACGTCGCACCGAAAGGCCCCACTGGCCTTGCTCAAGTTCAGCATTGAAACTTTCAGCTACAGAGAGCTCCGGTCTTTCGAACGCTTTCCCGCAAGTGTTTTCGCATTTTCTTCGGAATCAGTTGACTCTTCAAGCTACTACAAATGTGCATTCGGAACAACGTCAATAATTGATAGGCAGATTTTTTTTTATCGAGTTCCTCTGCTCGTTTCAAATGTTTTCAACGAGCACAGTGCACTTTGATCAAATATGATCTACCTTTTGGATTCTAGGAAGGTCATCTGCGTATCGAAGTCAAATAATCTCGCAGAAAGACAAGACAACACACGCGCACACACGCGCACACACGCGCACACACGCGCACACACACAAGAGACGGCACATTAGCGTCGAGCTTTGCACGAGAGTAAAGTCTATCGATTAATGTTCCGCGTTGCGTAGCATATATCAGAGATATAGATGTGATAGCACGAGATAACGCGTGCAAGCTTACCACAACTATTATTAGCTATGAGATCGGAGTGCTTGTAGAGATAGTGTCTGGAGTCGAGCGACTCCTGTTCGGGCTGTATGTAGTGCAGATTGTCGCCGTCGAAGATGACGCCTTTGAGGCCGTGACACGTCGAGACTGCCGCCCACGAACCCGGCATGTCTCTCATGCTGCCTTGGTAGTGACATAATTCCTGTAATAATGTCAAACGATAGATCAGTCATTACAGTTCCAATCGTAAATAGCTTTGTTTTATTATTGACAATAAGTCGTAATGACATTATCAAACTGTCATAATTATAAGAGATTCGCGTCATTTAATTTGGAAAAATTTGTTAATGAACGATTTTTTTTTATCGAGCTGGTCATTCGTTGTTTACGTTATATTAACTCGACGTTATTGGAACGCCACTGCAGCACGGTATATTGCACAACACGCAGTCCTTCCAAATTGATACTTTCGCATTCGAATTAGCTTATCGGACGTTATGCCAAACGCAATGCCGACCCAATGATTACGAAGGCGAGATGCGCGTACAAGGCTTCGTTAAAATTCTCCGAAACGTCGCGTATGATTCAGTTGCGAAATAATTACGAAGAGAAATGGTGCACGTAAAAGAACTTGGCGCATACAATCATGGTTGATCGACTCTCTATTATCGGCGCCGCGCGCGCCTGATATGAATAACCCCAAATGGTAATGAGGAGAGCGGGTGAAAGAGAGTCAGGCTGCTATCTGCCTGTGACGGTATTTTCGTCGCGGCATTGTAGAAAAACACAATGAGCGAGGGAGTGAAGGTCCGATCGTTGGGCACAATGGCGGGGCTCGACTTTCTTTTTTTGACATTCAAATTGCGTCGCCACGGGAGCTAACCAAGCCGCCTGTATGTACACAATTACTCGGCCTTGCGTGTTTTTGCGTGTTGGTGCACGCTTGCGTTTTTATTTCGTGAATTTTGAAAGGACACCAAGACGTAAGGTATTCATTATTATTCGTGGACAAAAGCTCGCGGGAAATACTCAGAAATTAAATAATCGAGTGAATTTACGTCTTCCTGGTTGTTTCGTTAGCGGTCACGGATGCATTAGTAATTGACCATGATTAACGGCTTTCTTTAGAAAATAATGTAAACAACGGTAGCACTAAATCTTAATATCCGAGAGGCTCAGCCGGAACATTCCCCTATCGATAGGTTATCCCCACGTTGCGATGGCGTTTCCCACGAACAGCTTTATTCCCGCTGAATGAGAGACGCCATGTCAGAAGATTGACTTACCACTTTGCGAGGGACGTGGGTCTTGTAGTCGCCGCGATGCTGGTGGCGCTCTTTGTAGCCCGCGGGTATGAGGTCGGAGTTGAGCCTCAGGTCGAGAACACGACTCTGGCCGTCGAGCTCAAGGCCCACGCTCAGCACGTCCGCGTGATCGGTGTCCTGCAATCGTAAAACAGTCCGTGAAGCCACAAACGTTACGCGATTTACTTATCTGATGCTGCATTAGAGCACCTCCTTTCTACGCATAAGGGCTCGCACATACATCTCCATACACTCTCGTTAAACAACGCTTCTTCTTTTTTATTTCCTTCTTTTTGTTATGCCCGTAAGTGGGCCGACGATTTATGGCTTACATGCGCGGGTTTAGTTCCTTGCCGAGGGTTGCTTTATTCTTGGTGCATGCGTGTACTTCAACTAAAAGGCCTATGTCTCTGTTCGGTTGTTTTTTTTTTTTTTTTTTTTTTTGTTGATCGCATGGAAATTTGTTACGGCTTGTTTTCGGCTGCCATTGGCGTGTTTGTTGAACATGAAACTGTCCCCCATGGGTAATTCTTGCTGAACAAGAGAACTTGTACAGTGCGCAATATATTCCAAGTGTCGCTTTTTTATTTTTTTTTTAACGAGTAGCTATACCACCTAAAATTACCATTGAAAAGAAAATTAAATTGATCGCTTTTACGTCTCGTGATATATGTTTCCAATTAATATTTCTTTTGCGAAGAATATAATGGGGCTACCGGTGAAGACTGTAACAAGCGAAAAGTGATGCATGGTTTCTGCGAACATTTTTTAATTTCCGCAAGCTATCCACGTCAGTGTATACCTCAAGTAAGAAGACGACTCGTCGAAAAAGTGTGTTTTATCGCGGGATCGACCGACGTATATGTGTACTAGACGGACGCCTGGTACGAAAACTTGGTCGAATAAGACAATCAGCGACTACTGCCGGCACTTAAATCACAAGGCACATATTAGTGCACAGCGTATGCAGTTGACGCAGAGAGGTAAGGCTCTTAACCAACTGGCAAACTCTTAGCTCGATCTGCCCGGCGTCTACTTCAGTTGCATAACGCAATCGCATTGCCACTGCCGTTCGGACTTTAAATACCCCGGCAGGCAGCGCGCGAGCCGAGACTTATGAATTTCGCCGCCGACGACGCCGCGCTTCAACGGTCGTTGCATTATGCATGTGCCGCTCACGAGCGCCGTCCCTTTCGCCCGAAATGCAGGTGCATCTGATGCCCCAAGGGCTTTAGTCGCTGAATTGTTAATTGAGCGACGTCGCGCTGTTGGCGCTCGGACGAGGCGACCGTCCGATTACTGCCGAGTTTTCACCTTTGCAGACTGCGTGCTCGCTTTGTCGTGTGGCCCGTTATCGAGCTTCATTCCGAAAGCCCTGAAAAGACTTCGCAGAGACGGAACGCGACATTTATTACCGAGGAGAGAGCGGCGAGAAATGGAATGCCAACTCGATCATCGTCGCGTTGCGCGTCACTTCGAGAAGTAGCCGAGTAATTGGCGCGAAAAGTGCAGCGATGTAAATAGTTGGCTAGTCAGCGATGAACGCCAACTAAATTAGCCAAGCTGCGCGCAACCTGATTAATTGCTAAAACTGGAAGTCGTGCGGGCGTAATAATCGGTTGATAATAATTTTCGAGCGTTTGCAAGCCCAGTGAAAAACTACTGTCTGGTAATTAAAGCCGAGCTTAACCCGATTGCAGTTGCCTCTCTCGTGCATCCTAATTATCTCAATCGCTAGTAATTAATTTCACGCAGGGAGAAAAGGACCAATAGCAGCGAGTATGTACGAGGAAAACCGAGTGGGCGAACTGGTTGCTAGGATGTATGCTTTCGTTAAGAAGAGCGAGGGGGGGCCGCAAGCTCGCACGTTGTAATGAGATTTTGGCCGTGAGCAAGATAAACTGGCCCGACACGGTGGTTACACCCCCCCTCTAAATTGTTATACCGCGGGCTTGGTTTTCAATTGAATTATCTCGCCAGGCAAAGACGTAGCTTTTCAATTAATCGCATGAATTCTCAGTGAAAAACGAAGGTGATGAGCTATTCGTTGTTTTATAGGTCGCTGGAGCAAAAGGGAAAACTTGGCGACAAAGGAGAAGGCTAAATTTGCTCTAAAACTTTTTTTTTCGAGCGAGCTGGAAGTTGGCGAACTTTCGCCGTAAGAGAATCCTATTCGTTTTTTTTCGGTTGGCAATTTTCCGAAATCAATTGGAAAAATTCCCTTGACGGAAGGATCATACTCGTAAATCAAACAAGCGAATGTAACGAAATTTATTGTCGTTGTATGAATACAAACGAGCAGTATTATGTACGAGTGTGTACACTTTCGAATCTCTTCTTCGCCGCTCACGTACGCAGACCGGAAAAAGGGGGAGTCGTCCATTTGAATTTAGGATTTTGGTCGCGTGCCCGTAAAACGTCGAGGTTAGCTCTCGGCTGCGCGGAGGAAGGTAGACGTGATTTTTATTTTTTATTTTTACACGATCTATTACTGTAAAATAAATCTTATTGAAGATGAAGGGAAAATTGATTTTGCTGGCTGCCGTGAAAAATATATAAATAAATCAATGATGGTTTTGACACTTACAGCGGTGAAGATACATAGTTTATCCCATAAGAAAATAAAAAAAAAAGAAGAAAAGTCGCACATAGATCGATGGTTGCGAATATAGAGAAAAAGAAAACGAAACGATATGGCAGACTGCCAAGTGAAGGTCTGCGCGCACTCGAAGGAAATAGAGGCGACGTCGGCAGGGACGACCTGTAATTTCCGCAGAGCTAAAGGATCCTCTAGGAAAAAGGCTGCGACGTGCAGCAACAGCAGAACGCGACGGCATTGTTAATGCGCTCTTGTCGACGGCGCGGCGGCTGCTCGAGATTGATGACTCAGCGGCTTTTTGGCGATTTGATTGATTGTCTCCTGTCCATTAGCTTATACATGTATGCAAGTGAAAACGTACTTGATCCCTTCTCCTTCTTCTGTCGTTTGATCTGCCGACGTTTCATTTTATTATTTGTCATTCAAGGCGCCGCTGTTCGAAACCTTGGCGACGTGACGATGAGCTCTTCGGCGTACCCGACGGACGGTTCGACTTACAAGGTGCGCGTGGGAGGAAAAGACGAAAACATCCGATTGATTTGCCGAGAAACCCTCGAGAGTAACAACTCGTAGCGTAAATAGGCAAAGGAACGGGCAAAGCGACGCTTCTCGTCGCTCAGTCGGCCACTTTAATCGCCATGGAATCAATCTCGTTGAATGACAAAAAGCAGGTATCAATTGCTGTTCTCCGGATTCCCGGGAGAGAAATGATCGGAAACGAGAGCTTGGCGCTCGTGCGCTTACAGCGATATAAATGGAGAGAGAAACGGGGCATTTGCTGAAAAAAATAAAGAAAAAAGATCGCCCGATGTAATTTATCGGCGCTCCAGGTAACTGGTAATTGACAGGCCTCAGAACACGCGCTCATGGCGCAATACCTGGTGATGCGATGGTGCCGAGGTTACGGACGCACTAGGCACCTTAACTCCCGAGAGAGAGAGAGAGAGAGAGAGAGAGAGAGAGAGAGAGAGAGAGAGAGAGAGAGAACGAAAGAGGGAGAGCAGGTGTTTCACGCGACCTTTGATCATTGCAATGCGAGCGAACTACTATACCTTGGGATAGATATCGCGCAAATATATTTATGGATCGCGACGCGTCCCTTTACCGGCCTGTGGTCGAGAGCCTCGCCAAATGAAAAGTTGGACAGGCGCAAGTCCGTTTTCACGAGCCACGCAGCTGCGGACCTTAATAAAAGTTATTGAAAAGCTTGATCTCCGACCGACACCAGAAGCTGATTGAAAATTCCATTAGAGCGCTGCCGTGGAGAAATAAAATAAGTCCCGAGAAATTCTCTAGACTGCACACGCGAATTAGTTTGGGCGCCGCCGCGCTTTCTCCCCGTCGCGCCGTTTCTCATTCGCCAAATAGCAATAAAGCCTTATTACACCCGGTTCGTTTAACCGAGCCGCGCTGCTGCACTCCTTTCCGTCAAAACGACGCAGCTGGCCCCTGCAACGCCGTACAGCCTCCTCTCATTCAATTTATCGATTTACGAAATCGCTCGCGCCACCGTGACAAGGCTGTTTTGTCGAAGAGGCTAATTAGCAGAGAGCGTCGTTTTTTCGCGCGCGACTTTTCCAACCGAGCAGTGACTATGGCGAGACTCCTCGACTAACGAGCGAGGATGTCAAGTTCGAGTGGCATACCGACGTGATTCACCACCCATTGTCGCGCAATCGCTGCGATAATTATTCGTTCGGCGGCGCATTGTAAGCTTTAGCGTGCAGGTTGCGCGCGCGCGAGTGACCCTCGAGCTACCTACCTCTCTTTTTTTTCCTCCATTGTGCCTTCCGCGCACACGCATTCGGCTTTAGGCTATACAATTACTTAATAGAGTGTCTTTAGCTGGCTGGCTCGATGAAAGTTCGTACGACCGACGCGTCCGTTTATAATGACCGAGCGTGTATCTAAGTTATTTACCGCCTCTTCAAAATGCTTATTCTTTTGCCTACGCCTGTTAGAATGCCGTGCGCGATCATTCCTTCGTTCAACGCGAGCACGCCGTTGGAATATCGGTGCAATCAAAAGAATTCAATAAATGCGTATCGCGTCTACGCTCCGCTTCATTGAACAAACCCCTTGCCGGTACACGCAACACTCGAAAAGCCATTAGTAGCAAGCGAACCGCAGACTGCCGATCGACGCCGGAAAATGTTCAACTTTTCTCGAGTGCGCTTTTTCCTTCTCTTTTGGAAGTTAGTTGAGGGCATTGTTACCGAACTCTCTCTCTCTCTCTCTCTCTCTTTCTCAGTCTTGGTCCGCCTTCACAGTGTATAACATGCAACTGCATGCCGTCAGTCGGTGGTCCGAATAGCAGCAGGCCAGCTGCACGCGCCCCCGAAATTTCAGACACGCGCCTTTTGTGGCTTGCAGCAGGCGGCTGCACACACACACACGTACAGCTTTGCTTTACTGCTGGCACGCGGCGCCCAAATGACTTACTCGTATAGCAGTAGCGCGAGAACAATGCTGTCCGGGCAATTTCGACGTTGATTGAGGTGTTGAATGTTGATTCGATGGCACGGGCAATTGAAAGAAAAAAAAGAGATTTAATGTGCTTCGAGTTGGTGGTTGATCGAAGAGAATTTGGCGGAACCTCGCTGTTGCTTGATTTTACGAACGCTAATAAGCGAGGAAATAATTTTGGACGTACTCGCACGAATGCTAAGAGCGCGTAGCTGGAGATGTTTGGCAGCAACAAAGAATCATTTTATTCGTCTGTCAACGGAATCCGAAATCCCGAAGAGAGTAAGTATCGGGAACAATCTAACGGAAGTGTGGCGCATCGTTCACGCGGAGATTCCGCTCGAAAAACCAGAGCGAGAAAGAGCCCTGCAATAATAATGGCAATTCTAGGAAGGGAGAGCTCGTCGCAGCCACAATGAGCATCGGAGCCGACGGGAGGGAGACCGCGGTAGCAGGAGAGATGGCACAGCGTGCGGGCATTGTCGAGCGCCGCGGGTCCTGCAGCGATCCAAGTGGCAACGCTATATAAGTCCCGCGCGAAAGGTATAAGCTTGTACGGACGCAGCGTGACGCAGCGCGTTATCGGAGAAATGAGCCGAATCGGGCGCGAAACGCCCTCTCCGGGGCCTGCTGTTCTCTCGGACGGCCGGCCGAAGCGAGAACATCGCGAGCGCCTCCGCGAGGCCATTAGAGATCCTCGAGGCAATCGGAATTATGCAAAGGCGCGGCTGAACGCTGCGAGCGACGATGGTTGCGGGGCTGTGTGCGAAGCGCGATTTCCGTATGGGCGGGCCGGCCACTGACACGCCGGTGGCAGGGGGGCAATGTTTTGGCATCGCTTTCCGCGATTGCATTAGGTACGATCGCCGCGCAGCGCCAAACAAAGCCTCTGCCAATCGCTTTATGCAATCAATCCCTCCACTCTCTCTCTCTCTCTCGATGCCCGTGCGTATCTCTCAGCATCTTTCACGGTTTTTGTGTCTTTGTCGGCGCTTTCGCGTGCGTTCAGCACAGCCCATTGCTTTGATGTTCTCTTCTATTCTTTTATGTTATTATTTCGAGTTTTCGAGCGCACTGAATTTCTCGTCGAATCTATCGACTCGCTCGAGCGTGCTGACGCCATGTGCGTCGAAAGAAATAAGCACAAAGGCTGCGATGTCGTTCAACAGTGATTCGACGTATTTGCAGCGAAACCGCCGAAACGGTCAATAAACCGTTCTAAATGTTCGAACAATCGAAGGCGCGGACGTGAGATATAGGCGCAACTGTCAATTGGTTTTGGCACGGTCACCGCGCAACAACTAAAAAGCGAGCGGCCGTTGCTCGTCGACGATGTTACTTGTGCCTTTTGTCCGTTTGACGTCAGCGCTTGCCTCGGCTAATCCCGTCGCCGGGTCACCTATCCGCAGTACAGCAACGCCGATATATATGCGTTGGTGCTTGGCGCGACGACGGGGCGCACGTGGAAAAACGAGCGCGTCGCGACCGAAGCGTTTTCGCGTCGAGCGGACAACGCGAGGGCCAAGTGTTTCGAGCGAAAGTTGCGAGAGAAGCGAGACAATCGCGAAATTCCGGAAGAGCGAGTCAGCCGTGCCACGTAAGGAAAGTACCTCGCACACGCGTAACTCTTAATCAGCCGAAACTCGCGCGGCACGCGCTTTAGAACTATATAACTATAGATATCGTACTCACGCTCTCTTTGGTGCTGGTGATCTCGCGTTTGCTCCTGGCGTGGTAAATTCGTGGCTTGACACTCCTGCGCGCGCTGAAATCCGCCGATGGACCTGCAATGGGACAGAAAAAGCAGCTCTTAGTTTGGTTTTACCGCCTCCGAAAGTGCTATCGTCCACCCTCTCCTTTCTCAAAGCTCGCCGCTCGCAGACGACAAGCAAGCTGCGCTAAGAATGCGTCAAGAAAATACGAATCGTTTCGTAACGGACACTATTCGCACAGAAGGAACTTGCCTGAACTGCGTGGAAGAAACAAAGGAAAATCGATAAACAAAGTGCAAAAATTCGTTTTGACGGTCAGCATAGGAGGGTACGAAGCGGCGAAAGTGGCATCTTAATAAAAAAAAAACAAAAGAAAAAAGGAAGGATCTGAGTAGCTCGCAATATCGCAAGATGGGCCGGTTGATTAGCGCGCGAAAGTGCAGCCGCAAAACACAAATAGGAAGACAAGTACTACGGCCGTAACGAGACGGTCTTGTGCATTAAGAGCTCTAATTTCTTATGAAGCGTCGGCGCTCGGCAACGCGCGCCACACTTTTCCCGCGGAGAACGGAGAGACGGAAATCCTCGCGTAACCCGAGATCCGAAGAAATGCCAAGTGCCGCGGGAAAAGAAAGTGCCGCGCAAGCACAAATCAGCCCGTTGTCTATCTCGCAGGAGGAAAATTTTTATTTAGCGAACGCGCTCCGAAGATTTTCCGCATCGAGAGGTGCAAGTGCCAAAGGACAATGGGGACAATGTCTCTCGGAAGAGACACGGACAAGGCCGTGGAAAGGATCGAAAGTTTGTTCCAACGTGCATTGCATCCGGTAGAGCAAGAGACGCGCTGAACATATGTATACATACGTAAAAAAAGCGCGAGGGAGAAAAATTGTGGTAAATATCCGGTGCTGAAATTGCAACACGCTGATCGATAGCGAGACATGATTGATGGTTACTATCTCGCGGGCTGCCAGCCTGCCTACAAATTTGAAAAATCAATACACGCAATTCGTCGTTTCTACGTGGCGCGTTGCGTGTGATTTTTTCGTTTTCAATCTTTTTACCTTATTGATTCAAGACGTAAATACTACGAACATTCAAGACGATATTGCCATTTATCGCACGGAACAGTTATCTTTCGCCTAAGAAAATTGAGAAAGTAAATATTTTCATCGTCCACTTGTTGAAAGAATCTCATGGAAAACAGACAGTCCTCTAGTAGCCCACTGTCTCGACGCAGTGGCAGCCACGTCGACGACGCCCGCATAATCAAGGACGCGTAATGCAGCGAAAAAAGAAGAGGACAACTCGTGGTAATTAAGACTCGGGCTTGCCACTGCTGCGGGATACTGGCATCTACTTATATTACACCCCGAAAAGGGGAATCTCTAAATTATGCAGCGCGCGACTTGTCAAGCTATAGAGGCGCATCGGGCTTGAATTTAATTTGAATTTCAAAGACAACTTCCGAGCCTTTTTTCCTTTTTCCTTCTCGCCTCTTTTGTTTTTTCTTGCACACGAGCTTTCCGTCCGGTTAATTATTTCGCCTACTTGGGTTGCACATTTTTGTCTGGTCACGTTCTTTGTTTTTGTTTACTTTGAAAAATATAATATGAATATTCGGGGGATTCGTGCAGAGGACGTGCTTCAATTATTTGTAAAAATTGTAAATATGGCAGAGTGGCGTAGTTGGTAGCGCGTTTGGGTTGGTGCCCCGAAAGGTCCGTGGATCGAAACCACGCTCTGCTTGGTAGTTTTTTTTCTGTATTTATATTTTGTTGTTATCTGTTTAAATAAAGTCGCATCCCCTTAATAAAGGTATTAGTGATTTGTCAATTTAGACGTATACAAACATTTCTAACTGTATTGGTATGTATAGAGTTACAATTTATTATACATAAGTGATTTTAATTTGCGTACATTTTTAGGTCGTTCAATAGTTCGTATATGTAGAGGTTTGCGATCTTGCGTTCTCTTCTTTCTGTGTTGAATCGTTAGCAGTCGACTAGTATGTTTGATTGTGATCGGAGTTTTACTCTGATTACATGTTTTTATTATTTTTTGTTGGTTAGATGTTCGTGTGCTAATTTAGCGTTTCCTATGCGAAGTCTGGTTAGTAATACTTGGTCTAGTCTATTTAATTTCTTCGTTGAATTTTTGCAGAGCACGTTTTTTTTATTTGTTTTAGGTGATTGTGTTTTTGTTCCAAATTATATTCCATTTTTCCTAAATTTTTTTATTTATTAAGGTTTTGTAATCGTCTTTAATTACTTCTATATCTAATATAGGAAATTTTATAATGGCAATATGTTTCTTAAGTTTGTCCTTACCTGGTTTCAGGACTGGAACTACATATGCTAGTTGCTACTTAGTAAATACCGAATTGTAGTAGTTGTCACCAGAGTTATTTGCAAATTTTTTGGCAAAAATGTTTGTTATTTTTATTGTTTCGTTTATAATGTGCCTAGATTTCATAAAAAAGCAACTCGTTGTTTGTGTTTACCTTTGATTGACTTTATTTTATTCTAGATTTCTTGAATTGGTTGTTGATTATTAATTACAGAAATTTAAGCTATGATTGTGTTTTAGATTGTCTGATTATGCATTTTGTCGTGGCTTTAAGTTTCTCAAATTTTATTATATAGTTAATTGAGGCATTTTACTTTTTGTTCAGAGCTTTTTTCGCGTTTTTTATTGCTTTTTCGCATTCTTCTTTCGACCATGGTTTCCTGATTTTGTTTGTTAGTATCTTTAGTTTTGGGAATACTTTTGTCAGCTGCTTTAATGATTATTTCTTTCATTTTTTCGATTATTGCGTCGATGTCTTCTTTTGTATATTCATCAATGAGCTTGTTTGATTCATTGATGTTACATATTAAGTTACGGTATTCTGTCCAGTTAGCTTTTAAGAATTTGTATGTGGACGTTTGCGTATTATTATCTTCAGTAGGTCTCATTATTTCTATTATTATTGGGAAATGATCGCTAGAATACGGGTAATTCAATACTGATCAATCCATGTGAGTTGTGAGATTAGTACTACTTAGGCTAAGGTTGATTGCACTCATTTTGCCGCTATGGCAAATATGTCTAGGTGAGAGGTCGTTAAGTAGTACCATTCCATTGTTACTTATTAGTTCACTATTTTCATACCTCTAGTGTCAGTTTTATAGGAGCCCCAGGTTGTATGATGGCTATTAAAATCTCTGAGTATTATGTACGGATTAGGTAGCAGTTCTATCAAGTTTTCGAATTTTTCTATGTCTAGTTTATTTTTATTGCTTAAGTATAAATTACATATAGTTATAATCTTGCTATTTATTAGTATTTTGATTTGCTATTGTTTTGATTTCTGTATTTAGTTGACTTTCTTGGCTGAAGGTGTTATTTTTAACTAGGATAGCAACACCCCCGCTGGCTATTTTGTAATCTGGTCTATTTTCTTTATAGCAGGTAAATTCTCTTGGTTACTTTTTAAGTTTGTTTCTTGGATACATATTATATCACTTGCGTGTTGGGTTATTAGTAGAAATAGATATTCATAACGGTTGTTATAGCTATTTATATTCCACTGCATCATTTTAGCCATTGTTGTTTTATCATTTATATTCTTATGCTGTGGTTGAATAATATTCGAGTTGAGTATGGTTGACTTTAAGTTTTTTTATAAGTCGAGTGCATCTACTTTTTATCTGAGTATTTCTTACGTTTAGATAGATTTCCTCGCTTATAAATTTGATGAAAGCTTCTATGCTAGGTGTATGTTGGAGTATAGTTTGGTCAACATTCGTATTTTTCTTTGTATTTTCCAAAAAACTTTTGAATTAATTATAGTTGAGGAGAGTATTTGCTCTGTTGAAATAGTCTTTAATGTTTATCAATTGATTATCTAGTTCATCTTTTTTTTCGTTATCTTTGATTTTTCTAGTAGTTACCTTTAATACCTTTTCATTTTGTGTATCATTCCTATGTTTTTTAGTGTCTTTGTTAATTATATTGAGAGTTTTAGGTTCTTGAAATTCATAGTTATCGGCTTGTGAATCGTTGGAACTAATTTACGAGTGTGTTATTTTATTATCTTTTGGGGAGATAAGTTGTTCGTTAATTACACAGTCAGTATTGGAATTATTTTCCTGCTGAATGGTCGTCTGATTGTTTATATTTGTATTATTATCGGTAGTGGTATCTGTTGGTAATTGTGGAGTGTTGGTTTGTGATGGCGTTAAACATGTAAGATTCGGGACATGGGCAATTTCTTGCGATATGGCCTTCCTGTTTGCAGATAAAGCATACTAATTTATCTGAGCCCACAAATACGTAATATTCAAGTTCATTGAAGTGAATTTTAAGCGATTCTGAAATAAGGCTGACTTCGATTTGTTTGACATAGATTTGTTGTCTGAAACTGGTAATATGTTTATAGCCTTCTTTGTCAATATTAGCTCTTAGATTGGTGGTTGTTAAGCAACTATTTACTTTTAGTTATACGAGTATATTTTCTAATATAAAATTAGGGATATCGGTGGGTACATTACAGAAAATAATTCTAGTTTAACGAAACATTAGCGGTCTTTTTAGTTAAGTAACTGTGATTCGAGTAGCATTCTTTGTCTAGATTCTTACTTGATAGATAGATGCATACTCTATTATTAGAGATTCTTGATGCACTGATAATATTTTCAGGTTTCACAATTTCACCTATTGCCACACGTAATCAGACAGTTTCAGATCATCTACACAATCTATCAGTAGGTCTTATTCTCTTGTAACAAGATTCTTTTGTGTTGCAGCTGTATATCTTGATTATGGAAGTAATTACGCTGTGAAAGATGGAATTTTATACCTGGTTTGTTTGGCAGGTGTAGTTGCCATTTTGATTTCACTAAAACTCGTAGTTTTATTGAAATAAGGGCTTAGCCGCCTGTGTCTTAATATATATGGTATTATTTGACTACTCATTATTATTTTATTACTTATTGATTACGCATGGAGCGATAGAAAACACGTCTACTCACTACGGGTGATAGGCTAGAACCTGGTAATTTATTTATTCCAATTCAAAACTCTGTGTTTTTGTATTAGTTTTAAATTGAATGAATCACTCTGCTTTCCTATGAATCTCAAGCGAAACATCGAGATATGCGAGTTGTGCGTATGTCGTTCGGAAAAATATTCGTTTATACGAAAATGGCACTCTGATTGCAGTTATACTGCACTTCAAACACGTGCGTTCGTTGCACAGAGAAGTTCTTTGTTGGAACAACCGCGACGATATTGAAACAAGTGTCTCTCATTACACCCAACTGAAGCTTATGCTGAAGCGACAAATGAGAAAGTGTACGTATGTTGGTTGTGTATAGGCTCGATTTACATAAATTATTGCAGGACGTAATGTAAATGCGCCACGGAGACTCTCGAGAACAAATGTTATACGACAAGAGAGGGAGAGAGAGAGAGAGAGAGATTTGCTTTTTGCTGTTGCAGCTGCAGCTGCTTGTTGTTACTGGATGTTTTTGCTTAATGCGTAGCTCGATGAATATTCACGGGTTGCTGGTATTTTATGGTGCAGCAGCTTGGCAAAACTTCCGGAATTAAGCGCACTGGTGGGGGTTTTTTAAAGAAATGATTTTATATACCTGTTTGCTTCATGAATGATGCATTGCTCCGTAGAACGTTGTGAGAAACGCTTCGAATTATCCAACGCGAACCTAGTTAATAAAATATCGATCGACGACGAGTGCTCGAAATTCCACGTGTCCTTCGAAAAGTCATCGAGGAAAAAAGGAAAATTTTACCGACATGTATGGCTACTACAACGTTCGATTGGCCTTTTTCAAGAAGGGCAAAACCATTCTAGCGCGAATACACCCGGGAAGCGCACGTCTAGCAGAGTAGCCTTAGCCGAACAAATCGATAATCCTCTCGGGTGCCAAGGATGATTCATCCAGTCTATGCGGCAAAACTGCTCTCTGCTTATCAACGAAAAAAAAAAATCGTCGTCGTCGTCGCCGTTGTAGAAGGCTTAGTCACGCCAGCTCATTATTAACGCTGCTATACGACTGGGCCCTGATTAATCCATATTTCTTAGCAAAGTCGACGTTGATTGATGCAACTAGTTCCGTGAAACAATCAATAATTACCGAAGATCAATGAGACCAATAATAGTGCGTTGTGAACTTGTCAGTCTATATTATTCATGCTTGAAGTATTAGAGTGGAACCAGCGAAAGTTTGGTGAATCACGGGGAGGCAAATAATGAAAAGCTCGACAAAACGGCGAGGAGGAAGGAAGCGCGCCATCGATGGGAGAGAGAACGGGTTTGCCGTGGCGTTAAGTGTGCTGCGAAAATGCAAATGTGGGAAGCAGGTCAAACAAGAGAGCACGATGAAAATTGCAGCATTAATGGAGTGTTGGAATTGCGCGCTACGGGCGTTTACTTAACAATTCTCGCGACTGCGCTGCAGCTCCGCGGCGCCCGAAACCTCGTAATTTTCGACGCTCGAACAATCGCAATTTGGCCCTCACCTGCGCGCGCTAATACCATTACCTTTCATTGCTCAGCTATCTTGCGGACTGCGTGGATTCGCGCGGCGTTTAGCGCCGCTCGTTACGCCTCTACGCGGCAAAAATCGTATCCGCGCGAGCGATTCGACGCCGGCGTCGTCGTTGCGCTTTTGACGAAGGCACCCCCCCTTTCCCTCCTTCCCGCGCGTTATCTATCGCGCGCTTTCGTCATACAATTAACGTTG